ATAATATTATAAAGAAAAATAATATATATTAAAAATATAAAATAATATAATATAAGCTCTATTATAATATATATCTTTATATTATTAAGTTTAGGATTACTTAATTCTAGATTCTATATAARAATAGATAATAAAGCCTAGCACTATAATAGAGAAGGATTTTTATCTAAAGATTAAGTATATTAGCCTATGGTTTTTCTTTTATAGGATTTGATAGATAGATCTAGATATCCCTAGCTGGATATATTGGGATTAGGTTATTATTATTATTATATATTTAATTTTAGTTAATTATCTTAAATTAACTAATTAATTTTAGATATATTATTATTTATAGATCTAGATAACTTAGGCTTTTCTAATTATTACTTAGGTATACTGCCCTTTTGTCCTCAGAATACCAGTTAACCACCATTTAAGTGACGAGTTCTCTCTGATCTAGACGATTATGAATCATCGGTTTGCGACAATATTATAATAATTATAGTTACTCATGACTAAACCTGGGTGTATGGGTTCAAATACTCGATTCACTCGGAGAGGGATGTTTGGGGAATAATGAATTATCTGACGGGTGTTGTCAAACGTACGGACAGCTGGCTATGGGCTTTTCAAAACCGGGAATAGCTTCAAGTTGGTGACGGCTCTTTACGAGTGCGTAACCTGTATACCACGCAAGTCCAGTTCTTAACGTAGTTAGATCGGTTAATCTGGAGAATAAATTCCGGTGGCTTTTTTTTTTGTTGGATAGTGCCAGTCCGAACACTGCCAACAAGTGATTCCAACTCCTGGCACTTGAACGTGCTCATGATCCTCACTTGACGTTTTAATTAACTGACGCCTGCATGGAGAATGAATTGATCATCTTGTTCTTCATAACCCTTATCTAGCACATTATCATTACAAGCTCTCCCCTAATTTCGTATCATATCTATGTCCTGTCAACTCATGCCTCACTGACACCATTGGCATCGGTGTCTGCTTCGACCTCGCGTATAACACCGTTGCCCTGCTTCTCATTTACATCGGGAAACTCTTCCTCGAAGACTGGCTCAGGTTCCACAGTCTCGAACTTAGTCTTGAAGTCGGACAGTCCGTGGTTGCTGCTGTTGGAGCGACGTCGAGCATTGGTAAAATTGTAGTCGTAGTCCTGGACTTCTTCTCCAGAACGACCCCTGAACCAATTGGAGTTAGTTCGAGATTCATACTTTTGACGAGTTAATTGCCCAAATATCAGGATTTCAAAGTCCTACCAGTTTCCCTTGCCACCTCCGTCTTTCTTGGTCTTGTTTGGGTCGGCATTGAAAGGTCCTGTCTTCCCAAAGTAGCGCGGCACAACCCCGGCTGGGTCATCGGCAAGGCTGGTATGGTCTTGGTCGTTGAGCTTGTGGGAGCGTGTCACTTAAATAGCCATGTCAGAACCCGACAATAGAAATGAGGATCTCTCGTGAGACTTACTTTTGAAAACGCAGTAATGGGATTGAGGGATTGTCTGAGTACCAAGCAAGGCAGGTTAGCAGGAGCAATGGGTCGCGTGATCACGGGAGATTGAGTCTCGATTTTGTGAATCAATTGAGTCATCAAGCCGTAGAGTATGAAGGTGAAGCACTTACCTAATAACTAGTGGAGGGAGAGATTGAGTGGGAGGAATTGTCTTGATGATGATGATGATGGTTGCGAGATGCAGGGTCGTCGCGTCAGAGCTGAGAGATGGTGAAAGGAGATAAAGTGGACGGAGAGAGAGGTCCAAAGGGAGGGAGGGAGGGAGGGGGCACATGACCTCATACGTTCCCAACGGACCATCAGCAGACACTCTTTGCCCTCTGTGGCCCCAAAGAGGTAAGCGCAATCCGGGGTAATACCCCGGATCTAAACGTTTATTGGCCTAGCCCGCAGATTATGTAATATGGCATGATCAACTTCTTCTCCCGGATGGAGCTACGCCGCAAGCAGTTAGCCGGTTTCTCTGTTATGCTTTCTCACTCTACAATGGTAGAATTTCGCTGTCAAATGCCTTGCATCATATGAGGTTCCTAGCATGCCTGTAATGCAATACACATCTCTGGAATGTCCCTGAGAGCGTAACTCAGTGGAGAAATGGTTGACACTTCGGACGATGGTTAGGTTCGAACCAGCTCACGCGTGGAGAAATGGTTGAACAACCAGCCGCAAAAGATCAATCAGATGGATGTCGCGCTTCGTCCTCCCAATTCCACATCTTGTCCGAGACGCCGATGTTTGTCGTGATCGTATGCTTAATATTCGTAGTTCTACTACTCCGATATTCGTAAGATACTCCGTAGCCAGTCCGACGGAGATGGATTCATTCCGAGTCTGATAAAAAGCGGCCAATCAAGCCGCGTACATTATTAAAACGCTGCCGAGTCGGCCAATCAGGCAACGAGGCACAAAGGGAAGCCGAGGACGGCTCCTGCCAATCCGAGTCAGACCGCCGTGCTACATTTGCCGCCCAGCTGCCGTCCCGCACAGAATTCCGTGAAACTGATATCTTTCCTCCTGACACTATACAACTCTTCACTGCTGCTTGCGACTGTCTCTTGCAATCCTGTCGAAATCGCTTTCATCTTGAAAAGCTTTGACTCAGTCAATAATCAAAGTCGTCAAGACCATTGCCGCAAAATGTCTTTTTCAACTCTAGTGTCCGATATAGCGTTTCGAGACACCGCTCATGAGGATCGCGACTCACAGATCTCTCGTGCTCGGTCTCAAGTCACTGCTCGATCGCTTGCAAGCACCCGAGCAACCAGCGTCAGTATCTCGGGCGATATATCGAGTCAATTACATGCGGGCTATAGCCACCCACTAGCCAGATCATGGCAGGCCGAGAGGCAGTTGACAAAGGTATGGACTCAACTACAGCACTTGTTGAGTATGACTTGCCTAGACTGACAATTGGTGGTAGGAAATGCTTATTTACCCATTGTTCGTTACCGATAACCCCGATGAAGAAACGCCCATCCCCTCTCTTCCAAACCAATGTCGCCGAGGCTTGAACCGCCTGGTACCATTTCTCACACCGCTTGTGCGCAAAGGATTGCGAAGTGTGATGCTGTTTGGTGTCCCTCTCAATCCCAGCGCAAAGGATCCTTTAGGAACTGCTGCCGATGACCCATCCGGTCCCGTCATACAGGCAATTCGATTACTACGAGCACAATTCCCAAACCTTTATATAACTGTAGACGTCTGTCTATGTGAATATACGTCGCACGGTCATTGCGGTATTCTTTGCGACGATGGAAGTCTTAACAATACCCAGTCAGTTGAGCGGATATCAGATGTCGCCTTGGCATATGCGATGGCCGGTGCACATTGCGTTGCTCCCTCAGATATGAATGATGGTCGGGTGCGCGCTATAAAACTCAAATTGATTGAGGCCGGTGTCTCTCACCAGGTTCTGCTTATGTCATATGCTGCCAAATTTAGCGGTAGCCTCTACGGACCTTTTAGAGACGCAGCAGGTTCTACACCGTCGTTCGGTGACCGCAAGTGCTATCAATTGCCACCCGGTGGTCGTGGACTTGCTCGTCGTGCAATCATCCGTGACGTTGCCGAGGGCGCAGATATCATCATGGTGAAGCCCGCTAGTAATTTCCTCGATATCATCAGTGATGCAAAAGAGCTAGCCAAGGATATGCCCATCGCCGCATATCAAGTCAGTGGAGAGTTTGCCATGATTCACGCAGCCGCCAAAGCTGGTGTTTTTGATTTGAAAGAAATGGCTTTGGAGAGTACGCAAGGAATTCTGAGGGCTGGTGCTGGCATTGTTATTAGCTACTTCACACCAGAGTTCCTCGACTGGCTATCTACTTAAGCTTTCTACGATCTTTATATATTTCGTTTCGTACTGGAGGCGTTTGACTATGTTTCGGATTATACGCTACAGCACGGTCTATACACATAAAAAAAATAATAAACCTCAAATGGCCTGGACAGATTCCACATACAATGAATGATTCAATAATTTCAACGCAATATCAGATGCAACTCGAATTTTCCACATGTCTAGAATTCGTTCCCAATCGTAAACTTCCGGCGTCAAAACAAAGAAAAAACGTAAGTAATCGCTCAACTCATTTCAATTACAAAGAGACATGTATCATATACCATGCGACGCAGAAGAAAAAAATTTTGCAACACACCAATTGACAAGAAACAAGAAGCATATCGCTTTCACATGTAGCTGGGCTTGAGCCCTTGAAACCCGTAGGCAACGATGTCTGATTTCACCACCTCGCCTGGCGCGACATAGGCACCTCGTCGAAGACGCACACCAGGGTATATAGTGCAGTTTGCACCGACATAACAATCTTCTTCGATGGTAACGGGGCGGCCCTGATATCTGCTCTGCGAGCCTTTGCGCTCCTGCATATTGGCATGGGCCATTGAGCCAAGAATAGTGACATTGGGACCAATCCACGTGTGGGCACCGATATTGATTGGACAATCGTCAACCATAGAGCAGTTCTCGGAGATCATCACATCTTCCCCGATGTGTATGTTAAAGCCGTAATGACAGCGAAAAGGAGCCTCGACAACCGCACCTTGGCCGATCGAACCCATAGGCCGCGGCGCAGGAGATCCAGATGGCGTAGTCGCTGCAGCAGGTATGATAATCTCCCTTAGCAAACGATTTTGCTCCTTGGAACTCACTCCAGATAGTGGATTACAAGCATTGTTGAATCGCCACAGTGCGGACTTGCAACGGTCACGGTCTTCCACTAATTGCATGTCAAAAGGACGATATAGCTCACCATGAATCATCTTCTCTCTCTCTGTGTCCTCGCCTGTATTATGGCGTGCCGATAATTGATGCTCAATGCTCAAAGCAAGTCGTGCTTGAGCCTGTGGACTACTAGTGTCGATGGTGCTAGGATGTGGAGGTCTTTGATCGACAGGTCCTTGAAACATGGGCATGCCAGGTTTCGGATGCGGGCCTTGTTGCGAGAGCTCACGAATAGACGGCACGACATGATATTCAGCCTTTGGTTGGCCCTCGCGGGAAAGTTCATGGATCGGAGGCACTTCTCGGTAATCGGTAGATTTTGCCATGTGCTCGGCCATGTAAGGAGGATGTGATGCGCTTGGCCAGCCTCTTTTGGGCCAAGCGTTCCGACTTCCTGAAACATTCGTTGGCGTGCCTAGGTACTGCGCGGCGGCATTGTCATCCTCAACGACAACCGGCCTAACTTTGTTGACTTCAGCCTGTTGCGCGGTGGTTTGAATTCGCTCGTGATGGCGAGCGTTAACGTCTTGCAGATACTGATTGKCTGCTTCGGAGTATCCATCCTTGGATTGCAAAGGTACCGGACCCTTGCTGCTTGATGGTTTCTGCCATGTACTCCTGGAAGAGTAACCCTCGCAAACAAATCCACCACGTATACAATTGTTACCTATTGTCAAAACGTGATTAGGCAACCTTTCGACAAACGCACCGAGCAGATGAGTGAACTTACATGCGGGATGCTGTTCGTCACACTTTTTCTTCCTCCTCCGACAGGTCAGACATCCAGTCTTGGTCCGATTGCTGAATACCCGCTTCCTCTTTGGCCCAACCTGAACAGTTGACTGTGACTTTTCTTGCGTGTAAGGCGACATGGACTCGCCCGTAACGGACGGCGGACCCGTGGGCCATGGTTTCTGCTCTATTGAGTCGGCCGAATGAGTTTCTCTCTGAAGCGCTTCCACTAGTTGAGCATCAGAGGTATCTAGATTCTGGGCCTTCTGGGCTTGACTAATCAGATGAGAGTCGTAATCCTGCCAAGATCCGCCTGTTCCGTTGATCGCCTGTGCATCCTTCATCTCTGCATGCATATAGCCGCCGGTGGAGGACTGTCCCGAATACTCGTGGCCTGCGGAAAATAATTTGGCACCGTTGGAGGATTCTGACTGCATTGGCGGTTCCGAACCCAGCTCCGAAGAGCGCGCAGAAATTGCCTGGGCATCACTTGGTAGGTCCTGTTGTTGCGATTGGCGTTCGAGAGACTCGGAGCGCTTTCGTTTATTCTTGTTTCCTCCATTTGGCGTCGTCTGAGGTGATGATTCCTGAGGAACATACATGTCGACTTGTTCTGCGCTTGCATTCAACAGTTCGCGTTGGCTTTCTGCTTGTCTTGAGCCATTTGTGTTGCCGTTGACCCCTCCTCCTATGGCGGTATTCTCGTTACTCTGTGGTGGGCTGGCGGTGGAAGCTGCCGCGTTGGAGTTGTGCACGGTTGTGTCTTTGCCGTTGACAGCAGTGAAACGCGGAGGGCCATGTTCGGTATGCTGGTCGCTTTCTTGCACATAGGTCCCGTTGGAGATGGAGGCGGGCTGCGCTACAGTGGCCATCGTGTACGAAAGATTGTGTATTTCTATCGGTCGTTTCTGTCCGTTGTACCACGAGGGTTTCCTTGAGATAGTTCCGAATACGCGCAACTACTGCTCCCGTGAATGTGTCTTTTGAGAAGCTGCAGGACAATCAACTATGCCAGATGAACATGGATTTGATGATATGTAATTCTCTGGTTTGCTCCGACAGAGCGAATCACAGGGCACGTAGGCCCGCTTAATATCGATGTGGTCGAGTCGGATTCAGTATGTAGGCGGTTTTCGACTCCTGCACTCCTTTAATCTCGGAATCGAACTTGCGCCTCGATAGAATCCGTCAAACCAGCTGATTGAATAGAAATTGAAAATCTCTTTTGAGACTCTCAACTGCGAAACGCGCAATAGTGGGATCGCGTGAACAGCGGTGAGAACAAATGCGACGAAGTTATCAAGAGACGTTGGAGTTTCAGCGTACACTAAGCGGCGCGGGCCTCGGGTTTCGCCAGTGCGTGGTAATTACCTCACAGAGGATCGCGGAGAGACGAAAGACTCAATCAATGTAAGGACAAACAATAAAGCAAGACAACTCGTAAATTGCTGATCAGTCAGCTAGTACGGGCATCACGGGGGAACGTCGTATCCTCAGACGAGAAGAAGCAAAGCAAGACGAGAGAGTGAGAGAGAATGGGAGAAGAGAAAGAAGGAGCAGATTGATGGGGGGAAGGTAGGAGGAAGGAAGGAAGTACTAAGTTAGAGCCGGCAAGTCTCCGCGCAGGCGATACTGTGTTTGGCGGTTAATTAGATAGGATTACGTCCATATGCAGTTGATTTTATAGCATTAAGCATTAAGCGTTGCGCATCAGCCAAGGTCTAAGGGCAAAAGGCCGGTGATAAAAGTCCTGGGAAGGAGCCTACTGGCGCGCATGGCAGCTGGCTGTCGGCAGTGGCAGTGGCAGTTGTAGAGGCAGGCGCAACTGGCAAGAGCAGACAGAGCAGAGCGACAAAATGGAAGGAGGGGAGGGGCGGCGGGCGCAGCTTCCCAAAACGCCCAGAGGCAGCAAGCAAGCGCGCGAGAGGTCGGGTAACAGCACGGGCCTAGGCCAACAGTGAACAATGAGGCGGAATGGGCGCGCTGCGGGTGCACGTTGGCGCGCGATCGGCGGCGGCAGAACAGGAAAACTCGCGCCGTGGTTGGCTGGCTGTCCGGAGTGTCTCATTAGCGCCGGTGCCCTCCCTGCCACATGCCCGCCAATCAGCGCCCGGAGTCGCGTGTCCCGCCTGCAAGGACAGCCGCAGTGCACCAATGGCCGTTTGTCAAGCGTCTCCACTTGCGTTTGGAGGGTGGCAGCAGGGAAACCTCGTCGCTACGATTGATCTAGCCTGCTCCCCGAGAAGAAAGGACGAGTCGATGAAAGGATAAAAAGGTAGCATGTACGTAGTAATGCACTCTCTTGTTGAGAGCGACACTAACTACATTGGGTCATTACTCGAGGGTTCCTCAAGTTTGGGCCGCGTCGCGCGCGCCAGAGCGTATGGTTTAGCGCTAAAATGCAAACTGGCCATCTTTCCATTCAGCCCGGAGTGGCGCCTATGCTGCTTTCTCATTTGCTCCATGTCCGTGCTGGGAGCCCAAGGTGGATTTTTCACGACAATGATTAACCTCAATCCTCAAGCTCTGCCTGCTCTTGAAACAATTCCAGGGCGTGTAATTGATAGAAGCTTCCACATCGGAGCCAGGAAATGGAGCCGCCGCACAGGTCCAAAGCCGCAAGAGGCAACAGCGGCGGCTGTGACACAGTCAATTTGCTTGCCGCTGACTTGCGTTGGTGGGGGCCGGCGAGCAAGCACACTGCAGATGCATGTCTGTCACGCCGTCCGTCCTGGCTCCTGGCGAGAAACGCAGCACCTTTTCCTCGTCAATTTATTCGCCATTGGCGCCGTAAGGGCGCGCCTACTCAAGAAATAACCACTGGAAGCGACCGTCCTCTTTCTTCCGAGCTCTTGTTGTTTTGCGTGTCAGGAGTGAATTCTAGCCACTTTGTGCTACATGTAGAAGACAGTCAGGAAACGACTTGGGCGGCGGTACAATCTCTGCGAGTCAGGCGCTCGATAAATTCATAGAACCTCTTTTGTGTATTTCATTGGCCGTCTAGGACATTACTCAATGCCTCTAGTCATCGTTGGCGTCTATCTGAGACGACATCCTTTCCTTCATTACTATTACTATGTAAGTATTAATCAAATTCATTGCGTCTCCTCCAAAGCGGCCTGGCGAATCATGCACTCCTGCTATTTTTGGAAAGAGGAGTCCTGGCAATTAAGGCTCCCGATCAATCACTGCCGAAGCCTTCTAAGTTCTTCAAGAATCCGAAACGCAGCGTGAAATCTGGGCCTCGATCTCTGAAGCTTGGCGCCCTTCTTTGGTGTTCACCCTGGTAACTGCTGGATGCCGTCTTTGATAGTCTTTGCTTTTGCCTGGACCTACGTAATGAGAGGGGTCCTTTAGTTGCAACAGAACCGCCATGACGCCCTGATAATACCCATTACGCCGGTACTCAGCTTTGAAGTAGAGTCGGCAGAGTACGATATAGCGTGCCGTATAGAAGAGGTACACAACGAGAATAAACTCCTTCGTTAGGTTAGCTAGGGAACTGTGGTTGTTATTGTTATGGATGCTGACTCAGCATGACGGTGCTTTTCTTCCAACCAAGACTTACTGGCCCGTCACTGCCTCAACAAGCTTCCCAGACCGAGAAGTTTGATCCCTTCATTTTACCATCCAGCCCTACACTGAACGGCTTACGACCATATCGAGAGCGATCAGAGCTTCACCTTGCCTGAACACTCGTCGTACCGCCGATTCCCTCGACTGTTTACCCGTATAGCGCTGGCTGCTTCGCGTTTGACCGCCCAGCAGCTATCTTTCTCTGCCCCGCCCCGCCTTCAATCTTCCTTCTGGCCCTTCTCCCATCGATCTTCCTGCAGCAACCCCACCGGTTTTTATTACTTTCCTTTGCGACATTGATTTGGAATTATCCTTTCGATATACTGCGACCCTAGAATCTGAAGCGACGCAGAAGGCGATCTCGCCAGAGTTTGGTGCGGCATGTCTTTCTCAGTGCAAGAATTGGACAACACTGTCCGCGCCTTCTATGAGGGCAAAGGCGATGTGGTGAGTATCCATCGATCGGTTCAGCTACGTGCATCTGGAGACACCAAGCAAGTGAAAACCGAGCGTACAAGGGCTGACATATTTCTATCTAGCAAAAACAAGCACAACAATCTTTGACCGAGGTATGATGAAAAGTCATCACTGGACTCGCAGGCATCGACTGATATAACCTAACAGTTTAAACAAAATCCCGACGCGTGGTTGTCGGTGGGGGAAATTTTACAGGAATCGTCGTACTCTCAAACAAAATGTGAGTGTGCCTTTGACGGAAACTCGTTGCAAAAGATGTGAATAAAACTCATTGTGGTAGATCTCGGATTGCAGGTTCTAGATGAGGTGATTATGACAAGATGGAAGGTCCTACCACGAGATCAGTGTCAAGGTAAGATCGGCGACAGATACAGGTGAATTGCTAAACAAAGCGGATAGTTGACACTAGGAAATAGGAATTCGTAACTTCGTCGTCAATTTGATCATCGAGCATTCGAAATCCGAAGAGAAACTGAAGAGCGAACGCGCATTTCTGAACAAGCTGAACCTCGTCCTCGTCTCGATACTGAAGCAGGAGTGGCCGCATAACTGGCCGACCTTCATCAATGAAATCATTTCCTCATGTCACACCAGCCTTTCAATCTGTGAAAACAACATGGCTATTCTTCGATTGTTGTCGGAGGAGGTTTTCGATTACTCGCAGGATCAAATGACGTCTACCAAGGCCAAGAATCTCAAAACAACGATGACGCAGGAGTTCTCATCAATATTCCAGTTATGTTCCGAGGTTCTGAATACCGCGAATCAGCCTGCCCTGATCAAAGCAACCCTGGAAACCCTACTCCGCTTTCTCAACTGGATTCCCCTGGGCTATATCTTCGAGACACCCATCATCAATACTCTTCTTGAAAGGTTCCTCGACGCGCCGGAAACTCGTAACGTGACACTGAAGTGTTTGACTGAAATCGGCGGCCTTCAGATCGGTCCTCAGTACTCTTACGACGAGAAACTGGTTGTGATGTTTACCGAAACTCTCACGCGTGTGGCTAAAATCATCCCACTCTCCTTGGATCTGAAGAGCACTTACATGAACAGCAATTCCAGAGACCAAGAGTTTGTTCTGAACTTAGCGCTGTTCCTCTGCAACTTTTTCAGCGTACATCTTAATGTAAGTCAATTCTCCTTTTGGATGTCGGAACCGTCTAAGTGACTAAATGCTTCAAATAGCTCATTGAAAAATTGCCCAACCTGGACTATCTCACCCACGCACACTTCTACCTTATCCGAATCAGCCAGATTGACGACCGCGAAATTTTCAAGATTTGCCTGGAGTACTGGACCAAACTTGTGCAGGAGTTGTACGAAGAGATGCAACAGCTCCCGATCACCGATATCAATCCACTAGTAAGCATGGGTGTCACTGGTCTTTCGAATGGAGGCGCACCACACCCCAGCACACTCGCAAACTATCCTTTGCGCAAGCACAAGTATCAAGAAGTACTATCGAGCCTCAGAACTGTCATGATTGAGAAAATGGTACGACCGGAAGAGGTTCTGATTGTGGAAAATGACGAAGGAGAAATCGTTCGCGAGTTTGTGAAGGAAAGCGACACCATCCAACTCTACAAAACGACAAGGGAATGCTTGGTCTATCTCACACATCTTGACGTTGTCGACACAGAAACTATCATGGCCGATAAGCTCGCCAAACAGGTCGATGGTACTGAGTGGTCCTGGGCCAACTGCAATACTTTGTGTTGGGCCATCGGTTCAATTTCTGGCGCTATGAATGAGGAGACCGAGAAACGTTTCCTGGTCACTGTGATCAAGGACCTTCTTGGTCTTACGGAACAGAAGCGTGGAAAGGACAACAAGGCAGTCGTTGCCAGTAACATCATGTATATCGTTGGTCAATATCCAAGGTTTTTGAAGGCTCATTGGAAATTCTTGAAGACTGTCGTGAACAAGCTATTCGAGTTCATGCACGAAACACACGAAGGTTTGTTATGATATGACTCCATTTTTGAACGTTCCACTTACTGCTTCTAGGTGTTCAGGACATGGCTTGTGATACGTTTATCAAGATCGCCAATAAATGCAAACGTCATTTTGTAGCTCTTCAGCCTGGAGAGACTGAACCTTTTATTGAAGAGATAGTTCGTAATATGCGAAAGATTACCTGCGATCTTTCACCACAGCAGATCCATACCTTTTATGAGGCCTGTGGTTACATGATTTCGGCCCAAGGCCAAAAAGGCCTTCAGGATCGACTGATTGAGAGTTTGATGGCATTACCGAACTCTGCATGGGACGCCATCATTGCTCAGGCCAACCAAGATCCTTCAATATTGCAGGATTCCGAAACGATAAAGGTCGTTGGAAATATCATGAAGACCAATGTTGCAGCCTGCTCCTCCATTGGCACCTACTTTTATCCTCAAATCGGCCGCATTTACCACGATATGCTCAATATGTACCGCGCTTCCAGCCAACTCATCTCCGACGCTGTCGCTAGTGATGGTAAGTCCTCTCAACTTGCATTCTCGTAACTTTTACTTATTGCTATCAGGAACTATTGCAACGAAGACCCCTCGTGTGCGAGGATTGCGGACTATCAAGAAAGAAATCCTCAAACTCATTGACACCTATGTCCAAAAGGCAGACGACCTTGAGATGGTTAATCAGAACATGGTTCCTCCATTGCTCGAAGCTGTTCTGCTAGACTACAAACGAAATGTCCCCGATGCGCGAGAAGCAGAGGTATTAAATGTTATGACGACGATCATCCACAAGCTTCATGTACGTTGGACCCCAAGAACTTCGCGATTCTCGGTTAGAATACCAGTCGCAATGCCATGTGATATCAATACTGATTTTGCTTTAGAATCTTATGGATGATAAGGTGCCGGCTATCATGGAGAGCGTCTTTGAGTGCACTCTTGAAATGATTAACAAGGACTTTCATGAATACCCCGAACACCGTGTTCAATTCTTCAAGTTGCTACAAGCGATCAACTTGTATTGTTTCCCTGCGTTGTTGAAGTTGGACGGCAATCAATTCAAATTCGTTATTGACTCGTGCATGTGGGCAAGCAAGCACGACAACCGCGAGGTCGAAAACACAGGGTTGACCATGTGTCTTGAACTCATGAACAACATGGCAGAGACTGATCTACAGACGTCGAGTATCTTCTTCCGTCAATTCTATCTCGCTATTCTTCAAGATGTTTTCTTTGTTTTGACTGACACTGATCACAAAGCTGGTAAGTTGATAGCACGCATCTCAAACCTTGAAAAGTCTTGCTAATACCTTTTGAAACAGGATTCAAGTCGCAAGCAATGCTTTTGTCACGCATGTTCTACTTTGTTGAGTCGGGCAAGATTCAAGAGCCCATATATTCCCCAGAACAAGCACCAGCTGGCACTTCAAATAAGGATTTTCTACAAGAATACGTTGCCAGCATTCTCCAATCGGCTTTCAAGAATCTTCAAGAGTAAGTCAATCCGTTTTTTTCTCTCTTCTCTCGGTTACTAACTTGAAGCTTTAGAATCCAAATTAAGAATTTTGTCATCGGATTGTTCGCGTACAACGACGACTTCACCAAGTTCAAGACACATTTGCGAGACTTTTTGATCTCTCTCAAGGAGTTCGCCGGGGATAATGCTGAACTTTATGCCGAGGAACGAGAGCAAGCGTTGCAGGATGCCAAGGCTGCGGAAAGAGACCGTGCCATGAAGGTCGGCGGCTTACTCAAGCCCGCCGATATGGATCAGGATGATGACCTATAGTGTCATGGATCACTCGTGTGGTCTTCAGAAACTTGGTGAGATTGGGAGCAAAGCAAAATGTCCACTTCGCTTCACGAGTTTAGGAAACAGCGCAAAGTCTCAGGTATCTCATCCCGTGACTGCCGTGTCCTTGCCTGAATCTTTTCCGACTGTTGATGTATCAAAAAGCATACCCAGTATACCTGATCTGGAGTATGCATATTCAGGAGGATGCGCTTGCTGGGGTTCAAAGGCCCGGATCGGTGTTTGATAACCGTTTTCTCAGGAGGAGTATATCTAGCATTAGGTCTTATCAGTCTAAAGATCAAATAAAATAATGATATTGCTGAGGGTATTAGTTGTCCTGTATTTTAAAGCAATTTGTACATAGTAATACATTGATGTCGGACTTGATCTGCGGGGAATCGCTGGACGATTAGCCCCACTCATACTTTTAAGCCTGCCATTTCGCCATCGCCAGAGTCACCTTCGCAATTTTTGGCTTGACTCTACAAATCTTGACATTCTTTGCACCTTGTACAATAGAACAAGACTTAAATTGACCAACGATGCAACGGCAACAGCGACAACGGCAGTTAAATACCGGCACAACGACATCCACCACAACATCAGACTCCGAGTCGGCAATAGCCGCAGCAAGCTTTCCGCGCACCCTTCGCCTCCGAGGCGAAAGCCAAAGCCATGTCGCGACTGTTGGTGACAGTGCTCGTACAGAGACGCCGGAACAAGAAGCAGGAGACGGGTCTGCGTCTCGTCGCGTGAGATGGGATGAGAACGTGGTGAATAATGAGGGGATGGGGAAGAAGAGTTCAAAAGGTTGTTGGCATTGATATCCTGCCTGTGTTACGAATTTGACTTGCTGATATCTCTTCTGTTGGTTTAGTATGCTGTATATATCATAGACCTCGAGCCATGGACGAGAGTAGTTCCGAGTCCGAGTCGTCGTCTAGCTCAGATGATTCGGATACCGATGACGATAGCGATATGCGTGCCAGGCGGAGACCTGTTCGACGAGAAGGATGCGGTCACGATGGTCATGACCTTGAGCACGATCACGACCATGAAATTAAGAAAGCGAAGAGGAAGAGGCCGAGTCCGAATGCTTATGAGCGACAGCCCAGGAACGAGCGTAGACCTACGCAACAGCCCAAGGCTGCTGATTAGCAAAGGTGATGACGGAGGGCAGAGAAAGCAGTAATGATTATTGCATTGTCATTATGAACTACAGATTTCTAGTCATGAGATATGAATATCTAACTGATCGAGACCGACGAATGAAACAACTGACGGGTATATCTTTGGAACCGGACCCTCTTACTCCTGTCTCATACAACTCCGACGCCTTGCAAAAAATAGATGGACATTCGAGAACGCAGTCACACAACTCCACAAACTTATACCATCATACTTCGCCTTCTTGTCGAGATACGCTGGCCACGCTTGGTTTGCAAAATGCTATTCTCTTCCGTGAGAGTCCGTGCTGTTTTGGCTTTGATTGTGCCGATATCTTTGATGCTTGACTGAGAATCCTCCAAGCTGTCGTCGTGGAATTCACTGTCATACCCTGATATCTCATCGTCTAAGCTGGTCTTTCCGCGATCAGAAACAGAAGGGTTGGAGGAATGTCGGCGGGACTGCGCAGTAGGATTTGCTGATCGTCGGCGTGTATTATCGATAGAGGCGCTCTTGCCGGCTGAGGGGCTCAAAATGGCGCTCGAGTCGTCGATTGACCCAGTCTGCTTCGAAGTTGATCCAGACTCTAAAGTATTCAACCGTATAATATCATTCGTGCTTGCAGACAGTGTCCTTCGTTTTCGCTCTGTAACCATGTGCTTTGGTAACTCAGTAAGTGCTTGTGTCGTGATAGTCGCAGTAATACTGTCGGTAGACGATTCATGCTCTTCGGGGATGTTATTCAAAGTCGCGGTTTCGTGATCGTGCTCTCGGCCAGGTGTGCCTGTAACAGTGGTTGAAGTACGCCGACCACCTGCAATTATCACTGCATCCACAAGTTCATTCGTAGCCCTTCGCATCTTGTCACGCAGATTCGGCTCTGCATAGCTGACTGCGCCTCTTGCGCGCCTGGATGGACGCGATCCAAGCCCGGGAAGGGGCATCGAGTCTGTGACTGCGGATTCATTCGCATTGAACGACTTTTTCTGAATATGTCCGCTTTCTAGGGGCTTCGGCATGGTTGGGACTAGCGGTTTGATGGACTCGTCCTCGTATATGGTAGCTGTGGCTGCTCGCTTCGGCTTTTTCGTGTTTTCAGATCGAAACTGTGAAGCGTTCTTCGCTGGTTCTGCTCTGCGTGAATTTTCATCGCCTCCCTGTTTATTCATCGATTTCTCTGGCTTGCCTTCAGCCTGTTGGGCTGTCTCCTTGGTCTGTTTCTTCGTTGACGATGCCATGTTTGTGGTTTCTGCAAGATCTAGTCAGCGTGATAATTCAAATATCATGAGTGCAATCGACTCAACGTACTCGGCTCCAATACCTTCCGCTTAGCAGCAGGTGCCTTCTTTGGGGGCTGTTTCTTTTCTTGGACCACAGACTCATTCACAATTTCAACGATCACCCTCGGACGATCGGTTCGTAATTCGACTGCACGCGTGAACTGAAAGTCGTCGTCCATTGTACTTGTGTTGGTCACAGGCAGCGGCGAAAATGTGAGCTCGTCTTCCGTCGCGCTGAACTTTCGCTTCGAGCCGGAAAGGACAGGAGGTGATGCAGACTTGGCTGGCGAGACTTGCTGCTCCTGTATTGGTAGCTCCTCGTTTATGTTGCTTACAGATTCTGCAGGATTGTGCCCGTTATCTTCCGCTTCTGGCAGAATAGCCTCGTCTGTATCAAGAAAGTCGCTGTGTCGTCTTCTTGCGAGTGGACTCTGGTTTATATCGAAATGTGCAACTGGGGGCGACCCTATGCTAGGGGAATCTATGTCCTGTGATTCTGCGAGTTCCTGAGGACTGAATACGGTTAGCGCTAGAACTCTGATGGGAATCGGTGCTCATCTTACTCGAGCGTTCGTCTTGGAAAGTATTTGTCTTCCATGATAGTCGGTAGTCTGTCGCCATTGTCGTTCCATGTTAATGGTCTCCGGTTGGGATCAGCGGAGCGCTGAGTCTCACTTTCCGCCTCAAGATGCGCAGTCTTTTTCATAAAGCTCTCAGGGATCAAACCCAAGTCGCTGACCAATTTGTTCAACTCCGATACCTTGGCTGCCAATTTATCTTTGCATTGATGAATTTCCTTGTGGAAAGCTCGACCGGCGGCATACTTTTCGGCATCGTGCGTTAATGAAATGACCTGTTCCTTGAGAGCGGCGTTTTCTTTAAGTAGATGAGATAATTCGGCCTCTAGACCTTGGATTCGCAGTGACTGGAGTGAGTTCACCCGAGCAATTTCACGGTTCTGACGCACGAAACGTCTTTTGACTATTTCGAGTTTTTCTCAGCGCTGAGTTCAAATTAGTCAATAGACAGATAGACAATTACTTACGAGCCTCTACAGACTCCGCCGGTCCAGGTATTTCGTTCAAACGCGCCATGTCGCAGTTTAAGATGTTTCTCTCTATCAGGCTCAATGGCCTTCAGCCGGTAGCTGCGGCAACCTTTCCACGATTTTATGATATCCTCGTATCATACAGTTTCTGTTCGTCGTAGTGAAAGCAACAGCAATTGGCGACTCGATGTTGACCGAAAAGTGATGGAGATTTGTCGTGTGTTCGGTTGTTGAGGAATGATGTTTTACCGCTCGTTTGGGTTGCTTGTTGATGTTTGTCCGGATCTGGTCTAGCTTCGCTATGGACCCCACCTACTGAGATTCACTTCTTCTACACACAACTTCTGCTTCTCTATTGTTTGAAGACTCTAGTTCTCATTTAATCGGTGACTTTACTCTTGCGAACAACACAATGGCGCATCCCACCATTAACGCATCTCTCCGCCAGAGCAGTGCCTACCCGACGACGTCACAGCAAGCCATGGCTTTAACCATGCGAATCGAAGCGAAAAAGGCCGAATTGGAGAATCTCACCCAGCTACGTGATCTGAGCAATGCGCTTGCCTCGCAAATGCAAGCTCTCGAGGCAAAACTAGCTACCTTGAAGGACGGCACGGAATGTATGTCGATAATGTGTTGTCAATCGCCATGTTGTCTTTTGTACTGATACATTTAATAGCCATTGCTTGTGTTTTGGCAAATTGGCAGAGCGTTTTGCAGGCGATTAATATGGCGACCAGTATGAGCTTCCTTGCGATCGATCTTACTGTACTCGGGTTGTTTTGCATAGAGCGAACGATGCTGATGATATTAATTGAGCAGAGAAAACAGCGGCCGGCGTTGAAGGGCTTGCGACCGGCGAGAACCGTCCAGCTACACTTGTGAGGATACCTACTGCGACGATTGACACGCTTCGGGATGCTTGATCGGTCTACTACTGGATTGAGCTCTTTCGAGTGCTAGACAAAATTGCGAGATTTCAACTATGCGCAAGTACGACAAAACACGTGTTCCCACTACATACTTCCGGATCGAAGCTCGATGGGACCGTCTTAGTCCAAGCTTGAAACTTTTCAAACTCGTGCCACGTACAAACTCGGCATCCACAACGCAACACGATGATCCACGATGCTTGGCCATTATCGCATTATCGGGCACGAAGCAGGCAATGACCTACGAAATACGATGATTTTTTTTTTTTCGCAGGAACTACAATGCGATCGTCACCGAGTTCGAAACAGGCAATGAGAGTAGTCGGAGAAGTGGGACTGCAGTGATAGACAGTCTGTTCGCGAGAATCGATGGCGGCGATCGGGATAGGGCGTAGCGTCGAGCAGTAGATAGCCAACAAATACCTCCAGAGTGAAAGGCTTTCGAGCTAGTTATGGGGGCTTGTTATCTTGATCTCGAAATTGGGGAAGGGAGGAGGGGATTCAAAGAGATAAAATCTAAGGGAAGAAAGAGTTGGGAGAAAAACTCCTCGAAAAGACGTAAAAAATGGCCTACACACTGGATCGAACAGAGCATACAGTGCTACCACACCATATGGGCATGCTGCGTCGGGTGTACTAGGGTGAACCGCCCACTCGGCTCATCGATTCGACACTACGTAGTGATTTGGAATCAGAGCATCGTACCTAGCTACAATAGATATGTGTACATGTGAATAGGAGGGCGCAGAGTCGAAGATAAGCTATCTATAGTCAGTGGTCAGTATGAGGTGTGCTGGGATCCGAGTGGCTGAATCATGGCTGGATCGAGAGAGCCGGCTCACGATTCGTGATAGCTACGTTACGTCCATATATGGTACATAGTATATCTAATCTGTAGCGGCGTAGTTAGTTGGAGAGACTAAAGTCATTCATGGTGTGTTCGGTTATCAAGACTGATCCTGGTCGCTGCGTTGATCATGTTGCAAAGCATACTATATCGTACATCGTATGTATTTTTGATCTGCGCATACGAGATGAACGGTCCAATCAGACAGCTAGCTTAGGTTTTTGCTTAAGCGCGCGAACCCGCCGAAATTATCTGCCCGTCAGACTTGGAAGAATGCTGAATACTTGATATGCATAATCTTTCCACCTGTTTCTACACTACACACAGTACGTACATAGTACGTACTGTAAAAGACCAAGCGTCCGTCGCACAGAGCTTCCCCTCATTTACTGGCGTGGGCGGCCATTGGAATGCTTATAGAGTAGTTTTGCTGTTTCAGCATCGACCATCACCTCGCCTCGAAGCGTGCTAGGCTGAAGTCATCTGATACGTACAGTGAAGGAATTCCTCGACAATACGGAGTAGTTATTCAATTCAGTTCAGTTCAGCAGTCAACGGCGAATCAACGACGGCATGTGCATAGCAATCGACGTGGAACCATTCAGTCTGAGCGTGGTTGTCGCTGGCCAGTCCAGGAACAGCGCTTAGTGCGTGCTCGCCCACACTACGTAGCGCTATGTAGAGCTATATTGGCATACTAGTAATACCGTAATACTTAGTATGCATGCTGATGCAGGCCACCATGAAATGAGGTACGATAGGAGACGCCCAATCAGCCTGCACCGTGCGAGCTGCCGGAGGACGAAGCACCGCTGGAATCTCATTTACATACTATGTGTATGTAGTATGTGTTATTAACTTACCTAGAATAACATGGTATGTATCCACCGCGAGAGTCTATCATCTGCACCTTCTGTGCTCCGTGAGTGTGTTTTTGGATGATATATCTGTGAATATATAAATATACATATATATGTATATATGTATATGTGTAGATATGCAGTCTCTAGTAGACAATCAGACAATACGGTACAAATATTCCTCTTCGATGGTGCCATCAGATGACATTCCACTGCATGTCCAGTACGTGTATGAGCTAATTAATTATGTGCAAACCCTGGTCAAATGCCCGTAACGTTTCGTACGGCAGCGTAACGCTGTAATTATCTGCAGGGTGACCCCGTACTAGCACGTATTACTACATAGTGCAGAGTATGCACTAACTAAGTTAACTTACTGCCTATGCTTCATTGGCTTGACGTGGGAGACTGGAGGTCATGGCGCTATCGTGATCATTGCTCAGACCAGCCAATTCTGACGAGCTAGTATGTACTATGTTTGCTAATGTTGTGGGGAACTTGGGGATGAAACCCCTCTGCGCAGACAAACTGATTATATATCCACGATTCTTGCCACTTCTTTTCAGATGTTGCTGTTGTTTGGACTTAGGACTGATTCCAAAGTCGAGCACGCCTACCTGTGATGGTCCGTTGTTTTCTATTCTCTTCTTCCTACTGTTGCTCTCGGACACGCTTGGCTCTTGGATCCATCAGCCTTGCTCTTGTGTGAGCCTTGTGGTCTTGTCTTAACCGGTAGCTTAGACCAGGCAGACATGATACAGCCTTTTGTCGGATACGTTGTTTATAATCTGTGATTGCGAAAGCCCTGAGTCATCCGCAGACATCCGCGAATATAAAGCTGGCCACTTCTCGTCAGATAACCCGAAGGACTCTCAGTCATACCAAATCTCACCAACATAATGTCAGCCGACTGGTCTCTCGATTTTTGCTTGGTCTGTGACCAACAGACCTCCGGAGCAGGACCCTACTGCTCCCAGAGCTGTCGACTAGCCGACTTGGATCAGAGTGCATCCGAGTCTTCTCTCTCGAGTTACCCTGTCTACCTCTCTTCCAAGTCAAGCATACAGCCCAAACCGAGTTCAGTCTCATCCACACAGTCCAGGACCGCTACCGGCAGTCGACAACCTCTCGGCAAACGCTCTTCTTCCTCCTTCTCCTCCACCAGCTCGAATGAGCAGTCGTCGAGCCTGACATCGACTTCGTCTCAGACGTCGCTGTCGTCCCTTACCAGCACACTGTCTCCTTCTGCAGCACTGTCGAATCAGGTCCGGCATGAACTGCAAGACTATTCGAAGAGCTTCGACCAAGTGCGAGACTGGAAGAGACGCTTAACGAACTCATGATCATCCTTCCAATCATCATCACCACTCAACACTCTGCTACGCTCTCACAACGACGACATCGATGGCGTTCAAACAAAACATCTTCCTTTCGGCGTCTGGATTCACTTTACTACTATCGGCGTTTCTGAAATCGTTCACATCAGACATATCACGAATATCCCATTTGCGACCATTTTCTTCAACATTACCATCATGAAACATTATTCGGCGTATGAATGGAGGCTCGACTGTAATATATATCACATCACATTTCATCAGACTATCGATGGACTATCCGGTAAACAGTGACGGATTGCCACGTCGGTTCATTTTACCTGTGCTTGGGGACGGAATAAGGGTTAAGGTTAGGGTTACAGGCATGGAGTTTTCTTTGCATCGGCGGATCAATCTACATAGTAACGCACGATACTGGACTTGACTTGGAGGGATACTATGTAGTGTCAGCATGCCGGTCACATCTCCGACATCATTTGCGCAATCTCGGGCCGAGAAGAGGCGCTGCTCCACATGATCGGCATCCCTTTTCTTGATAATCTTGAATGCTTTTGATGGCAAAAGGGAAGCCGTGATTGTCCTGAATCGTACTAGTGCAGCATGACATACTACATAGTATGAATATATATGATCCCTCCTCATCCTCTGTACCGCCTGAATACTCCGTGTCCTACTATGTATACTCGTGACTGCATTACCCACTGGCAATTGACAGGGGACTGAGAGGCTGGGCCAGATTTTCGTGCGGAGGCAAAGGTACCGCAATTCTCCCAACTCCACAGTGGGTAACGCGAGATAAAAAAAATTATGGGTATTGTATCAGATTCTGATGGTCAGATGATGACATTTTTAGCCTGGGCAGACTGAAAGCAGTAAACGAAAGTAATCTAGAACCGTCAATTGATCTTGAGAGTATTCACTCAGCACTGCAAAGGTACCACTGAGGAGGGAGGATATATAAATATCTCTATATATATACTTACTATACCGCGTAGTATATAGGACTATGAACTCTGGCATGCCGCCACTCCCGCCCATGATTGGTGGGAGAATTATGTCCGACACTGTTCTGTACTCTGTAAGTTACTAAGTATGTGTGCTCTGAGCGAACACAAAGTATTGCGAGCACGAGTAGGCACTATCGCGATGACTATTCAATAATGTCAACCCGCAAGGAATACATGTGACTGTACAAAGGCGTGGCTGGCATCTGACTGCCATAGGTGGAGTGCGCACTCCGTATGCTAGCACGGAGTCTCACCGGACGATGGCCCGTAGATCGTTGTCGTCTGTTTGACTCATCTGTCATTCTGCCAATTGTCGTATATAATTCTGTACATGGCACTGTTCAATTGAATGAGTATACACTGATCTATACTGTGAGATATATATATTTATATACGTACGAGCATACAAGGAAAGACTTCCGCAGCTCGTGGATCAACCACGTCATAGTTCTTGCTCATCCACTTTTTTTTATTGAACCGGTTCTCTCTTCCTCCTGCTCGCTCACTCTCCCGGTCATCTCTCCAGGGGCTCCCTTGTGTCGTTTATCATTTTTTCTCTTCTCTCTCCTCTCCTCCTTCCGTTTGCACTCTTCGACTATTCGTTCATCGCGGTGTTAGACAATGGCCTCCCAGCACTCCCGCCGCTTTGTCCGGCCTCTTTTATATACGTCCGCCGCACTAGCCACCGGCACTGGTCTTCTCTACGTCGCATATCGCCCACGCAACATCCCAGGTTCAGAGCCCGCGGTTGTGCCGCCGCCCGGTTATCGTTCGGGAAAGCTTGTGCCCCCAAGTTTCCCGCGCATCAAATCGCGTGAAGAGCAGATCGCCGACTTGCGCCGGAGCGCTGGGTTCGGTGCCCAAAATGGAGAAGAAGAACCCTACGACTTGCTCGTCATCGGAGGAGGTGCGACCGGTTCTGGTATCGCGCTCGATGCTGCGACCCGCGGTCTGAAGGTCGCCGTGGTCGAGAGAGACGATTTCAGTGCGGGAACAAGTAGTAAGAGCACCAAGCTGGTGCACGGTGGTGTTCGTTATTTGGAAAAGGCCGTTTGGGAATTGGACTATGCCCAGTATGCTTCTACATCATAACACCATCTCAAACTACCCCGAAGAATCCGAAAACAGAAAAAAGCGAATCACCAATTCTTTCGTTTGAAAGATGTAGCTGACGAGGTTATCTTCTGCCATTTCTCAGGTACTCGCTCGTCAAGGAAGCGCTCCGTGAGCGTAAATACTTCTTGAAAACCGCTCCTCATCTGTCTTCATGGCTGCCGATTATGGTCCCTGTGCAGAAGTGGTGGCAAGCGCCATACTTCTGGATGGGTTGCAAGGCCTACGACTTTTTGGCTGGATCCGAGGGAATTGAGAGTTCCTACTTTCTTACACACAGCAAAGCTCTAGATGCTTTCCCTATGTTGAAGAAGGAGGACTTGTTCGGTGCTGTTGTTTACTACGGTAGGATTACTTTCGAAGTGTTTTACAACATCATACTAAGAAGTTACAGACGGTGCACACAATGACTCGCGTATGAACGTTTCTCTAGCGATGACCGCGGCCTTGTACGGTAGCACAGTCGTTAATCATTTGGAAGTGACCGGTTTGACCAAGGATGCCTCTGGAAAACTCAACGGAGCATATGTCAAGGATCTTGTGGCCGAGAAGAACGGCCAAGAAGCAAAGGACTTCCACATTCGCGCCAAGGGCATCATCAATGCTACCGGTCCTTTCTCCGACTCTATTCGCAAGATGGATGAACCCGAGACCAAGGAAATTGTCGCCCCTAGCTCTGGTGTCCACGTCATTCTGCCCGGTTACTACAGTCCCTCCAACATGGGTCTTATTGACCCCTCGACGTCTGATGGCCGTGTGATTTTCTTCTTGCCATGGCAAGGAAACACCATCGCTGGAACAACCGACCGAGCCACTCAAATCACTGCTCATCCTCAGCCTGACGAGGAGGACATTGACTGGATCTTGAAGGAGATTAGCGGATACCTTGCTCCGGATATCAATGTGCGACGAGAGGATGTTCTTGCGGCATGGTCAGGAATCCGACCTCTCGTCCGAGACCCCAAGGCTAAGAATACCGAATCTCTTGTGCGAAACCATTTAATTACTATCTCTGCAGCTGGTCTCTTGACCTGCGCTGGTGGAAAATGGACAACCTACCGACAGATGGCCGAAGAGGCTGTTGATGAAGCCATCAAGGCATTCGCATTGCAGCCTCGCAAGGTACAAGATGTCCCTGACGTAAGCGGTACAGGACTCAAGACGGACAACTTCAACCTGGACGGTACCTGCCAAACCCATCAGGTTCGCCTCATTGGCGCACACGGATACTCCAAGACTCTCTTCATCAACCTCATTCAGCACTTTGGAATCGAGACAGACGTTGCCAAGCACTTGACAATCTCATACGGTGATCGTGCATGGCAAGTCGCCGCCCTCTCTTCGCCTACAAATGCTCGCTTTCCTCTTCGCGGAACACGTGTGTCCTCTTTGTATCCCTTCATTGATGGAGAAGTCCGCTATGCCGTGCGACACGAGTATGCTCAAACCGCAGTCGATGTTTTGGCCCGCCGAACCCGTCTTGCATTCTTGAATGCTCAAGCTGCCCTCGAAGCGCTACCCAGCGTTATTGATTTGATGGCCGAGGAATTGAAATGGGACGAGAAGCGAAAGAATCTTGAGTGGAAGGACACCGTTCAATTTTTGACTTCCATGGGTCTTCCTCAGAGCCGTGTCAACATAACAAGAAAGGAAGTCGAAGAAGGAAAATCTCGTATCTTGATTGAGGGCAAGCCCAGCTCAGCCAGCACTGGTATGTTTCTCTCCCTTGCGCCGTGAAATACTCAGACTAACGACTTTCCAGACTCGCCGGCCGATATCCTCCAGGGCGATCTTACAAGCATCGGCAAGAAAGATCCCGGCATGAGCCCGGAGTCGCCCGTCAACAAGTAGATTGACTTTGGGGAGGCGGTTTGTATTATACCTATAGAACAATATCTATAAAATGCTGTATGAGAGGGTATGATCTTGGGTCGTTCCTTGTGTTAGTTGATAGAACGTACATAGATCGTTGGCGTTATCAAATGTTTTTCATCAATATTTGTCTCAAGACCGTTTCCCCTAGTAATCCTACAGGAAGTATAGAACAGCCGCCCGCTTTCATTGGCGAGACTCCGATAATGGTGCTGCCCCACCTGATCTCTAATTTTGTACGCTTCAATCCTCAGCAGTCTACACCTGCAATTCTCAGCTCTGTGTATTTGAATACAGTCGAATTCTCAAAATGGTCTACTACTTCGTTTCCAACGTCGTCTCTCCCTCTGCCACCATCTACGTCGGCAAGGACAAGTTTGAAAGTGAGCCCTCCAAAACACCGAACAAGTGCTATACAGGGTCTGATGTACAATTCTCTAGATGAGGAGCTTATAAAGCACGGCCTGGAATCAGACGTTTGGTAATCCACCTTCATATTTCCCGGTTAAAAACAGCATCGACCGGCATATACTGATTGCATGATGCCAGGGTTCGTTGTCTATTCCCTTCCCCGCCAGAGTTCTATGCGAAAGTAAGAAAGAGAAGCCTGACACGGCTGCTAGTTCCACGTCGATAATCTGTCCAGTGCGCACGTATACCTACGACTAAGGGAAGGCGAAACATGGGAGAATATACCCAAGGAGCTCCTGGAGGACTGCGCGCAGTTGACCAAGGCCAATTCGATCGAGGGTATGCCGAACTCGACATAACCAGACGGAAAGTTACTGATGGGACCCGGAGGATAGGTAACAAAAAAGATAACGTCACAGTCATTTACACCCCCTGGGCAAACCTCTTGAAAAACGCCTCCATGGCCACGGGCCAAGTCTCATTCCACAATCCTAAGCAAGTGAAAAAGGTGTTCGTCGCCGTACGCCAAAACCCGATCGTCAACCGGCTCAACAAAACACGCGTCGAAAAGTTTCCCGACCTGCAAGCGGAAAAGGAAGAGGTTCTCAAGAAGCAGCGCAAAGAAGAGCAGAGGGCGAGAGAAGATAAGAAATCGGCGGAGAAGAAGGAGAGGCAGGAGAGGGAGCAGAAGAAATGGCAGAAGGAGCATGCTTATGATGATTTGTTTAGTGAGGAGAATATGATGCAGAGTAACAATCAGGATCGAGGAGATGACTTTTTAGATGATTTTATGTGATTTTATCACCAATTGAAGAGAACCTCAACATATTCATATAATCATTAATCAAGAATATACTCGTAAGAAACAGTTGGATGTATGACAGAAGCTCCGCTATTGACACGCACCTGCCACGGCCCGCATTGACTAAATATACTCCTGCGTCGACAGTTACGTATACCACAACCATCTCGACAACTACACAACTGCCAAACAACAGTCCACCATGTCGCCGGACAAGCAGTCTTCTAGTTTGTCATTCTTCTCTGATTATCTACAATTTGCACTAACAAAATGCAGGCGCAAAGTCCAAGAAGAATAAGAAGAAGAACCAGGCCAACAAGCAGCATGCCGATAGTGGCAAGGCCGCGGAGAACGACACACAGAATGAGAGTGTTGTAGAGGAAGAGTTAAGAGATAATGAGGGAGCAGAGGTGAATATAAATTAATGCAGCTCCTCAGACATTCCTTGCTAACCTATCACCATTCATAGAACGAAGCCCAGGATGTCAACGGTGAAAGCAAAGCCATCGCAGATCCTGCGACGGAAGAGCAGAGACTCGATGAGGATAATGACGATGACAACAAACCCCCCGAACCTGAAACGAAGACAAGTACCAAACCGGCGGACTCGGAAGACAACAGTAAATTCGACGACCTGGTACGAGACCGAGACTCTCTCCGCGCCGAAGTGACCGAACTCCGCAAATCGCTGGAACAGATCCAACACAAACACGAAGAAGAAATGGAAGCGTTGCAGCAGAAGTTAAACGAGTCTGAAGACAAAAAAACGCAGGCTGAGACACAATTTCAGAAACTCTTGGAGCGAGTGAATACGATCAAGTCGCAATTGGGAGAAAGGTTGAAAGAGGATGCTGTACGCCAGCTCAAACACATATTATTGAAGCTTACTGACAAAGTTACAGGAAGAGCTTTCTCATGCTCGATCTCGCATCGAAGAATTGGAAGACCAAAATACGGCCCTGACAGCCGAGGTGAGCGAAAAGTTGACCAAAATCGCAGACTTGGAGAAAGACGCACGAGAACATTCCAATGAATTATCGAGTCTGCGCAACAGGGCCAATCTATCGCAGCAGAACTGGCAGCAAGAGAAAGAGGAGCTCATTGAACAAGAGTCGTATATCCGGTCCGAATTCGAGGAGGCGAAACAGGCAATGCACAATTGGGAGGTGCTGGCGATGGAAGAGAGATCGATCCGCGAGGGACTTACGGAGAAGGTCAATGATTTGGAAGAGCAGCTTTCGAGCCTTCGTGATGAGTATAATAGTGCTGTGTCGGATAATAATACGCAATCCAACACGATTGATGGTTTGCAGCGAGCGTTGCAGGAGATTCAAGACGGTACTTTTCCCTCTCAGGTTGTTTATATATTACTGGGCTGATATGAAACAGCACGAAAACAAGAACTCCGTGAGCTTGTGCAAAGCTCCGATGCACAACTCGAGGAACTCAGAGAGAAACTCCAGCAGGTTGAGAAACGAGCAGAAGAGGCCAATACGGAACTCAAACAGGCACAGGCAGAATTGGATCGACTCCTCCCCTTCGAGAAAGAGGTCAAGGAGAAGAATCTCCTGATTGGTAAACTGCGACATGAAGCTGTTACGCTGAATGATCATTTGACAAAGGCTTTGAGATTTTTAAAGAGAGGTAAACCAGAGGATAATGTTGATCGGTATGTCAATCTATCTACCCTATGATGATCCGGAGAATACTGATCCATCAAGACACGTTGTGACAAACCATCTTCTACACTTCCTGGCCCTTGATCGCTCCGACCCGAAGAAGTTTCAGATTTTGCAGCTCATAGCAGCTCTTCTACAATGGGATGATGGTAAATCTCCTTTTTCTCATCACTCATCCATTGGTACTAACTTCTACAGACCAAAGAGAACAAGCTGGACTCAGTCGTCCCGGCACCTCAACTACAATAAGCAACATCACCACTGCACTCAAAGTACCCAGTTTCTATGTACATCGAACACCGAGCACACCCTCTCTCATGAGCGATTACATGGAGAACGGGAATAATGCTGCTGGCGGGAAGGAGACTCTTGCAGAATTGTGGTCTAATTTCTTGGAGCAAGAGGCCGAAGCTGCTGGGAATGGAAATAAACGGGGGTCTGCAGCTGGAATCTCGCCTCAATAGTGATCATGATCCCTTCTTTGGTGGGTTCACAGTGCGTGTAACAGCATGTCCCAGATGTATGTATTATTAGCCTTATTTACGTAGATACAGTACCAAACAGTTCTATATGCAACATGAACTTCAAGTCTTGAACCAAATCAATCACTAGCCCCAAACTTACCCCCATCAACAATCCAATCTCTTAGCTCTATATAGGCCTTTTCCAAATCATCATTCACAACAATCTTGTCATGTGCACCGGGCTGTTTCGAGTACTCCAACTCATTCTTCGCCTGCGCCAGACGTTTACTCAGACTATCCTCCGTCTCGGTGCCGCGACCCCGTAGTCTGCGCTCAAGCTCTTCAATGGAAGGCGGAGAGAGAAACAAGAACCGCGCGTTGAGGTCTGTTCGTTTCACTTGTTTTACGCCTTCCATTTCGATGTCGAGGATGCAGATGCGCTGTTTGGAGGCGATGTTGCGCACGGCTTGTACGCTGGTGCCGTAGAAATTCCCGCCGAATTGAGCGTCTACATGAAGCAAAAGCTGGTCAATTGAAAATGTGTGTTCCAGTTGAACAGTTGGAAGGGGGACCCACGTTCGATAAACCCATTCTCGCTGACGAGTTTCAGAAAGTCCTCTTTTGTCGTAAAGTAGTATTCCCTTCCATCTTCCTCGCCTGCTCTTGGGGAGCGAGTGGTGTCTTTATATAGCGCAATGTCAGCAAGTCGTGTTGCATCAATGCCACCCAAAAGGAGTATCCATACGAGAAATCGAGAAACCAAAGGTATCTGGGAACTCTTCAAAGAGTCTTTTGAGAAGGGTCGATTTGCCTGTGCCAGAGGGACCGGATACCACGACCGGGCGGTATTTGTGTACTATACGAACATACTTGTAAGCTTCATTTGGCGAAATGTAGGGCAAAGCTGTTCGTACCTGATGAAGTAGCCATGGCTGATGCGCGCGTGCGCGGATAGATGTTATAGGTAGCTTGGAAACTCGACTTTGCGAATACAGATCGAAATCTTTGCGAGGCCAGCGCTCGGCAACTAAACATGTAATTGACTGTCCACAGTTCTGGGGCGTAGAAAGTTGTGTTGAAGACTTTCATATGTCGGGGAAAATTGGCGCGGGGAAATTGTTCAAGTCGGGCGGTGAGAAGCCTGACTGCCTCTATAAATTCCATTAGAATACATTACTTAGAAGTCCATAACTTTACAGCCTTGCTCTTTCTATAGGAACTGACTGTTTAGCCGAAAAAATTGTGCTAATTACTGAATGTCGTTGTAAAGATAGCTAGTCAAGCTCAAGTCATACCCGTATCGGGACAGCAAAGGAAGCAAAGAAAGGAGAGTAGTAACAAGTGACTCGAAAAGAAAATTGCATAGTTAAAAATGGATATCTGTAACAGGCAAAAGGAAAACCGCTCTCACGGGCTTATTATAACAGTAAGCTTGTTTATTTTTGTCTGCGTCCCCGTCCGTCCCCTTCGTCAACCGACATGTCGGTTGTCCATTAGTCGTCACCCATCCACAGCCAATCTGAACCTAGTAGCCGTTCATGGTGACTCTCTGAGAGTTCCGGCTGAGCTCGCGATCAGCAGATGGGCTGATGGGTCGGCTACCACCGGTGTGTCCACCGCCGGCAGCACTGCTCTCCTTTAAGGCCATGAGTTGTTTGGCACGGAAAGTCTCGTAGTGGATCTGGCTGGTGGTTTCAATGAGGTCTTGGAGGTGGGTGCGGGTCAAAAAGTTGCGGAGGTACACAAATTCGCAGTGGTTCTCGTCTTCGACGTTGATCACGCCCCAGCGGTTCTGGCGGCCGCGTACTTGCTTTCCGTTGACGACAATGTTCTTCTCGCTTCCGACGACGGCGAAGGGGATGATATCCTAAATTCATTAGCACCATTGTCACTGTCATAGTGCTAGTAGCACACACCTTGATCTGGACGTTCATCACGCGCTCCTCATCATCCAACTCGTCATTGTCGTAGGGGTACATCTTCAAGTTGTGGAAAGTGAATTCCTCCTTGATTCTCTCCTTGAATGCTTGTCGCTCTTCCAAGGTTAAGGAGTCGGACTTGGCAATGACGGGAACGACATTCACAACGTCGGAAAGCTTTTTAAGGACGACGATATCGATCGGCTTGAGGCTAGGACTCGGTCAGTATCATTAGTAACCAGAGTGCCGAAGAACGTACGCATGGCCGGATGGTTGGATGAAGAAAAGACAGCAGTGAATACGTGTGTCTTGGATGTAACGCTCTCGCTGAGCTGTGAGTTCCTTGCGGAGGTAGGCAGAGTGCTGATCTTTGATGTATTTAACGATGGGGTCCCAGCTACCACAGTCAGTACAAATAATCCTGTTCATGTCTAATCGCGAATTCGTACCATCGGTCATTGTTGACTTGGTCACCGTATCCGGGGGTATCGACAATGTTGAGCCTCAAACGTACACCGTTTTCTTCGATGACTATAAACACAGCAAGTTGAGTATACTATACTTTCCGAACATGTAGATATCATGGCTGACATACTGTGAGAGACGGTCTGAATTTCAGTCGTGGAGCGGACGGGCTCATTAGGGGTCAGGCGACCCTTGGAGTCGATCAAATGTGAAGCAAAGATGGTATTGATCAAGGTCGACTTTCCGAGACCAGTCTGGCCTTATCACACAAAGACAAACAACAGTTAGCTCATTGTTTCGTAACCAGAAAATGTCGAGCCGCGACTGTAGCACTAACCGACACACATAACATTAAACTGGAAACCACGCTTCAGGAGCTTCTTCTCGATCTGCGAGGTGATGCTGTCGAAACCGACATGGCTGCGAGGGAAGACGGTGCTCGGGGGAGCTGCGACAGTGGGTGCAGAGGCCATGGCTAGATGGAACGAGACACGCACGTAATGGGGATGAAAATCGACGAGAAGTGACAATATGAGAGAACAAGAACTGTGAATCAGAAAGAAACAGCCGACAGTCCGAACACCAAAGACGTTGTTTCGTCGATTCCAGACAGATGACCCCCTATTATTGAGTTTGGGAGTTGTTTCTGGCTGTTGCGGGCGGATCAATCAGGGGGACCGCACTAGTCCCGACATGATCTAGCCCATAACAGCTTCAATTGCCCAACGAAAACATTCCGTGCGAGCTCCACCTCGAAAGGAAAGGCTTCATACGAAATTTCTAGGCCGAGCAGTCGGATGCCGCGTACAACTCCAGCACCCGCCGTTGTGTCACTCTTACCGTCTGCGATTTGCGCTCGCTAGTTGAGCACTGCAGTCATTCACGCTGCAATTTCTCGTTTTCGACCGATCCATCCAAAACACAGCCATGGCCGTCCGACACATCTCCGCGCTTCCATTTCTGTCGCCATTCACATCCCCCGTCCTGCGACAGTCACGACAATGGAGCAATCTATACCAGCGAGCCGTTTTGCTCCAGGGCTTACCACTCCTCAGTGGATACATCGCCAATGAAATCCCCTCGTTCCTAGCCGGCCTCTGGGAATCAGTTCTCCGCGCCGTCCCCAAAAAGAAGACCTCCCACATGAAGAAACGACACCGACAAATGGCCGGCAAGGCATTAAAGGATGTGAAGAGCTTGACTAAATGCCCCGGCTGTGGAGAGCCGAAGAAATCGCATGTTCTATGCCCTGAGTGTGTTAAAGGTATGGCAGGKTTGAAACCATTTATTTCTGTTCGCAGACTGATTGTTCTTCTCATAGACATCAAGGGTCAATGGGCGCAGGCCGCAATCGACAAACAGAAAGTAGATGCTGCGGCTAAACGCCACTGATTCATGTCGCGCATCATGAAGACTAAATACTTTCGAAGTGGACTACTTGATTCTTCAGTGGTCGGTGCATGGCAACAGGCGTTATCTGGGTGTTTTGTATTGTAGCATCAATGTTGTTTAGAGCTGTCAAGCTTACTTATCTGTACTATCTGAAAATTTCAAATTCGATCAACAAAAATGTTCTTTTTCATTGTGTGCTTCATTTCCCGTAAAAAAAAGCTGTACATAAAAAGGGAAGGCACCACCCGCACATCAACCTTGGCATCATCAGCCAGTTGATCGAAGCTCACAACCTTCCCCGCTACAAACCCCGCTGTTCTAGAGACAGAACTGCGAAAAAAACATGGTGAGGACACGAATTTCATGGCGCTAGAGTATGACCATATCTAACACGCTTCAAAGTCCAAACAGTATCTTTCGTGGGGCTCCGCGGACAACGGTAATTGCTTGCTCTAAGTGCGATACTACGATCCAAAGCTGATGAGCTATAGCCCACTCCGTTGATATTTTTTCCCTGGCTGTGACTTCCAACCAAATCATTTCAGCTTCAGGAGCATCCGCGCTCAAGATACACTCTACTAAGGATACAGATTTCCCGCTTACTCAAACAATCGAAGCGGCCCACAAGATTGGATGCCATCATGTCGTCACATCAAGGAATGGTCTGAAAGCTGCCAGCATTGGCTTCGGGGGCGAGTTCAAGATCTGGAATAACAATAACGGCGAATGGTCTGAGGAGTCAGCTTTATCGAGTGAGTGTTCTCATGCATGCATGAGCTAGGTCGTCTCTAAGAACGGATCAACAGACGAAATAAAAGAGCCAGACACGTGGGCGATCTGTCTATCAGAAGATGGGCGATATCTTGCAGGCACAACAAACAATGGCCATATCAAGGTCTGGGACCTAAGCAACGGCGAGCAGTTCAGAGACTACGAGACTAAGGGAGCCTTTGGTGCTTGTATTGATATGGTGCGTTGGAACGAAAGCTGTCCTTGAGCTGTTTGTTTATGACTAATTATGATCTAGTCAGGCGATGGAAAGTACATTGCAAGTGGTCACCAGAACGGGAGTATTTACATGTTTAGCAACGAAACCGGTCGTATGCCATTCTCATTATCTGGTAAGGGATCTGAGTGAGGTCAGAGAGATTCATTAATTTAATGTATTTGCAGGTCTTATTAAGCCAGTTCGCGCAGTGGCTTTCTCACCGGGTGGAAAGTTACTTGCAGCAGCCGGAGATTCCAAAGTCATTGTGCTCTATGACACAGAGTCGGGGGAACAAGTGACTCAACTGACCGGGCACTCGGCATGGATTCTATCACTGGACTGGAGTCACACTGGAGAGTATCTGCTAAGCGGGTAAGTTTATGGTTGCTTTGTAAAATCTGGATCGCTTCGCTTCTTCTGACAATTCCCAGATCGTTCGATGGCAAAGTGAAAGTATGGTCGATTGAACGCAGAACATGTGTTGCGACCCATTCAGAGAACGACAAGGCCGTATGGAGTGTGAAATGGTTGCCCAAGATAGGCAGAACGGAAGGCTTCGCGACTGCTGGTGCTTCTCGCAGTATATCCTTCTACAGAGAAGCTACAGGCGGTTAGGCTCACGGTCTCTGAGTTCGTTCGATGATGGAGTATTTGAATTCTATGCATGAAACGTGACGATGTTGACATGACGATCGGTGTGGCTGCAACTTTTTGCGAGCTGGTCTTGTTATATTACCCATGAAAGAATATTCTAATGATTTCATACACATCACTTTGAACACCAAATACTTCTGACAAGTCATAACCCATTATTTCATCGACTCCAAAAACAGTCGGCGCATCCTCTTCAAAAGTGCCCCAAAATCTCGGTCTTCGTTGACAATGTCCAACTCGCGTTCAATGGCCTCCCTCTCCAACTTGGGTTTGGTATGATATATCTCGTAATCCCTCGACGCAGTACCCAATTCAAACCAGGCCTCTTTCTCCCAGTCTTTCTCCAGAAGATGTGTGTATACTATCTTCAACCGATCTTCCCTTCCAGCACCCTCGATCCGCATACAGAGATAATCCTGCCAGAATTCTAATTCAGGAACATTCAGTCGAGCTTGTGAATCGAGGTACTGAGCATGCGCCTTTTGCGCCTGTAATTTCTGGTCGATTGCTTGTTGAGTCTCCGCAATTTGTCGCTTTAGTCTATCCCGTTTTGAGAGTCGGTTGTCGCGTTCAAGTGTGATCGAGGAGATGTGTGCGTGTATCTCTGCGGCTTCGGCGCCTTCGCGCTGAATCGTTTGTTGGTGGTCTTGAGTCTTGGAAGTCAATATTTTGATATCATTCTGCTTCATGTCGTAGTCCTCTGTTCAGGCAATACAATTAGCATGCTACGGCATTCCGCGACATGGCCACATACTCTGAAGTTCAGCCAGGTTGCTGTGAAACTGATTGCGTTCCTGCAAGACTTGTTTCCGTCCCTTCTCAATAAAAGCGTCAAATTTTGCTGTAAACTGTGCCATTCGACTCCGCAAATCTTCAAAGCCGAAATTGAGGCTTGGGAGAGTATCTGCTATGGAGGGAGCCTCTGCAGATGCCAATGGCGGTCGCATGGCGCTGGTGGATAATGAAGGCTCGAAGGACGACATCTTAGCTGCGTGGAGGAGATACAGTGCTGTAGAGAGTTTCAGAGACTACTCTTTGTTGTCTGGGTGTATGGCTGTATGGCAGTGAAGAGACGCGACTGATAGAGATCAAAAAAGGATGGCGCGGATGGCAGTTGCGGGGCAACCGCGGACTCCATACAAATTACTAGGCCGAGCTAGACCGCAACAGGAAACCCTTTGCTAAAAAATATCTCGAGAGCTTCTTTCCTTCCTTCTGCTTGATCCTCTATTGTCACATGAACTCGCTCACTTCGTCCAGATTCGTTATAAACACTTTATTGACAGAGACTCTCGATCATCCACATATCTTCGCCAGTCACCACCAAGTCCAGCTCCTACATGCTTGTTGGCCGCAATGAGTGACCGATTCTACATATTGACGAACATCGTGACAGCAATCAGGACAGGTCCAAATGGATGACCATACTTTTGGCCTTGCCCTTCAATACGGCAACCCGAGTCCTGCAACTTATACTTCAGCTAGCCAGGAGTGGCATTTTGCCCGACAATTAAGGCCCTGTGAGTTTACATAGACGATTTCATCTTGAATAATGCAAGCTGATGGTCTGTAGCGCAAATAATCTCCTACACAGGGTATGAGCGACGAGTAGTTGCCCCGTCTGCAGCGAATTTCCCGGTTGCTAGAGAAAAAAATAAAGACATCAATGCGCTATTGGAAGACTACCCCGAGCTGATAACCATTGCCCCATCGTTTGCGCGCGAAGAGGAATTATCGCACACCGTTCAAGAGGCCGATTCGCATTTCAACCCGCAAATATCTTCAGCACTCGAATTCGGAAATGCGCAGCTATCCGAGTACGTACGCACTCGTCGAGGTCGAATGCGGACTGTTCCTATTGCAGCCTTTACATCTGGACAGAATCAGAACGTGCTTTCTCTTCGCACAATTGAAGCTGAGAAAGTTGTTTCCAATCTCGACCAAGACGCTGCTTTTCGCGTGCCCACGATAGGTAATTCCAAGGGAGTCGATTGGGTTTTTACACAGACGCCTATCCGCCAGATCAAATTCGCCGACAGCATCGAAAGCCCAGGGGGTTTATTAGCCGTTCGTCTACTCTCTAGCACGGCTATATTGCAACCAATCTACCATCGAGAGGCTCAGCTCATAGAACCTCCTGAATTATTCGGCACAGCTTACTCTAGGTCGCAGCTTTCTCACATCGACCCATGTGTAGTTGCCGAGGTTGACGTATCACAGACGGGCGGCTTCACTCATGTTGATGTGACATTCAACCCGTGGTATCTTAAACAGTTCGCAATCGTGGATGAGCGCGGCCATTGGAGTATCTGGCAGTTGCAGGATATTGTCAGACTCGGTAGCGGTGTTGTTCCCGAACTGCAACACTCTGGCTTGCTACCTTGCGACGCCGTGGAAAGCGATGATGGTGACAGTCTTACTGATGAGGTAAAGTACGACACTTGGGGCAGAATTGAGTGGGTAAAAGATGTCAACACATTCATAGTTTGTGGGCGACGCAATGCCATGCTCTACGTTATGCAAGGAACGACTACTACGTCTTACGGAATTGAGCTGAATTGGCAATCTTCAACCGAATGGATCCTTGACGTCAAGTCCTTCTCGTCTCGGATTTCTCTCGTCTTCGTTCTGACTACGAGCCGAATTCTGTGCTTCGACTTCAAGACAGCAGGCCAAGAGGCACAGCTTATTCGCCCGCAGTTCGCCTGGCTGCATGATCGCGACGCCGACGATCTCACTCTTCGACTGACATCGCTCATTATCGGTGAAGGTATGAACATATACCGGATCTTATACACACCGTCTAAGTTTTGCTAACTTCCCCTTTCAGAATATTACTTACTTCTCTACTCGCGTCTTGACTCCTGTATACTGTCCTTTAAAGTCCCAGTTGAAGGATATGAAGATGGCAACTACTCGATGTCGGACCCATTCTTCGTCTATGTTCCCAGCAAACTCAGCACAAACGGCCTGAAGACGATTCGATACGAGACCCCCATCAAACAGATTCTTTTCAAAGAGGTCGAACAGCAAATATTCCTGTCAAAGCGCGTTGCCCTCGATCACTGCCCAAGGTTCATGAAGCTTTTCATACTCGACGGTGCCATGGCTATTCATGAATACTTGTACTCAATGCCAAGTGGTCTATCATCTACTGAAGAGCTGGAAGTGGGCCGTGAAGCTTTGCTCCTAAGTGCAGTCTCTCTTCTGCCGAACAAGAAGAAACGAAAAGGAGGTCGAGAGACAAGCGTTGAGCTATCTGATAATGATGAACTAGATGGAGTCACTGAAATGCCTCTATGTTTCTCTAAGCCTGTTGAAACCAGACCTGCTCGAGTATCTGTGGACTTTACGAGAATCTATTCTCTGCTTTCTAGCGGCGACTGGCATAAACTAATAAGACCATCAAACTCGCGTCCAGAGTATCAGAGCTTGAGAGATTATGTAGAGCATCTGATAACGGCGGTGACCGATTCGGCCGAAGAGGGCCCTCCTTTCGTGCACACCATGTAAGACACATCTTCTGTATATTCTTTGGGCATTGGCTGACTCCTTTAGGTTGGACATAATCGATAACCCTCCTGTTCTTTCTGATATCGACGATAGTTCTCATGAGATCGACTGGTTCAGATCTCGCTTTGCGCCCATGGAGTCCTCTGCAGAAACTGCGTTATGTTTTTTGCCGCTGAATTTATTGTCTGAACGGTCACAAGGACAGGTTAATGTACTTCGTTCATTCCAGCCGTTTGGTGTTTTGGTGCTCTACGAAAAGCTTGTGCGCGACTGGCTTTCCAAGTTGCCACGGCAGTTACCAAGCCGGATCCGAATCTCCAAGGAAAAATTGATCCGGCAAGTGTCTGTTGAACTTTCTTTGGCAGGCACGGTACAAATAGACACTTCTATCCCCGACAGTACCAGTGTCGTTTCATCTCAATCATCATTGCCAGGGCGGAGGAGCTCGACCGTCAGTCAACGAAATTCTGTCAATGAAGTGACCGATTTCTCAGAAGAGCATAACGTGATCACTCATGCCCTGTTAGATCTCAGGACAGTTTCACCGCCAAGCATGAGTCACTCGTTGGGAGGTGCCATACAGGATGTTCTTTCCTTTTGGGATGTTGGAGGGAACCCTGATGCCTTTGATTTGGAGAGGGCTCTGGCGGCAGAAACAACCGATGGGAACTTCAGCTCCAGATCTAGATCCAGATCGAAACAGCGGACGCGCACTCGTTCGCGATCGAGGGCTAATAGCGTCAACGCGAGAACCATACGAAGTTCTCCTGTTGTACCATCGATACAATTCTCTGGCAGCCAGCCTCAGTTCGACAGCTCGAAACTGCCCATACGAAGCAGTCAATTCTTACCAAGCAGTCAGATAACAGATAGTATGCCTATGACTCAAGTCGAGCGAGGCGTATTCGGTAGCCGACAAGCTGGGGGAAATAGCAATGTCAAGGCAAGAAAAAAGAAGAGAGCGGCAGGTTTCTAGACAGGTTGTCATCTGTGATCAGTCATCTGATGTTGACAGTAGCTATTAAGGCTTTCTAGACAGCTTTGCTGTATGTTTGAGAGGTTGTATCAGATGGTAGCAGCATTATCAATCTGATACGCCCGGAACATACGTACATGAAACATGAATGAGATATTTTTGCGCCGAGTCATTTATGCGTTGCATCTGCCACATAATCAAAGACTTTTTTCCAGCCAGTAATGCTCTATTTAGATATGATAGTCAAACAAGCAAGGAGCAATTTTTGCCAAACTAGTTAGTTACTTGCGTCGAATGCATTTGTAATGCATTCAGCTAGCCATTTGCCGCTGCGGAGATAAATGATTACATTACATCTTCACGGATGGCATCATCAGCATAAATATTTAACTACCTCTACCCACCTACCTTTCAAAAAGCAGTCAATTATTCACCTTACGATCTTTCATTTAATAATCCATCCAACGCCACAATCTATAACCAATCAAACAAAGTACCACCTACCTTATCGAATACTGCGCACTCTTCCATCTACATACCCCGCATACAATTCCCCTCCGTACAACTCGAAATGGCCGAACATCAATACAAATTCAACGTCAGCATGAGCTGCGGCGGCTGCTCCGGCGCTGTTGAGCGTGTCCTCAAGAAACTCGATGGTAAGTTCTTACTTTACTTCGCGCTTTCTCAAACAGCCAGATAAGGCGCTAACTCTTCGGTTTCTCTCAGGCGTCAAATCCTTCGACGTAAGCCTCGAGTCGCAGACGGCCACTGTCGTCGCGGAGGACTCCTTGGGATACGAAAGGGTTCTTGAGACCATCAAGAAGACCGGCAAGACTGTGAATAGCGGAGAGGCCGATGGTACTCCTCAGGCTGTTTGAGCTGGGGTTTCCATAATGAAGGAGAGGAAGAGATGGGATAACAATATACCTTGGACTACCACTGCCTGTGCATGTTACATAGTTCATACGATTTTTTATGAAAGCGAATGCATTCGAGGGATCAGAATGAATGAATACATATAATTTGCGTCTATTCATTGCACCAATTAGGATAATATCTACAACCAGGGTATCACTAATAAAACATAAAAGACCAATCACCAACACTCCATGGAAACTCGCAGCGGCGCCCAATTTGCCATGATATGAATATGAAGTGAGCTTGCTATATAGCAAACTAGGACAAGAAACAAAATGCTTAAAAGTAATTCATTGCCGCTCTTGATATGGAGCGGAGCCGTACCGATGAGGATTCAACTTTTCCAGCTGAACCTCGTAACGTCTTACTGCTGATGCAGGGAGCGCATCTCTCTTTCTCTGGCCATCGAAAGGAGGTTGCGAAGAGATGCGCCGTTGCGCCCCATAGTAATGAGGTGTAGTATCAGGAGTGGCATCACGAGTCAAGTCCACAAGTGGTTCCACGAAGTTCTCTTGATTATGCGCCGAACTGTGGGTGGCTCGTTCGATCCTGTGTGTCCTACTCACCGGTAAGGATGGTTGAGGCACGGTAGTCGATCCCGTTAACCAAGCAGGATCCTGAGCTGCTAATAATCTCCTCTGCGAACCGTAAGAGTTAGCTTTACTTCTCCACATTGCATCATCGGAGCCAGTGCCACGGCTGTGATGGCTGCTGACTGGATGATCGAGTCGAGGAGGGGCTTCTTTTGGAGGTTGCGCTACGCAGGAGTCACCACTAGAGCTCATATTCCTGTACTGTGGTAGGGTGTCAACGGGTGGACGACCTGTAGGCGTGCTACCAGATCCATTGAAAGCTTCCGAAGAGTCAAGAAGAACCTGGGGAATGGAACTAGGTACAGCATGTAGCTTATTACCGGGGTATGCTGCCTGGTCAGTCTCTTGCCTGGGCCTGTTCACAAAGTACGAAGCTGGATCAGTCCTCATAATAGGCGCCACACCAGGCCTCTTTCCTTGAGGCACAGACTCATGGTATCGTCTGTGTTTCATCGAGGGTGCAGGTTGGGCTCTTGATCCCGGAGCCTCCGAACTCCTGAACTCGTCCCTATATGAAGACCGGAGGACATTAGATGGAGCTTCCTGGGATTCTAGTCTTCTCCTTTTGGGGATTTCGAGTGTATCTTCGGTCAAGTCTATCAAATCAATTCTCTTCGAAAGTTCATCAAGTGGTCGCCGATACTGCGAAGCCGAAGCTCCACGCGCAACACTTGGCAACATATTGGGGTCGCTTGTCTTGTGCTGAAGCGGAAACCCCGCGGAGATTGGAGAGTCGCGACGTTCAATCGAAGGAATTATCGTGTGACCTCGAGGAGAATCGCTGCTCCAATTGCCGCTGGGTGGACGGTGAGCAGTCGGATGGACTCGTTTTAGAGTCGTCCCATTATTACCTTCAGAGAACAATCTTGGCCCCGCAACAAACACAGGAGCAGACGAAACATCAATTGGAAATGAATTCCTTTTATGCGACGAAGTTGTAGTAATTTTACTGAAAACGGAGCCGTCAGGAAAATGAAGAATATCTGGGGCTTGGTGCTGTGTCGGTGGGCCCTAATTCTTGGTTAGCACAATCAAGCACATCTGAAAATTTGACTGGTAAGAATGAGTATCATTACTGCTTGTAGTCTGTTGCCCTCTTGCGAAGCATACTGGCCTTTGTGCTGAAGTACATCGCTAGAATGTGGTCGATTGTCATATGCCGCCCCTTTAAAAGAGGGACCGGACGTGCGCTCCACTATGGGTGTGAGAGGTCGTCCAGTAACTTGGTTTGGATGGCGGTGCAACGGCCTTGAAGTGATAATTGCTTCATCTCTGGTTACTGCAGGAGCCCTAGACAAGCTAGATTCGCCGTATCTGGAAAGTGATTTTTCTCGGTAACGATCCATGGCTCGATCCCAAGCTTGATATCGACTGAACCCACGCCGATCCACCTTTGTCTTGCTTGAAGCTAGGTTAGTGACTCCAGCTCCGATGTTGTAATCGCTAAAGAGTGGTTTTCTGCCGACTCTGATTGGGAAGGGGCTGACGATATGATTGCTATCGTCGTTTGTGATGACATCAAGGTTGTCTGCAGCGACCTGACTTGACAACACCTCAACACTCAGACCACGATCACGACCAGCTGAAGCAACGTTTTCATTTCCGATGAAATCGCTTTCTTCAGTATCTCCTTCTTCGTCATCAGAAATGACAATGACCTCACGGAAGACATCTTCCAATTCCGGCATTCCATTTTCATCATCACCACGCCACTGAACGAGCTTCTCTAACGTAGAGTCTTCTACCGAACGTCGTGCTTCTTGAAAAGATGTTGTTTTGAGTAACTTGTCGTAGTCCGTGTAGACGTGACGAATATGCGCTACTACAGCTAGCTGGGCTCTACGAGCCAGCGGTAGCTCAACTGCGGTCCCTACTTTACGTTGACCCTAGAGTGATATTAGATGGATTGGAGGGAAGACGAAGCGGAGCAAGCAAAGTCACCTTTTGAAAAGCCGTCTTGATAATTTGATTAATATCATCATCAGGAATCCTAGGGAACAGGTCGCGGATAACGTCTCTGGCTTCCGTATTTATTGTAATCTGAGGAACTTCCACGACCTCGTCGGTCGTAGGGAAGCTGGTCCCAAACTGTTCGAAAGGTACCACATTTCCGTTTTCTGAAATGTATAGGCCAAGCTCCATGCATTTTTGAGCCACAACAGCGCTTGGAAAATGATAACCTACTCGATGAACCTGCTGCGATAGGCCGTGTGTGTTTTGATGCGGGGTTGTCTTAACCTCGAAGATTAGCCACCAGCAGTTAAAAATGAGTTTGATGGCACAAGCTAACCGTAACAGTGAAAATCCTCAGACCTTCTTCACGGCAAAACTCCTTGCAGGCTGTCGTGAATGTTGGGTTACCCGCCGGTATGAAAGTGTATCCAGGAGGAGCTTTCGCTTCGAATGATAACTATGGTCAAATTTAGTGATAAGTGCGTGTAAGACAGAGGGCATATGAGAAACCGACGATTGTTCTAAGCTTCTTTCGTTTCTGCGTCACACTTTCTAATATGACCTTGTGCTTGCGAAATTTGGTCCTGGCCGAGCTGTTTTGGGCTCGACCTGGTCCAGGACGCCCTGGCAACCGCGTCATTATGTCTGTGAAGTTGAAACAGATCTCACTAAACTAAGAAAATTCCGTCTCATGAGATTTGGTCAACCACAAAAGGGCTAAACTAATGTATGCGTTGCCACAGGCAGTCAGACATGGCAGATTTGGCTGCCTGCTCCGGTCTCTTGTAGATTGTTGAATTCGGTGTTTAGGAAAGTAAATGAATGTGTTTCACTGGTCCTGGGGCGAGGTAGCTCACTTGCCCGTGGACAGGCACACGTCGTGGTGGTAGAACATCGAGAAGGTAGATGTGTCGGTGCTTTTAGATACTGCGTGACGTAGGGAGAAGTATGGCAAGGGCCAACACTAGCATACTGTAGGTGCTGGAGGCATGGAAGGATAGAAGATTCTTAGGAGCACGCAGAGCAGGGATGTAGAATAAAAGCTCGGATTCCCCTGTGAGAAGATAAGAGTAAGAAGTATCCTCGCAGCGTCGTGGATGCCCAGCGAGTCTCTTTTGGGGTAGCTCTTGCCCTTTTTATGCCGTCGGGCAGGCGTGAATGCGAGGGGAGGGAGCTGCCCCATTGGCTCCTGCCGTGACCGCTTTCTCCTGCTTCATCAGGCCAACACCGAACAGCAACAATACGACACCACGGCACAACACCACCTCGCTGCATCACGATCAAATGGAAGACCGTCTAGTCATCAGTGCATATCGGCATCTATATAAAAGAGGGCTACAAGCCATCAAACACGCAACCCCAGCGCGCCATGTCCTGCGAAATACCTTGAGATCCTCTTTCAGGTCTGAAAATCGCTCCGAATTCTATCCAGCAAAGATCACACGTACCCTGGAATTTCTCGATCGAGCGGCCGGGTCTAATAGCTACGAGCACAAAATTCTCAAGAATTTGCTACATGTCAGATACTACGAACAGCCTCTCATTAGCATGAAGGTGGAAAGGGACGCCAAAATGTGAGCTGAGAGAACCTCGAATAATGACTGCGTGCAAAACTGGCGACTGATTTCTACAGCTCTGGCCGCCGTGATCATGTACAGAATTATCTTCGACTGTCCAAAGCCGCGCATTTCAACTCCACTTTAATGCTCCTCAACGAGAGTCTCGGCACTTGTCTGAGATGATTTTTCAGAGCCCCCCTTCACACGAAACGTACCCGACGCAGCAGATATGCTTTCGTGCCCGGCCCCAAGGCGATAATCGATCGGGCCAGTACCGTCTAAAATAAATCTTCCACTGCATACGGAGCATGTGAGGGAGAGCGGTCAGCGCTCCCTCTTCGACCACATATGATGACGTGGTTGACTGCACCCAGGACGAGTGGACCAGTTGGCCCTCGATTTTATCCTTCACAAGATTGGATTTAACCGACCGGGATTCCCAAATATCTAAACATATAGGGGATTGGAATACGGTAGACCAGAATGAAATGGACAAGTAGAAAGCCTAAAGAAATGCGTTGTATGCAAGGCGACAGGTAATAGTGGGCTCGCGTGAGTCGTGTCACATGCTTCTTAATTCACCAATTGCCCCCCAGCTATAGACTAGACTACTACATAGTAGAGACGACAGGTTTGCAAATTTGACTAAACGAATATTTAGCGTGCTTGATGAAATGGTGCTACAAGTCACTCCATAGTTATATGAAAAAAGACTTGATTGTTCCAATGAGTGACTACATTTCGTCTCTGTTGATTGAGCCCATCTTAAGACACGCTCGCCGCTTCTCGCAAGTCCCCGAGTTATCCGTCTCCGACGACGAATCAGTCCCGCCTTCCCCAAGAAACTATGACTTTGACGAACCTGCTCCATCAACGCTCTTTCAACTTTCGATCCCCTCACTGCAGAAGCTCGATAATGATGACTCTCACTCAGTAACACGAAGCACCTTGTTAGATGCGGACTTGGACTGTGCTCAGCGACGAGTGGTGGCATGTCGGACTTCGGGCCTCAACGACGACCTGAGACGGACAATGGACGATTCCCAAAGTCAACCAGTCAGCGGTAATCAAGATACTCGAGAGACTCAATCTCGTCTGGCGATGGACACTGATATAGGGAATTATACTGATGGACTATCGGTGGCGGGTACGGCGTTCACGCCTAGCGACGCGATCAGCGATCGATATCGCAGCTCTAAACTGCGCGAACTCCCTGAGGATGACGGAATGGCCGATCTTCGAAGGAGAATACATGCTATAAGAGACAATGATGCAAGCGGTACCCAAAAAGCCCGTTTGATTCATTCCCTGATGATTGAGAGCTACGAAGCTGCTCGAGCAACATTCAGCGAACGGCCGACATCATCTTCGCAATCTCCAACCCGGGTTCGAAGTCGAGAGCAGTCGCCAGCTTCGTCGCCACTGCGATTTAGACGCTTATCTAATAGGAGTTTCGATGATCTTATAGAACAAAGCACGATTGCGTCTGTCAGAGCATACTACAATGTATCACCAGAAGATTTAGAACCAACTTTCGCACCGAAAGACATTGACGTTCCTACGGACACTACCGAACAGTCAACAGTCGCGAACGTCGTGCCATCGAGTGGAAATGAGGACAACCTTAGCAATAGCGATTATGCGGACGAGGCTGCACAGGTCCTGGGCTGCCCGCATTATAAACGCAACGTCAAGCTGCAATGCTACACATGCAAGAAATGGTACACGTGCCGATTCTGCCATAACCAGAGCGAAGACCACGCTCTCGAACGTCCGAAAACAGAGAACATGCTCTGCATGCTATGTGGGTTGCCTCAACCAGCAGCACAATGGTGCAAGGGATGTGGCGAAAGAGCGGCTTCGTATTTCTGTGCCGTCTGTAAGCTATGGGATAATGATAGCTCGAAGAGCATCTATCACTGTCATGACTGTGGAATTTGCCGTATTGGACAGGGTATCGGAAAGGATTTTTATCACTGCAAGGTAGGCACTTCCGTTACTTGATTGATCTTTGAACTAAAGTGATTCCACCTAGACCTGCAGTGTATGTATCCCGATATCCATCGAAAATACCCACCGGTGTATTGAGCGCTCAACACAATGCGACTGTCCTATCTGTGGCGAATACATGTTTACGTCGCCGGATACTGTCGTGTTCATGAGGTGTGGACACAGCATTCATCAAAAGTGTTATGACGAGTTCTCCAAAAACTCCTACAGGTGTCCGATCTGTAGTAAGAGTATCATGAATATGGAGGCTCGCTTTAGGAACCTAGACCGCACAATTGAAAGCCAACCAATGCCGAGCGAGTTTGAAGATACAAGGGCCATGATCTACTGTAACGACTGCGGTGCCAAGTCAAACGTACCGTATCATTGGCTTGGTTTGAAATGTGATTTGTATGTTTCAGCCTCGTCCCATTAACAGGTGTCAATACTGATTTGTCTAGGTGTGAATCCTATAACACAGCACAGCTTCGGCTACTTACCGGTACTGACGAGACCACCGAGTCTGAACTGGCTTTAAGGACCAGAGCCATCCCTGTCAATATACTGGATACAAGCTACGATGTTATATCAGCCACCAGCCTGGGGGTTGAACCATTTGACAGCGCAGATGCCAATCCTCGTTGGCGACCATCCACTGCGACTTCCACTGACGGACGCCCTCGTCAGCGTGCCGTGTCACCTACTGTTGGGAACTATTTTGAAATGTCTCGAGACTCGACCTGGGCTGCATCCATTTTCTCTCGTCGTCGAAGTGAAGGCGGCAATGAGGAAGGGGAACCTGGCTTTTGGGCCACCTCTCCTTTACGGAAATACGCTTTTTTCAGGAAACACAGCGTATCAAGCGATGAGCAAAGCGATAGTGATAATGAAAGCGGGACTACTGATGAGATCGAAGATGAAGACGATAACGAGGTGGAGGATGACGAAGAGGACGAGATAGATGCTATCGAGATTTTCGGCCATCGTTGAGACTTCTTAGGTTCTATCTCTTTTCGAATTCCACTACTATCTTCAGGGGCATCATTTGAGCGAACACATATGTCCTTGAAGACCTCTTCAGACTCCACAAGAGTTTGTGACATAGGCAAATGGGCTATATAACAGGCCGTTGCTAAATTTTCATCGTCTTCTGTTCGGTTTGACATATAATTTACCTTTTTCATGCTAACATGTTATCGTCAACTATGACGGATTCTTGACAACCTGGGATCTTTTTGCGCAGCGAAGCAAGATGTCTGAATTAGGGCTTTGTGTAATTTGAACTCGCTTTTGTTAACTCAACTCAGGATACACATCTTTGCATTATTTAACGAACGAAATGACGATAACGACATCTCAACTTTTACGCAGGACTTGGGGAAAATACGAAAGGAAAAGATTATAAATCGGGAAAGGAGTTTAATTGAGCTGGACACCTAGGGTGGAATTCTTTACTTGCAGACAGTACATAATGTGCTATAGAGAAACCAAAAAAAATAACGCCGCGCATTTTCGCCTTCGGGCAAAAACCTCAATCTTGAATGCATGCCATGCTTCGTGGATATCAATACTGGCGGTGGAAAGGATCGTACAATGAATGCATCCTGACAAAAAAACAAATCGACAATAAACAGAATCAGGAGGACACCCAGTCAGTGTTTCAGGGAGGAGGTAGCCTGGATAAGATATAACAAGATAAATAGGAGAAAGGATATGATAAAGACCACCCAAAAAACCTCAAAAACGCCAATGCTCCAACAAGTTAATCAAGCTCATACTCAAATCCTAAGAGCTAGAAATCTCTCTCAAACTGAGTGACCCTTCGCGTCTTCTCTGGCCGTCTCGTTTCATAGCGAGCTCATTCTTGGCACGGCGAAGACTCTCGCCGATTTTCTTGACCTTGGTCCACTCTTGACTCATGCGTTGCATTCGGACAGTAGCCATCACGGCAAGACCTGCTGTACGGATCTTGCGGCGTGCATCATAGACTTTCTTGGGTTCGGGGGCGTTGATACCCATTTCAGCGATCATGCGAAGATCGGCCTCGTTGCTGGAAGTGAAAACTCGTTAGTTATCTATTTCGCGTGACGGGGGGATGTGATCACGTACCAAGCTGCTCGAACTCGTTCACCAAGTTCCATAAGCCCTTTACTCCAAGCCAAGTCACGACGGAATTTCTCTTCTCTCCTGAGCCGTGTCCGGAGCCATATAATCTCCTTTCCTAGTCCCCGGATCTCTTTATCGTGGCGGGTTTTGCGATTCGTCTTAGCATTAACATCTTCCATGAGCGAATCAATCCGTTCTTGGAGGGCTTTGCATTCTTGACTGGTTTTGTCGGATTTCTTGATCGCCAGGCTGCGCTCCTCGCGGATTCGACGAATAGATGCCTTGAGCTCGTTTACTTGAAGCTCTTTCTCGGAAAGTTGTAAAGCGAGCGATTCGGCTTCCAGAGTGGACGATTTCAGTAGTTCGTGGAGATCTCTTCGATCTTCGGCCTTCAGTGCGGTCCTCTCCAATTCTCGATTCTTCGTTTTGAGTTCCATTACGATCTTATGTGCTTCCTTGAGCCTATTGCGCATCGCTCGTAGATCTTCATGTAGACCGTCCGATGATGATCTCGCAGGAGATGGAATATTCAACTTCTGCATCTGAGCTTCATGAAGCGCCTCTTCGAGTTCCGAAATTCGATTCCTCAATTCGCGTATAGATTTCTTGTGTTCACCCTCGCGCTCAAGTAGTGATTTCTCTCGCTTCCGTGCATCATCAAGATTCTGGCGAAGCAAAGGGATATCAGCAGCGACTGATGAACCTTCCACATTGACTGGTTGTTGATGCTCGGCCATGGCTTCAAGCTCCGAGATCCTCCTTTCCAATTGGCGGACTTGGCTCTTTGCCATGGTCAACTCTCGATCTCGAGCTGTCGAGCTAGCGCGCAGTTGATCTTGTAACTGGACTAATTCACTCGATAATCGGTTTTCCTCTGCTGTGGAACGCTCAATCTCCGCGTTTAATGCATCTTCAATTGATTTTCGTGCAGCTACCAACGATGTCTTTTCTTCTTTTAGCCGTTGAAGCTCATTCTCGAGACGAAGCTTGGCCTTGCGGAGTTCGACCTTTTCATGGTCAAAGTCGTTGCTTCCATTTGATTTGCTCTGAATCTGGTTGAGCTCATTCTGCAACAAGTCGCGCTCGGCTTCGGCTTCAGCGGTGGACGTGCGCAAATTATGTAGTTCAACGTTTGCACTTGCAAGCTGATCTCGCAGATTTTGACGCTCACTTATAACCTTCTGAAGTTGACCTTCTTGGCCAGGTACTCCTTGAAGAGTCTTGGCTTTCGAGTATTCCTTTTCTTCCTGCAGACTTGCTCGTAGAATGGCAATTTCGTCTTCCAAGGCTTGCACCTTTTCTCTGAAAACCTCTTCTTCGCGGCGACTGACTCGAAGCTCTTCCTTGATTGTAAGCATTTCACTTCGCTGTTCGCTAACAATTTGTCTCTTTGACGCGATGTCGTCGCCCAGTTCCTTAATTTGGCGACTCAAGACGGCCTCCTCTTGTAAGTGACGATCCTTTTCGCTATCAATCACGTCCTGAAGTTTTGCTGCACGGCCGGAAACGGTCAATTCGACATCCTGAAGCTTCTCAATTGTACGTTTAAAACCCGCCGCTTGTTCCTCGGCCCTATCCTTTTGCGACTGCAATGTACGTTTCGCACTTTCCCAGCGATCTTGTTCGAGTGCAAATTGTCCTTCCTTGTCCTCGATCTCCTGATGCAAAGACACAATCTCCTCGCTTAGTCGTTCTATTTCTTCTCGATGTTGAGTGCGGAGTTCGTGATTGTTATCCATGCCACGTTGTTTTTCGTCTTCAATTTCTTGCTCAAGGCGTCGAATAGTAGACTGGGCGTTTGCTAATTCCCTCTGTAAACTAGCCGATTCATCTGTTAGAGCGTGATGGCGGGTCTGAAGGAGCTCTTTCTCATCAGTTTTGCGATCTAGATCGTCAAGAACCTCCTTCAACCTGCCTAAAGCTTCGTCTCGCTCCGCAAGGTACTGCTCAGCACTATCGGCTTTGTCGCGAAGGGAGTCCAATTCAACCGCGCGTTCTTGTTGAATCTCCTCAAGTTGTCCTTCAAGCATCTCTTCTCGGCGTTCTTTCGCGGCGTAATCTTCTTTCAAATCGTTGTATTCGTCACGAAGCTGAGTGAGCTCCTTTTCGAGGTCTTCAGCCCTTTCTTCGAATTGACGACTGAGACCTTTGGTGGAAAACGACTTGTTTGCCATCTCATCTTGAAGCTCTCGTAGATTATCTTCCGCTTTATCTTTTTGCTCAATGGCTTGCTCCCGATTACGATTCGCTTCACGCGCGTCAGCCTTGGCCTTTTCGAGATCGTCCTGGAATTCCTCCAATTGTTGTTTTGCCCGCTCGAGCTCGGCTTCCAGTTCAGCAACAGCATTGCTGTCCTGGCCTTCATCTTCCTTCAAGGTCTCAATCTCCTCGTCCTTGGCATCGATAATCCGATCTTTTTCGCGTAGGGTAGTCTCAAGGTCGACAATTTCGTCACGCAAGCGCTCCACCTCGTCAGAATCTCTGTCCTTGACATTGCGTAGCTCCTCCTGTAGGTTGTTGACTTGAGCCTCGCGAGTTGCGATCTCTTCACGCATATATTCTATTTCTCGCTGTATGGCTTCGTCGGCTTGTCTCCGCTTAGCTTTTTCTCGGAGTTCTTGAAGCTGTAGGCGATATGCCTCCAAGTCACGCTCGGCCTGATGTAGACCTTTCTTGTATCGTGCTATTTCCTGCTGCATCGTGATTCTCGCGACTTTGAGCTCTGTGTTTTCCTTGAGTGCTGCCTGGTTGTATCCTGGACCAGCTTTTTTGAGCTGCTCTTCTAGGTAGTGGATTTTTAACTTTAAACCGAAATTTTCCTTGTCGAGTTTGTTGATAGCCTGTTGAAGATCATATTAGCTGATGATATGCCCTCGCAGTTCTATGCGATGAATACTCACATTTTCTTGCTCTTTCAATGAAAGCATATTTTGGTCGGAATCCAGTACTCCTCCAGCACCGCCTTTACGCGAAAATGATGGTAGTGGTGTACCGTTAGGGCTGCTGCTAGCGACTTGAGGTAAAGGCGTGATATCGTCCATGGCCATTGAAGAGGTTCCACCGTCCTCATATATGTTGGTCGCATCGATTGGCGGTAGTCCCGGCGTGTTTCCATTACTTCGATAGCCATCTTTAAGATATGCTGGAGTCTTGGGAACACCGCTGCCTCTCACTGCCGACATATTTCGAAGATAGTTGTTGCGTGTCACGCTTCGCATCATGGGTGTGAATTCGCCTTTTGGCGGCGCATTCGCTGGCAGTGTCCGTTTATCCCCGAGAGAATTGCGTGAAATTCTTGCTCCGGTGCCAGATACGCGCGGTGTCTGCGTTGTCGCTCCATTGGTTGCGTGCCGCCGAGCCTCCAAAGTCTTGATGATATCCCCATCTTTCGAAGGCGTCTGAAATGAGTTTTCGACCGAGTCTAAAGCAGATAGATTGCCACGGTAGGCGCTTCGAAGTCCGTTCGTTAAATAAGTCGCGTTACCGTCTATCTCGGTTCGCGGTGTGTCGATGTATGGCACCGGCATTTTGATGACGACACTGCTATTTATACAAATTCAATCAAGGCGATCACGACAAATGAATAGTATTTGTGGTTTGCGTGTCCATGACCAGTAGAGACGCGCGTTCCTCTGATCGTCGAATGCGGTGTAAGTGTTATTGTGGAATTAAGGTGTAGTAAAAAGCGCCCAAGCCGAAGCCAACACCAAACTGATGATGCGCGTTTCTCTTTCCGCCCGCCGTGTTGACGTTTAGCTGGAAACGGCCTAGCTCGGTGTGGATCTCTCTATCGGAGCGGACACACTATTCTTCCGAACAACTCTTTTTCGATGAGGTCAATTTAGGAAGATTTGCTGGACATGGTGGCAATGTTCCTCCCATCAACAATGGCAACATGCCGCCCATGTCAGAAGAAGACTTGGAATGGTTCAAGTCGACCTTTCGTCCCATTCCGCGTCCCCAACTGCCGGAAGATGCCATAGAGTATTCTCTCTACTTGCTCTCAGCAGACCCCGCCCCCGCTTCGACAGATACCGTTGTTCACACACGCGCGCGTCTTCAGGAAGTCCAGAAAAGTGCGTCAGAACTGGTTAAAGACTTGTTGAAGGATTACATCTGGCAGCGAGAAGCCTTCAGTCTTGAAATTGCCAAAGAAAATGGTAAGTGTGGCTAATCGTACCGGTGCTTTCAAGATGTTCACTTTACTTATTCACATTCTGCGCTAGACGTCACCTATCTTCGTGGACGAACCAATTTCGGCGACTCTATCGAAGACGAATGGGTAATTGTCTATCTTTTGCGGGAGTTGACAAAAAAACACCAGGATCTATGGGTTCGTGTTGTGGATAGTGATGGCGAGTTTCTGCTTGTCGAGGCAGCCAGTAGTCTACCAGACTGGCTGGAGCCTGAAATTGCTGACTACAGGGTAATTAATTATCTCTAGCGAATTCTGGTGATGACCGCTAATATAGTATTGCAGGTCTGGATCAACAATGGCCACCTTGTAATCATAAACCCGAAACCCGATCGGAAAAGAGTCACGGAGAAGATAACGCTCGAGGAGTCGCTGAAAATTGCACCACACGAAAATGATCGCTTATTACGTTCATCGTCCATCGAAGAGGAGGCGTTCTATCGTCTACGAAAATATCCCGAGCAGATTAAAGAGAACCTTCATTGCGCACTAGTATCTGTTCCTCGGAAGGTTGCATACTTGCTTCATCAGAAACCGGCCTATATCTCAGCAGCCGTTGAAGCCTTCTATACCCGCGACCCGATATCTTTACGAACTCTCAAAGCAAGAGGCAAAGATGATTTGCTTTTTCCTCCAGGTGATTTTGTCACGGTCAGCGTTAGATTTACAAGGGTGGGATATGCCCAGGTCAAAAGTCAAGACTTTCCAGCTCCAGTTTCATGGGCACAGAATATGCCGGCTCCTACAGATGTCGAAGATTTTACCAAAGTGGAAACAGGCATGAAAGTGTCTTGTGGGTTTGAAATGCTGCTTAATGATCCCCAGAACCAGGATAAGCCTATGGTTCGAGAGATAAAATTATTACTCGAGGATTTAGATACTGGTGATGAGGTCTTGCCAACCGTGGATGAAATGCAAAGGTCTTGGAGCATGCAACAAGACGATGAAAGTTGGTTGGATATCAGCTTCGAAGATCTTGATAGAGAACTCAAAGGGGAGGGTGGCAAGGACAAAAAATCTGGTGCCTTTGGCGATCAGAGCGCACAGGAAAATTTACAGCGAATTGTCGCCCGATTCGAGGAATTTTTGAAAGACGACTCGGCTAATTTTGACGGGGTTGATCTTTATAATTCCGACACAGACGATGAACCGGACGACGAAGAAGCCAGCAGTGAAGATGAAGAAGCAGATTTGAAATTCGATGAGGAAGAATTTATAAAGTACATGAAGGAAATGCGAATGGACCCTTCAGGCGTTGATTTACGAACGAGATTCGATAAAGCCATGAAAGGAAGAGTAGAGGAGCTCGATTCGACAGATGAAGAGGACGATATAAAGGAGATTGAGGAACTTTCGCGCCAGATGGAAGCAGAGTTGAGGCCGACTGGAGTTTTGAATGTGAACAATCGGGATGCTGATCAAAACCCGGCCGCAGTGAAAGGCAAAGGCAAGGGAAAACAGAGAGCCGACCTTGAAGATTTTGACTTTGACGAAGAAGATCCCGCAAATGTGAATCTGGTGAAGAATCTTCTTGAAAGTCTACAGAGCCAGGCTGGAATGCCTGGTCCTGCCGGCAATCTTCTGGGGATGATGGGCATGCAAATGCCTCCCGATGACCGCAAGTCCGGCAAATCTCGCAAATCATGAGCTTTATACCTGGTTAGTATAATTAGAGCTAACCAGGTATAATATACAATGCCAGCTGTTATATACGATATAATACATCGAAGTAGAACATGTGATAATTGTATCGTGATTGGTCACTTCCATCTCCAACTGTGATGGATTCAGTCTGATCAGCCAATAGTAGCCGGAGGATAGGGCTGCTGTGGGCCACAGCACTCTTATCTGAACGACGTACTCCATACAGTTGAATGACATCCCCGCTTTAACCCGATTCATTCCTGACTTTCTGCCTACTTTTATCTACTTTTATCTTCTCGCCCGTGGGATTTGAGCTTGTCAGCGTTTTCTGAGACTCGCTACCGGACGCGTGATTCACTATTCCGGACGCGTACATTGTCTGTCTCAGGCTGACTTCCCGCTTTGCTCCAAGAGCTTGGAATCGCCGTTGCTTCCGTTTGATATCCTTCCCGCTGAACTTCGCCATTTGTTCTTGATCCTTTGCATTTGATCTTGCCATTTAAGACCGTCTACGTAAAGATATTCATAGAATCAAACGTCATTAGAGTTCTGTCTCACATCCTGGCTTGACCATGGCATCTCCGGCACAGTGCTTCTACTGCTTCGAAAGTCTGGCTGCTTCATACAAGGACGAGGAACCTCCTAGCCTTGCTGCTACAGAGCGCTTGTACTGGAATTATCTACAGTCCGAGCAGCTTGCTGCTGTGGAGGAGAAGGCGTGGGTTTTCCCGTACTTGACTTGAATCTGGAGACATACGGGACTGGCTGACACTTGTCGTCATCTTATTTTAGACTCGCCATGGAAGAAGACGATGACGAAGAACCAGACAACAATACAAACCGTCCAAAAGACATCAAATTACCCTCCATATCTCGCCTACAACAAGATATGTCATCCGATTCGTCGAGTACGACTCCTTCATCGGCTACTTCATCTCGATCGATGCTGTCAGCCTCTACAAATGTGACTACGCCAGATGAGGATTTAAGCTCTCAACCGCCTTTTTCTGCAGACGAAGAATATCCATTATTTGTGACGTGGAATTTGATTTCAAGGCATGGCCACAGTTCGCTTCGTGGTTGTATCGGCACATTTGAGGCACAGAAGCTTTCTCATGCGTTGCAGGAGTATGCCCTGATCTCGTGAGTTCCCTCGCCTCACATGTCCGACAGTAATTGTTGGATTTGATTTCTTCGAATAAGATTTCTGATACAAGGTAACAGCGCCTTTAATGATACACGATTCTCCCCAATACCACAGTCACAACTACCGCACCTGTCATGCACTTTGACGCTACTTAGCAATTTTGAACCGTGTGCAGATCCCATGGACTGGGAACTAGGTACACACGGTTTACGCATCTCATTTATCCATCGAAATCGACGGTATGGCGCCACGTATCTCCCAGACGTCGCAGTCGAACAAGGATGGACAAAGGAGGAAACAATAGAGAGCTTGATGCGTAAAGCCGGGTGGAGCGGTAGTAATAGCGGTGGTAGCGGTGTGGCTAGAAGGATCCTGCGCGGAAGCAATACTGTTGGCACCAACAGCAAGCCTTGGGAGGAAGTCTCTGACTTTAAGACGACGCGCTATCAGGGATTGGGTGCATCTGCCGACTACAGTGACTGGCAAAAATGGAGGAAGTGGGTTGAAGCTGATAAGGCGCGACTGGACTTGCTGTTGGCGTGACCTTTGCCATGGTATGATCTATACCTTATCACCAATCTTGCCTTTTATATAGTAATGTGCTTAGAAGCATATTTGCTCTATTACATGACCTTAATGAACTTACGAATCTCGCTTAATCATCAAGATGACCTTATCCATAATATTCTATACCCTCATCAATGGTGCTGGTATTTATCTACATAGGTGTAGAGTGAAACCTCTACTTTGTTTTGGACAGTTCATCGAATGAAAATGATGTTGAAAGTGATATACCAGACCCGAACTATAGAACAAGAAGCGTGTTGAGTCAAACGTCAACGTTCGTTATCACTCGATATTGCCCATAAAAGCGAATCCATGGCAATATCACACGCACATGAAATCACTGCCGGTTCCCAGCCGCCTTCGCCCACAGCCCAGTCACGACCTCCTTCACTTTCCGTTCCTGCTCACGAATCTGCTCTTCCGTCTGACCGCGAGCATTACCCCGACTGTCAACCTTCATCATATCATCATTGTGCGGCGCATATCTCTCCTCCTCATGGACATCATTACCCACCACCCGTTCCGGTCGCGGCTCAATACTCGCCGCACCATCCATCATCAACCCACCGCCTTCACGCAACTTATTAATTGCGCGCACGGTATCTATTGCCTTGTGCAGCGTCCGTCGCGCATTAAAGTTCTTCTTCACAGTAGGCAATAGATCTTCTCCCTGTTTCTTCGATGGTAGATCGTTGCTTATCCATGGATGCTGTAGGGCTTCGTGCGCGGTGATTCGTGCCTTGGGGTCGATGGTTAGGCAGCGATTGATGAAGTCTCGCGCGCTTTGGGAGATGCTGCGCCAGTGCTCGAGGGGTGTAAAGGAGTAGTCCGCTACGAGGATGGCCTGCATCTCCTCGAGGTTGGAATCGCGGTCAAAGGGCGTGTAGCCACACAGCAAGAAATAAGTGATGACTCCGATGGCCCAGATATCTCTGTATTCCGTGTGTCAGTACTCCATTCGATAATTCAATTCTTTGAGAGTAAGAGGGGCGTACACAGGCTTCCCATGCCCAGTTTTCTTGAAAATCTCCGGCGCCATATATCCCGGCGTCCCGCACGTGGTTGTCAAAACATGAAACTGTTCCTCGTCCATAATCCTCGAAAGACCGAAATCAGCAATAAGAAGATCTGCATTATCCTCTGGTGTGCGAAACAATAGATTTTCAGGCTTGAGGTCTCGATGCACAATGCCGTGGTCGTGGAGGTATGCGACGGCGGACAATATGGCGCGGACGAGGTCGGCGGCATCGGCTTCGTAGTAGCTTCCTTTGCGACAAATGCGGTCGAAAAGTTCGCCGCCGAGAGCGAGTTCGACGACGAGGTACAGGTTGTTCATGGTCTCAAAATAGTCGACGAGAGTCAATATGTTCTGGTGACCCATTGAGACTCGTTTGAGCACCGCAATCTCATTTCGAACCTACCATATGAGCCGTGTTAAAGTCATATATAAAAGCCGAGCTGATGGAATTACCATATGTTCTCTCCCAGCCATTAGTCGTTTATTAATGACCTTTGCGGCAAAATATCGCCCAGTATCGATATGGACGCATTCTTTGACGACTGAGTAGGAGCCAGCTCCTAGAGTCTTTCCGGTTTTATATCGGCATGGTTGGATTTGCGGCCGCTGGGGTTGCGCCTTGGGTGCAGGTGCAGCCATCGGAAGGATATTTATTATGTCGAAATAGTTGATCGAATTTCAATTTGTGGTTTAGACGCTGAGAAATCTCAAATATAGCTTGACTTCGGATGTTTGGAGAGTGGAGGGGCGAGGGGAAAACGGTCCTTGTGGGGTTGGCGGATCGGAGTCTAGGCTTAATAATTTCTTAATAGCTTGCATGTGTTGTCTATCTATCAAAGTACAAAAATATGTATGCATTTAGACAACATACCCTGGCATATGGTATAGACATTACATACATCATCTTCACAAAAACAAATAACGCCGTCATGTGCAAACAACGCTTAAAGCAATCAATCAAATAACAAAGTCATTAATGGAGAGCAACTCTCCGTGGCACCCTGATGCAAAACTGCCAGAGACACCGTCGTATTACATTCTCTGCAATACCTCCTCCGAGACCCCCTCAAGAAGCTTCAGGTCATGATATCTGGCAACGCTAAGCATGACACGTATCTTTTTCTGAATTGCGGTTCGGTCCAAGGTTGTCGTCCACTTGCCACTGCAGGAGCAATGTTCCATAAAAGCGCTGACCTTGAGACTGTTGCACTTGGAGCATTTGAGATCCTGTGCCTGCCAGGAGACTATCATGCCATGTACTTCTCCGACGAGTCGCTCCTCTTGGGCTAGGCGGTCATACTCTGTTTGACAGAATGGGCAGCGCCAGGCTTTGGGAGCTGTCTTTTTGCCGTCCGTGTCTTGATCAGGTAGAATGTCCTCATCTCGACACAGATCCAAGTCACGGATCAAACAGCAAGCACTGCATGTCAGCTCCGGCAACTTCAGACTGGCGCTCGGATTCTCAAAGCGGCCTTCTTTGCTAAACTCACGGACCTCAAATAATGCCAGGAGTTCGCGACGAAGAATACGCGTTTCCAACGTCGTGATCTTCGATAAGCTGAGGACTTGCATCAACGCCTTCACTAATTCTAGCACAGCATTGCGATTTTCCGTGTTGGGGTCAACTAATGCCCCTGGCAGTACCGGGAAATTGTAGTCTGATGCAAGCTCAGGATGGAGAAGCTCGTCTCGTTGTTGACGAATCAGGCCGATAATCTGTTTCTTGAGGGGCTTGGAAAACTTGTCGGAGAGAAAGTTAGTCACTTCGTCGTCTGTTATTTCAGTCAAAGACTTTATAGGTATTTGGGTGAGGCGCGGTGTCGAGCTATCCTCATCCCCCTCCTCGCCTCGTTTGAGGCCATGCATCAAGTCAATGTATTCAACAACCCAATCGGTGAAGACCTGCTGCATGGGACTTGGCAAAAATCGATTCATCTGCCAATGCATAACGGTGTCTAGCTGTTGAGATTCTGCTTCGACAACCTCCTGGCAGCCCTTGCCTCCGTAGTTGAATTCATCATACCACACTAGGAAGTCCCAATACTCCTTGAGTTCCAAGTCGATAAAGTGAAAAACCGGGTTGGCTCTGATAGACTTGAGAATGTATTGACTGTAAGCATAAGCGGTTCCGACTTCTTGTTTTGTCGTTTGCAGCAGCAACCGTGTTGGGCTAGCAAAAATTACATTTGAGCCAACACGGCGGAAGTCTCCCATCAACTGTTGGAATGACTTTCGAGACATCATTCGGACATAATAGTGCAAAGAACGATCATACAGGCATGAGCTTGGACTTTCCACCCAGCGCACCAAATGTTGAACCATGATATCGGCCATAGTGTTACCCGTACAAGCTTCTGACCACCACTGTTTGACCATTTCCCGCAGTACAAAGACACCTGCTGATGCAAATGCCTTCTCTGAATAGAGAACACCATCGGCAGACTCTTTAGTGGAGGCGAGAAGTGTATCACTGCCTTCTAAATCATTGATAATTGACGACGTGAGAATTGTGTTGATCGCCAGATTCCGTACTTCGAGTTCAATCGAAACTGTGGTATAAGTACCCGGTACATTGATGGAAGGCATCTCTACCGTGTCAAGAGATCCCAAAATGTCGTCTTTCTCATACCCAGCATGATCGGGTCGGGGTCCTGCAGACCACCACAGCACCACGTTACTCTTTTCTAGTCGTCTCGCATACGAGACGTCTATCAGGTATCGAGGATCATCACTTTCCAGGTTGCAAACAGGGACGTCTCCGTAACGCGCAAGCATTTTGAGATGCTGAATCCACGAGCCCAAGTAGAGATAATGAGTTAACAACCGCTTTGCAATGAACGATTGCCATCCGAGAGGTGGCATATCAGTGTCCGAAACTTCCGGCTTGACAGATAGCATGGGATATTCCTTCAGTATTGGAATGTCATGGCACAATTTCCCCTTTTGCTGCGACTGTACAACAAACACCACAGGGTGACTCTCTTCGTTGCGTAATTGCTTGATCAAGTCTCCTACTTCCAAAATAGCCTTGCGATGAGTGGTCACTTGGGTGGTCTTGAAATGTATCTTTTCCTGATAATCGAATGCGCCTGTAGAAGCATCGGAATCAGCAGCGATTTTGCGGCCGAGAAGCTCCATGTACATCTTGTCAATATTAGGTAGACTTGACATGTCGCGGTTGCGATTCAAGAGAATTATGTTAGCTTCGCTCTTCGCAGTCGAGAATAAAGCGAAAACTTGTCGATCACCAGAAGTGACGTGATATAGGTAGTAGTACGTCAGAGATATACCCTCCAAGTATGGAGTTTCAGAGGTGGTGTGCAATAGAGATGAAAGCTCAAACCCACGATCTAGACCATCACCAAGCACGCCTCGTTGGCTCTCGTCAAAAGTGCAGGTACTACCAAGCTTCATAACAGCGCGAAGAGTGAGAGGAACATGGCGTTCATAGACACCCTCAACGCTAGGATGATTCAGCAAGACGGCCATCTTTTCTGACTCTCCCAAATAGACTTCTTCTGGCAGCGTAAGCTTAAATAGGTGGACTGATGGGTGACCGTTGGGAAGGGTGTTGTTGACTTTATCTACCTCACAACTGGGTAGCTCAACTTCTGGAAGTGAATCATCCTTAAAGTTGATGAAAAGTTGCCGTGGCACCTTCACGGTAAGAGCGTGCACTTTCCGATCAATTAGCACGAATGCTCGCACTTCGCCAGGTACATCGGTCTCTCTGAGCTGCAGCAATGTCCATGTATTGATAAACAGCATTTGCGCCTGGTTTCGGAAGTAGTGACTGAGTGAGTCTGATGCCTTGGATTTCTCTCCAAAGAGCTGTCGCCGGCGGATTCGAGCTTGCTTTTGAATCTTCCACTTTTGCTTCTGATATTTGATGAAGCCTTCGTAATCCTCGGTGATTGACGGCATGACAGCTGGCAAACTGGCATACGGATCAAGTGATGTTGTAGTAGGTCCCTCTGGCAGCTTTCGCTTTTGTACCATCTTGCCTGAAGGAGAAAGCTTCTTGTCCATATTCTGGGCTGCCATATCTTCAATGTCGGCATTATGAGGTACACGGTGGTCCACTATATTGGCAGACTTTTCAGCAAGAGGGTTTTTTGCGAACATATCAGTCATCTTTTTCTGCTTGAACTTGTCATCTCTCGTGTTGATTCGACGCTGAAGCCAGTCAGGATGTTGAACTCTAGGAACAGGATTGCCCAGCTTCTGAAGTGCTGCTGGAATAGTGATCAGTTTCTGAATAACCGAGCCCAATCGCTCAAGATAGTAATCCCAATCGATGATAGATCGTGGATCCATATCATTAGGATCGTCTTTAAGCCACTTGCGCAAAAAGAATCTTTTGACATTTTCTTCTGCAGAGAAGATGGTAACAGGGATAGCTCGTTCCGTGACTGGAGCATTTTTTGGTTTAGATGAGATAATATAGCGACAATTCAGACCTCTGTCTTTGATCATTTGCTCCCCAAGGAACTCAGCTAATCGTTTAGCTGTTGTAATTGAGGTTGACTTTTGTGCTCCGTACTCCTCAACAGTTTTGGACATGCTTCTATTCTCGCAAATCAAATCAATAAGCTCTTCGTCTGCTAGGGTAGCGCCATGCTCATAAAGCACATCAAGCCATCTGTTCGCGACACGAGCAACCGACTGGTAGGTTTCTCCAAGGTCTTTACCGTCCAGGAAGAACTTGAAGATTTGCGTCTGGAAAATCTTGATAAGTTTGAGTTCACCTCGACGTTTGACCTCGAAACCCTTCAGTTCTGCAAGAGATCCATCGTCGTTGAAAACTGCATAACGTTTTTTCAAGTTCTTGTCTTCTTCTTTGGATGCAGGAAGGATCATAGCTTTGTAAGGTCCGTCAACCTCAAAGAAAATCGAATTGTCGCTTGTCGTTTCATATTTGAAAGACTTGGGATCGACAAGAGTCTGATATTGGTGATTCGTGAAACGTCCATGAACGAGATGATTTAGCATCACACAGGGATACGAAAGGGCCATTTTCTTTCCATTCTTCAAAGTGAACGCAAAGTTTTCCGGGAATGTAGCTGGAAGCATGCACCAGATACCGTCTGTATCAAGTTCTAGTGGTCGACCAATACGTTCAACCAATTCCCTCGCCATTTGGATAATCCGAGCGCCCGTAAGACAAGTCACGCCAGCCATTTCCATAGAGTACCACCGAGAACCTTTTCGCATGACGTAACCATAGAAACTGTTCAAGATGACCTTGTGTGCGAGCTGAAGAGAATCAAAGAGGACAATCATCTTCTTCGCTTCATCGATTTCAGCATTCGACGCACCAGCAACTTTCAAAGCTTCCGTTTTGCCCTTCCACACCTTTTGTTTTCCTTTGAAGTCGTATCTTCGATCACGGAAGTCGCGGACTGTATCGACGTAGAAGGGATTTTCTCGTTGACATATGATTGCCTCCTTTTCTATCGTTTTGCTATCGTGGATCTTGTGATAGATCTTTTTGCTATATTCTTGCAATCGCTTCTTGATAATGGCAGCTTGCTCTTCGGTTTGCATGTCTCTAAAGTGGCGCATTGGCGCATTTTTGTGTTTGCCGGGGAATTTTTCGTTCTCAACAGCTCGCCGAATCATGTTGTATTCATCTCGCTTAGCGGGCAGAAATTCACCACGCCATGCCCAAGGAAGTCGACGGTCACAAGTTTTGCCCGGCCGGTTAAAGTCACATGCTGCACAGTCAGATTCCTGTTTCATAGAGTCAGGTTGCAGACGATTCGTCGTCATAATGTTAGGATACATGGAAGCAACGTCTAGATGGTAGATCAGAGGTCGTTCGCTGCGGTTTGGCGTTGCCTTGAGATTCTCCAGTCGCTCGGCAATCTGAGCTTTCACTTCTTCATAATTCGTGACATCTTCCAGTGACTTTTTCTCTTCCACCACGATGCTGAATTTCAAGGCTGCATCGAGATCATGTAGCAGCTCGTCAATAGCCTTTGGGTCTACAGCAAAGTTAACCGGTATATCGCTACGGAAGACACCTGCCTCAATACTCTCGACGTGTCCACCGACATACGTCTCAGAGTCAAGAAGGTGGCCTTCGTAGAAAGATTCAGGCGGGTCTTTATGCTTGTTGGGAAGAATAATCTCGCCCTTGTACGCTTGAACCATGAGAAGCATCTCACATAGCGTACCTGTCCCTTTTCGAAGGACATCGTCCGGATTCAAAGGAATGATGGTGCAGAGAGAAAAGATGAAAGGGTGAATATATTTCATATAGAGGTAGTAGGTCGCAACAGCGTCAGATACTGAATATTCAGCCAGTGTCTGCGGTCGTTCACTGGCGTATCGAGTCATGAGTTCGGGATCCAGCTCGTCTGGATCATATCCTAGCTTCGCAACGGTGACGGCTTTGAGACCCCTACTACCTTGGGGAAGATAACTGTCTCGGTTGACCCATGCAAAGCAATCCATGTGGGCTGAATAGTCGCTTTGGTAGATGTCCTCGCTGTTCTTTTTGAAGCCGATTTCAGCATACATATCAATACCCAGGACACTTGCACGCGCTTCGACAAAGGGCCAATCGAAAAAGTCACCGTTATAAGTTGCGATAACTGTCGGCTTTGCCTCTTTGATATGACTGAAAAAGCGTTCCAAAAGATGGCGTTCATCAGGCTCGTTAAAGATCACGAATGGCCCGCTATATTCTGGCTTGGGCGTGTATTCAAAGTCATTAATATCCTCAGAGACAATTTCACGATTGGTAATGAGAAAACCATTGCCGTCGATCATGTATGAGATCATCATAATCTGATCAATTACTGCATCAGGAAATTTCAGAGGAAGTTTAGTCGTCTCAATATCGAATGCGAGGACTACAGGATCCGCTCTCTGAAGTCGCTCTTCGATGCAAGTCAACTTGGTGACTCCGTGCTTTGCTTCCACATTATACCATTTTCCGATTCGAATATCTGGATGGTCATCAGTCAAAGTGTGTTTCTTGAGAGAAGCGCAATGTGAACGAACCTTTATCAATCGAAACTCTGACATGATATGGCACATCATATTCTCTAATATCAATTATGAAATCGCTTGCATTCAAGGCAGCATTAGGTCGTGATTCGTCAAGTTCGTCATCAAAGAGATCGAAGCCAGCGGAAGTCCTGCGGTTGTTAGTTATGTTGCGCCAATGCACATTCGGAAAAGTCCTATACCTGGCCATCTCAGCATATGTATCCATAGCCGTCACATTCTTTTTATTCTTCTCTGCAATCGGCATAAGCAGCTTTCGGGCTTCCAGCAAATTGCCCACGTTTGCAAAACTGAGGCGCAAGAACGTCCTTCGGTTGCCCATTAAATGGTTGGGCATCTGCAAGTCTTCCCTCACAACTCTGCGGACGTCTTTGACAACACCTTCCAGTATTCTTCGACACCATTCCTCTACCTCCTGTTCTCGGCCTCCCTTAACAGCGATGAGAAAGTATGGGTCGTATTCCACCGTAGCCTTGAAATTGTTGCCATCGTCATCCAGGAAATAAAAGTCCACACCGGCTCGACCACCAGGGATATTCGGATCTTCGACCGTAGTGCTGTGCATATTTACAAGCCATCCGGCTCGCTTCTCACCAGCCTCGAATCGCGGAAATCCCATCGTCTCGTCGATGGTGTTAGCCAGCCGGATAGCCTCAAATTTCTCATCTTGAGAAGTGGCTTCGGTGGAGCGGAGGGCATTGAATTCTACTGTTTTGGCGCGTTTCGGGTTGAAGGATGCCGTGCTCGAGCGGAACTTGGTATTATTGCCATACTTGCTGGGCTTGCGTGAAGGCATCGTGATGTTGCTGCAAGCCTGCAGGAGGGTTCTCGAATTGGTTGTTTGAAGTCACAGATCAAACCATAGGCAGGAGTTAAACGGGGTTAAACATTGGCAAAAGTATAGATGCTTCTCATTTTTTGCGTTGAATATTCTCGTCAAGCTCCCTTATATTGTTGTCGGGGTATCTTAGTATGAAGACTGACTGTAGTAGTTGCGCTGACTCTGCATGATTGTTCACTGTTGACCCATAACGCTTTTGGCAGGAGCCACCTGCAAAAGACGCGAGCGCGTAAAGCGGGAACGCGTCAAGAGCGACAATTAATCTAGCCCGATTGGGAAGCAGCACTCTGTCCCGGATAAATGTGCTTCCGCTCCCCGAGTCCGCGCCGCGATCTAGCGTCCTTTTTAGTATTTGTGAGGATCATGAAAGCGGGCGAAAATGTAATCAAGATCTTTGGATTTTGAGGAGCTGCAATTGACCAGTATATCAAGAAAACGTTTCAGAACACATTTTCCTAGTAGAGCATTTGTCGGGGACGTCATTTCGACTCCAGGAGAACCGTCCTACACGACCACCCGCCAACACCATGGCAGAGGAAACACAAGGCGGAGATGTCGCATCCATAAAAAGTCCTACGAACAAGCCGAAGCACGAATTGCCCCAAACACAGGTCGGAAAGCTATGGGAAGCATTCGGTAATCCAGACGAGCGAATCAATGTGCATCCGGGAGCTTCGTATAATCCCACACATACTCCAAAACCAAAAGACATCACCATTTCCGAATCACTCAAGACGATAAAGTTGGAAGATTTCAGCACTTTTCACAAAAAGCCATGTGCGCGAGATTCGTTGTTACTGGGCCTTGGAGCTGGATTCGGTATTGGAGGAATACGTGGAATTGTTGGAGGTAAGATGGCGCTGCTTCGGAGCTTGGTTTATGGCTCCATCTGACTGACTTGTTCTTGTAGGCATGTCAGCTATGTGGCCCGCCTCGAATTGGGCCGTCGGCGCCTTCGCAATTGCTTCCTTAGCTTCATACGAATTCTGCCAACGACGTCGGGTCAACGAGATGAAGGGTATGCAAAAGGCGGTGGAGCTCATGGCCGAGCTCAAGGCGAAGAAGCAAAAGGAGAAAGAGCAACTGCAAGCAATTCGAGAGGCGGAGGCGGAGCAGCTTCGCAAACGAAAGAGTTGGACGAACCTCTCCAATTATAAATTTTGGTAGAAGGTAGCAAGCGCATTTTTTGGCATATGTGTGGAGTTTCGGCGTCATTGTTCTGTACATATAGATCTCTCCCATGTGCTGAGCGATGATAGGGTATCTTGTAAATTAGTGTCAAAATACACATGATCCAATGACTTGCATTCAGATGTAGAAATATGCACCAAGCAAACCCATTTCAAGATTATAACAAGTCTGGGTAATCGAAATCATTCATATTTTCAGCCCAGGTCGAATTTCACTTTTTTCTGGACTGCACCGCCAGGGTCATGTTCTGGTTTGACCGCAGAGGACCCCTCTCGACGCTCTCTGCGCCTTTCTCGTGCTTCTCTAGCTTCTCGGTTCTTCCATTCGGCAACTTGCTTCTGTCTCTGCTGTGAACGGGCCCAGGCAATTGCAGCAGTAGGTCTGAACCCAATCCCATTGATTCCATAACCGTCATCATTCGGGTCCGTTGGGTCATGACCAGTTATTTCTGAATCATCCCAAGTCAATGAAGTCAAGATAGCACTGTCGTCTGGCGGAGGTGATTGTCTCCTTCGTGATTTTGTGGGTGATGCGGTCTTCACTTTATTGCGAGACGGCCCGTTTATGGATTGTGTCGTGGGTTGCAATTGGTCTTGGGCAACATCCACTTCATTCTTTGAGATCTCTGACTGGTTCGTCTTGTTTAGGCTCTTTTTGGGTGACAATTGTAGGCTTTCAGCCTGCCCAAATGTTTCAGGATTCTCTGCTGTAGAGCCTGAGCCATGCCACTGCGCAATGGGTATGGTATGTGGTACGCCCTCGTTTATAGCGAGTTCCTTGAAGCGACCGGCAACGGCTGTACGTGGACTACAACGCCCCAGTTCCTCTCCTTCAGATAGCCTCAATTCTGGATAACTGGCCACAGAGAGAGTAGAGGTAGGAGACGCTGGCGGAGTGTTGTCTTCAGCTTCTTCTACAATATCTCGTTTGCGCTTCGGCGAGCGATATGATATTGCTCCAGGTACCATGTTCCTTGCGGGGTCGGAAGGATTGCCGAACATGGCATTGCCTTAGGGAAAGAAGAAAGCGCTAACAGTCAGATTGATAGTCGAGGATGACTTATTCGAGCAAGGCTGATACGATATTCGAAGGCTCCGTTCAATGTATGCAATGATATCCAATGTTGATTGCTTGTTGTAGTCTTGTGGGGCGCTGCAAGCGGTAATGACGGAGCGAGAAGCACTGTGGCTTTCGTGGCCGATCTTGCCTGCCTAACTCCTAAGGCAACATCTGAATTACACCAGGAAAGATGCTACGGATTACGAGGTCATGGCAGTAACTGGTGGTAGTATTTTTACAGCAACAACTAAATCCAAGAAGAGAATCACGGAACATCAGAATCGATATTCGACAGACAAAAATCAAGAAGAAATCAAGCAGATCAATGAGCGCCGAACATCCAAAACAACGCCATAAAATGAACACAATCTTTTCCCATGCCGAGTCATACTGATCAAGCCTTTGATTTCTTCTTGGAGACGCCCACTTCGCTGTCGCGCTTTCGCTTCTTCTCCTCTTTGCTCTTCTTGTCTGTTTTGTCTTTCTTCTCTTTCTTTTCCTTCTTGGCCTCCTTCTCCTTCTTAGCCTTCTTGGGCTTCTCCTCGTCGTCCATCTCAACATCACTGTCTTCGGGCTCGTCGACATCCATGTCAGCAAGGATCGAGTCCATGGCAGATTTCTACATGTCATGTTAGTATGTGAGTGACCACACATGTAAGTTAGGATAGTTACGTACCATAGCAATTTCATTCTTTGTGGGAGGAGCTCCAGAGGCATAAAATTCCAGACGTTCTTCAACCTGCTTCTTAAGAGCTTCTCCGAACTTGGTCGAGGGAGTCTCCGAAAAGTTGTCAATTCTCGAGGCAATAGAACACTTGTTGGCAAGGAAACGAGAAATTCTGCCCTTGTTCTTGGGGCCTGCGCGACCAATGAAAGACGAATGGTACAAAAGACCGTACTTGGGAGTGTTTCCCTTGGTCTTGAGGGCTCTGAACAAGGCTTTCTCTGCACCAAGAATCTGAACAGTAGAAGCAGGGTACTTGGACAAGTTGGTCAAGCTACCGGCGTGAGAAATAAGACGAGCACCAACAACCTCTCCGATCAAAGCAGCCAAGTTAGGAGCGACAACGCTCATCTTGGCCACAAGGTATGAGTGCAATGACTTTCGGTAGTCGGACAAGCTGACGACACGCTTGGCGAAAGAGATAACGTTTTCCATATCGGTCTCAGAGATGTCTTGTCCCATGCTGTGCTTGGCAGCCTCAATGACGGTACGAGCGACGCCTTCATCGTCATCAACCAAAGCAGCAAGATCGTGTAGGCGGTCATCGGTCAAAGACTTCTTATCCTGGACGAAAAGCGCAAGTTTGGCATAACGGTAGTTCTCAGATACAATCTTGATAAGCTCGGGGAAATGCCAAGAGTACCATTCTCGCACTCTCATAGAAAAGGTGTTGATAGCCTTATCCAACTGATCCAAAATAGCAATAGCCTGGATGATGTGATTGTCATCACGCTGAACAGAGAACTTGACCTTGGCACGGGAGTAGGCGTGACCAAGACCCAACTGAGCGGTATCCAAATCGCCCTCTCTGAGACCTTTCAAAAGCTTTGTTGAGTGCAATCGAATTCCTCGAAGCATATCCTGCACGACTTCACTGGTGTCTCCGGTTTCGCAGTCGACGGATGGGAAAGCGGCCTTGATGCTAGTTGCCAAGACACGATCGTACACACCTAAACTAACCTTCTTCTTCTTGCCTGCCTTGGGAAGATTGAGTTCAAGGAAAGAGATAAGAGTCTCGGTAGCGACACCTTCGGAAATGTCGTTGATTTCGCTGAGTGCTTGCTTGTTGTTCCTGGAAAGATTCTCAGACGAGAGGTCACACGATAGCAATTTGGGGTAGAACAGTACATACTCAAAAGGCAAAAAGCTGACAAGCTCAACCATCTTTCCAAACTTGGCAAGATCCAATACACCTTCCTGCACCTCTTTCAAGCTATTGCCCACGGTATCGGCCTTGTGCACCGCCTTGAAAAGCGAGTAGCCCATTGGGGCCTCGAAGAGGAGATAGTCGGCCATGACGAGTTTTGTCGCGAGTCGCTCCGGGATAGAAATAGAGTATTTGACTCAATCAAAATTGAGCCCTACCAGCAGCGATTCAATTTTTGCAATTAAGCTGGGCGTGGGTTCGGCGACGCGGACTGATAAAGCGAAGGAGAGTTGAGATGCTCAAGGAAGCTCTACTTTTTTTTTTCTTCGGCGGCGGCGCTAGTCCCAATCGGCAGTGTGGGCAATTTTTTGGGCAAAATTAAGCTCACCGCGTTTAGACGGAAGCACCAAATCGACATTGGTCCTTGGTGATTGCTTTTCCTCTGTCGCCGAATTTCTTGCGATATCAGTTTCATTTCTCGAATTTGGCGAGTCTGTTATTTGTCAAATAGATCATGTCTGCCACTCAGTTACTCAACCCAAAGGCTGAGTCCAGGGTACGAAAACACCTTTTACCCCTCCGCAAGACACCCACTGACAGGATTACAGCGGAGAGGGGAGGCTTTGAAGGTCAACATCAGCGCTGGTGAAGGTCTTCAGGATGTACTGAAGTCAAATCTCGGTCCGGCTGGTACGATCAAGATGTAAGTAATACAATCAATGAAAGAGCAATGCGCCAAAGTTGGGGAAGCTCATCTAATCTGTAATATTTAGGCTTGTTGACGGTGCTGGAGGGGTATGTTTATCGACCATCACTTATGGAAGATTCAAGCTTAACGTGGAAACAGATCAAGCTCACAAAAGATGGAAACGTTCTTTTGAGGGAAATGGTAAGTACTTATTCACCTTAAATAATGTATCTCGCTAACTTCATTAGCAAATCCAAAACCCCACGGCTGTAAGACCCCTTTTTCGACGATACGTCCCGAACCGATCGCTAATTGTGGAAGGTTATGATTGCACGAGCTGCCACTGCACAGGATGATATTACAGGTGATGGAACAACGTCGGTCGTTCTTTTGGTTGGAGAGCTCCTCAAGCAGGCCGATAGACAGATCACCGAGGGTCTACATCCTCGAGTTCTTACAGATGGTTTCGAGCTTGCCAAGAACGAGACCTTGAAAGTGAGTTACCTCGTACAGTATGAGGGAGTTGTACTGACTAACTACGTCCAGTTTTTGGACAACTTCAAAATCGACCGTGAGATTGAACGTGAGCTCCTCATATCTGTCGCACGAACATCACTATCCACCAAACTCAACAATGCTATTGCCGAGAGCCTCMCTCCCGCCATTGTCGACGCCGTCCTCGCTATCTACAAGGCTCCAGCCAAACCTGACCTCCATATGATTGAGATCATGAAGATGCAACACCGAACGGCATCCGATACCCAGTTGATCAGGGGCTTGGCGTTGGATCACGGCGCCCGCCACCCAGACATGCCCAAGAGAGTGGAAAACGCCTTCATTCTTACCCTCAACGTCAGTTTGGAATATGAGAAATCCGAGATCAACTCCGGCTTCTACTACTCGAGTGCGGAGCAGAGAGATAAGTTGGTGGAGAGTGAACGCCGATTCGTTGATGCCAAACTACAGAAGATTGTGGAATTGAAGAAGCAAGTGTGTGGCAACGACCCTAAGAAGGGATTCGTTATCATCAACCAGAAGGGTATTGATCCTTTGAGTTTGGATGTGCTGGTGAAGAACGGAATAATGGCACTTCGACGCGCTAAGAGACGTAACATGGAACGTCTCCAGCTTGTCTGTGGCGGTATTGCACAGAACAGCGTGGATGACCTCACACCAGATGTTCTTGGTTGGGCTGGCCTGGTCTATGAGCACCAACTCGGAGAGGAGAAATACACTTTCGTTGAGGAGGTGAAGGATCCTAAGTCTGTGACTCTTCTCATCAAGGGACCCAACCAGCACACCATTGCTCAGCTCACGGATGCAGTCCGAGACGGTCTACGATCAGTCTATAACACAATAGTCGACAAGAGCGTGGTCCCGGGAGCCGGATCTTTCCAGGTTGCCGCTGCTGCTCATTTACTTTCAGAAGAGTTCAGCAAGACGGTTAAGGGAAAAGCTCAATATGGTATCAGAGCTTTTGCAGATGCTCTACTCATCATCCCCAAGACTCTCGCCGCAAACTCTGGCCACGACATTCAGGACTCTCTTGCCAAACTCATTGACGAACAGCGTCAAGGACACGTTGTTGGTCTGGATCTCTCGTCGGGAGAGGCCATGGATCCTGTTCAAGAGGGTATCTTCGATTCTTATCGTGTACTACGTAACTGCATTGCCTCCAGCACAGGAATCGCTTCCAACCTTTTGCTGTGTGACGAATTGTTGAAGGCTCGACAAATGAGCAGGCAAGGTGGACCTGGACCTGGCATGGACGAGTAATTCTAACCAAAAGGATTCTTTGATTTCCACGAAGAACTAGATGTACCACTAGGTTCAATGTCTTGGGCGCGGTCTGAATAAAAATATGAATATAAACTAATCTTTTAATTCATGAAGATACATTGATTCACCTATATTCGATAATAGGCTTGATTTGTTTTTCTTTCCCTTGAAGCTTAATAGGAACGTGCAATAGCTTCAAGTGCGAAAATAAAGATGTATTCAGAATGATGACTAGTGGGTATCTAAACTTCCCTTCTACTATGCATTCCCAAACGCCGCCGTATGCAAGTCGCCAACCGTAACAAATACTGCTGCCTATCATCACATTGATGAATTGCCACCACTAACCATACCTAATCCTCACTCTCTTCTTGCATCTGGAGTTTTTCGGGAGCCCATTCGCCAATGAACCCGTCCTCTCGCACCGGATCTCGGAGGGTGACATTGTGTATCTTTGTCCATTCCAGCACATTGGATTTTCGAACGATGACCGTCTCGCCGTCTGTCGAAGTCGTATTTTTCCGTTTATTAGTCGTAGTCTTAGTCTGCTGCTCCGGCTCCACCACGCCCATCCCTTTCAAAGCCGTAATCACGTCTTCAGGCAACATTCCAGTAGCCTGCCCAATCTCTCGCACCGTCATGCTTTCCCTCGGCGGGAAGTTTTTCTTCGAAGCGGCTGTTTTCATGGCTGCCTGTCTCTTCTGTTGAGCCTGCTGGATATACTCCTCTGGGTCTCCACCCGGTGGACCAAGCAGGAAATACCGTGCCATACGCTCTTCCCAGAACCGTGAATAGCTTCGATGGCCTAGTTCACTCAGCGGCCGTTCGGGCCCACCGATTAACCCTCCTTCCCATTCCCATGCGCTCAATTTGTAGCTGACGCCCATTAAAAGTCTGCCTAGCTTTTTGTGTTGGTATGGGGGGAAGATGAGGATGCAGGCGAGGTTGTTCAGATCCCAGGATAGTTTCTCCTTGGAGAAAAACCCGAGCACATAATAGTCGTCCGGCGCGTCGGGGTCGGTGAAGGTGAGAACATAGTATAAAAATGACGAGACATCAAAAAACACGGATTTATGATCGAGGAATAATTTTGCAAAAAGCGATAGGTTCTGTGCGAATAGCTTGTCGTCTTCGCCGTCAATCTCATACACTGCGTATCCGCCGTGTTCGTAAACCTTCTCGCCCGGAGGCGTCGCGCGTCGGTCACATAGCTTCACATGACCAGCGTAGGCTACAGCGTCACAGCTATACCGAAAACACCAGCGGCAGACGTATAATACCTCGGTGTCCTTGGTGACGAGTTCCTCCGGGTAAATCGATTGATACCATGTCGGGAAGGAGAGGTCGCCTAGAACGACGCGCTTTACGCCAGCGCGGTTGCCAGGTTGCTTTGCGATTGTTGCGGCAGTGGAGCGAGTCATTAGAAAGGTACTTTGCGTAAGGCGTAAATTATGAGCATGCGAGGTTCATGGGGGTTCGTCGTTGCTGTCTAGGCTCAAGACAGAGGAATGTTCCGTCAATCGTTATCAACTCAGCCGCCTATGTAGTAGATAGATACTATTATGTACGATGAACAAGGCTACGTACAGAGGCTAACTGGGGCTCCGTCTCGGGTGGCACGTTTAACAGCAATCTTTGCTCGCAGACTCAACCAGATGATTCATTTGTTGATTTGCTGATTGTTTTTTATGTAATTAAGGGTAGACACGTAGGAAATAATAACATATGCTTTCCATACGACTACAGCAAACATTGCGGAGTTTCTTTTTGCTTCTTGATAAGGCCGAGCGGGGAAGACTCGGCAGCCTGGGCTAGCTCAGCTCCATCTCTTATCGATTGGAGCTCGCATTGCTCCTTCCTCTCCGTTTGAACTCGGTTGCCTGAGCCTCTCTCCTTCTTTCTCTTCGTCATCCATTATCTTTTTATAATCTTATTATATTCCATCGTTCTTCTATCTCTTCTGCGAGTACTCCAAACTCCAGGTTCTCATTACACTCGATGATGCTGTGCTCCTCATCCGGTCTCGTGTAACTCTTATCGCCACTTGCAGTTGCTGCTCAACAAGGCTGTCACTAGCAGTCTATCAATCGATCAAGCCATCGACTCCCTCCCCAACGCTGTCATCTCCGTCACCCCCATCCCCAGTCACTTATCTGAACCTGGAAAATGGCAGATACAGTGTTGAAGCCGTTCCAAATTAGGAACCTGCATGTTTACCCAGCAGAGGAAAACCTATATGATTCTTCCACTGAGAGTGTCATCTCCAGCTCTCCAACTGACGAGTCTCAAATCAGGCCCTCATGTCTCATCCAGTTATCTGCAGGGGAGTATGATAAGATTATCAGTGATCACCCAAATGGAACCCTAACTTATATCGACGATGATGATGGTGACCTCATCACTGTGAGTGCTCATCCTTTCTTTCATGCTAACTGTACATCTCTGACAGAGTGCTAGGTTGGATCCTCTTTTGAACTCGAACAGCGCCTTGATGAATCATCACAATATAAAACCATGATCTCGAGGGACCAACCAGAACCGTCTCCGATTCACTTGTTTGACATTCGCCGACGCAGGTCTATAATCAAGCTTTGGAAAGACATTGAGAAGAACTCGAAAATTCGATGGGCTCGGCTGGAAGATGAATTTCTCGAGGAGCCGAAATCTAGCGAAGCTGGTACTTCGTTTGAACCTCGTGGGCTAGATGTCAACGAGTCTACAGACTCACGTCAACGATGGTTGGACGCATGCAGGCCACCTCGACTTCAGTCTCAGCAGACTTTAGAAAAAGAGAGTCCATATCCTACCCTCAAGGATATAGATTCGTCCTCACCGACTATCATGTCATTATCAGCTATTACAGATGAAGGCAGACGTCAGGTAAGCCATATTTCTTTATGCAGTACGAAGATGCTAATTTGAAGTAGGCAGAAGAAGCAGGAAGTCGTATACGGAGCATGTGGAACGCGCCTGCCAGTGTCTCTCATGCAGCACCTGATTTTATCCGCAATCAAGAGAATCCTTGGGCTGCCTCAGTAGAGCCTGTTACGGATGACAATGACAGTAACCATTCATCTGAAGCTCAACTGTCAAATATTGAGGTAGAGTCACAGCCGCTTTTGTCGGCATTCGAGGCTGAAATGGCCAAAATTCTGGAAAATTCACAAAAGCCTGTGAACGATGCGAATAGTCCCAAYCCCCCCCCAGAGCCGCAGAATCAACGYCCSGAGCCGATAGAGCAGATATGGCCTGTCAATCTCGTGACTGGTGTCTTGCAGGCCGTTGTTGATGGAATTGAGAATATGGGATCGGAGCTCAAGACAAGGATTCCTGAAATGGAACGCCACCTGGCAAATGCGCAAAGAACCATCCCAGATGATATCGGAACCAAGATGCAGACGGCCTTATCAGCATTCGAATCACAAGTTCAGAATCTAGCACAGATCGTACAGCAAGCATCCGATGCCTCTGGCGAAGCCGCTGAAAGGGTTCGTCAAGCCGATCTTCGATCTACTGAACAAATGCTCAACGGCCTTGGAGACATAGCCCATGAGTTTGAGGACTTTGGAAAAACCTTGTTTGCTGCTTTTGAAGCTGAGTTTGGTCAACGAAAAAATGGCAACGAGGCAGATGTTACTGATTCTATGAATGCGAGTCAGGATGCAAATCCTGCCCAGTCTCAAGCTCAAGCTCAAGAAGACGTGCTCTCTTCCACGAAGGTTGATCTGCCCCAAGAATCCTTGGACAAGGCTTCGGAAGCGGCAGCACCAGCTGCGTATCAAAGTCCAGTACCACCTGCTCCCTTATCACCTGATCTACGAGAGCAACTACCGCCTCATTTACGAGAGTCCTTGCTTTCGGAACTTAAGACAGCTACTTCGCAGGTCTTACTATCAGATGCTAAAGACAGATCTGTCCAGCAGCATCAGCCAAAGCCGCAATTATCGACTTCTACTCCACGCGAATCAATCCTTTCCGAGATCAGAAGCAGGGCTACTTCGGAAACATCTTTGCTTCCAGAGATCATAAGTAGAGCCACCCAGCAAGACTCCCAACACCCAGAGATCAAAAGCAGAGTGACCCAACAAGAATCCTTGTCTTCAGAGATAAGAAGCCGAGCTATGCAAAATAATCAGCCGCAATCCCAACAGCAGGAAACTGAAAAACCCTTGTTCTCAAGCTGGCCAAACCGTCCAGCCTTTGTGCCACCACCATTCATACCTACAACCACTCGCCCTCCAGTGCCTCCAAAAGCTGTCAATGACAAGCCAACTCCACACATGGATGCACGACCAGCAGGTCCTTTTGACACAAGGGACGAGCGGTCAGAGGACATGACTAGGTCTCTTTTTATGGGTAATATAGGTTTCGAGGTCACTGAACGAGTCATAGAAGAGGTATTTGCCTCTCATCTCTTCTCAGCCAAAGTCCATCTACCCATTGATTCGTCTACTGGCAAGCATGCCGGGTTTGGATATGCCCGTTTCCCGTCCGTTTCGTCTGCCAAGGCTGCTCTTGCTAGACTCCAAGGGGTGGTGATAGACGGGCACTCTTTGAATTTGGAGCACTGTGACAACTCTCCCATTGATGACTTGCAAACCCAAATTCGGCCAAATGACAGTCTTCCAAGTGTCTTTAGCGGCAACGCTCGCAGCACCAATTCACGCATTAGCCGGCCTACTTTTGCTCAGAGCAGCTCCTTGAATCCTTTCGATCATCCAGAAGAGACACCCGAGTTCGCGGCACGGTACCCTTCTCTACTTCCAACCTACAAACCCAAGAATGACTCTTTGGCGATACCCCCACGTTCCATGACACTTAGCCCTAACTCGGAGATGGCTCGTTTTCCTCCTGTTTCTCAAATAGATGCACATCTATTAGCGAACAACCAGCGTCGAGATCTTACTGAGACTAGCCAGGACCGACCGCGCCCTCATAGTGTCACCGGGCCGCAGCAACAGGAAACCAGGAGAGTAGGCGAAGAAATTCGACTGCGAAAGCCACGACGTGTCGCTTCGACTATCCATCGGGGATCTACTAGTCAGCTTGATGCACAAACTAGTAACGCGCACACTCTTAGACGTAGAGCAACAGAGGCAAACACATTGCGTCGTCGCGCTCATGAAAATCCGTTTAGGGATCCGCGTCCCGTGAGCCTCTACGACAGACCTGCCGGGTCGATCCCTGGCAGTTTCCCTGTGGATGATACCCCAGCGCCAGTCACCACCAATGAGGAGTCTAATAGTGATGGAGAGTTCCGATATGCGATGCGACAGTCTCTCATTGATCAGTGCGTTGATCACCTGTTGAAACTCGGCTATGGCACGTATATTGATGGAGGGCGTGATAGGCTGAGAATCATTGCTGAAGCCGCTAATTTGCAGGTCTCCGATGCAATTGATATGATTGAAGAGGAGCGGATGGCTTACGAACGTTATACACCAAATGCCTGATTGATTGTTAGAAGAGCGATTACGATACACACTCATTCATGTTTTATTTTCGAGGTCAATGTCTAGCCTGGCGTATCGGAGTGTCGTTTTCTCTTAGTCTAGCTATCTAGCATAAGAACAAATTGAAAAATCTTATTCATGCTAGCGTTATAAAAGTACACTGTCATTGTAGCTTTAGTAACGTTAGACTCAAAAAGTAGCTCAGCTGGTCCATGCGGAGGTCGGTGGACCCACCTTGAATTATTGTCTCTCCGATGATTCACGGCGTTGAGATAACATTCAATCAACCACCTAAGCTATCCACACGCTCTAAACGGTCAGGTCTATTTCTGCAACCGCGCACTCGCAATGCGGGTATGGCGACGCTCATTTCACACGTCCGTCGTGAGACGATACACTCCATCAAGCCCTCTAGCAGGTAATCGATTACGATGCGCCGAACTCTTGAATGCGACCACCACGACGGACACCACAGACGAGAAAACAAAGGCACATAAATACGAAAACGAGGAAATTACATTAAAGGGATTCATTCGATCAGTCAGAAAACAGAAGCGATTCGCCTTTGCGGAGATATCCGATGGGTCGACGGTTAAGTCGTTGCAGGCTATCCTGACGCCGGAACAAGCTGCTGAGTATGTGGATTCTGATGCGTTGTGAATGTGCGCTGACGTTATGTTTGAAGTTTATCGACTGGAATGGCGATCGAGCTTTCGGGAATATGGACGGCATGTCCTGCTGGGAAAGAGCAAACGCATGAATTGCAGACTTCGGCGATACGTATTGTTGGCGATGCGGATGCTGAGGTGCGATAATTCAAGTACTACTGGAGAGTAATGAGCTAACTGAGTGACTTATAGACTTATCCAATCCAAAAAAAATATCATTCTCCCGACTTTCTACGACAAATCCCCCACCTAAGATTACGAACACCCTTCAACTCGCTCCTCGCTCGATTTCGCTCAGAAACCATATACCAGTTAGGACAGGTGTTTAGGTCCGTCCCACAAGGAGAATTTGTACAGGTACAGCCGCCATTGATCACGTCGTCAGACTGTGAAGGCGCAGGAGAGACATTCACCGTATCGCCGCAATCATCAGCGCAGGCGCCAGGACATTCGAAAGGGTCGGAAAAGGAACTTGAGTATGCACATTTTTTCCGCAACCCGAAATATCTTACCGTCTCGTCGCAACTTCATCTGGAAGCATACGCCGCTGAGTTGGGCAATGTATGGACATTATCACCGACCTTTCGGGCGGAAAAGAGTAAAACGCCGCGCCATCTAAGCGAATTCTATATGCTGGAAGCTGAAGTGAATTTCACGAATGAGTTACCCGCTTTGCTGGACTTGGTGGAATATTTGATTCGGGATCTGGCGCGCAGACTATATGATACCCCTGTTGCGCAAGAAGTGCTATCAGCCAAGAGAACGGGTGAGTCGGGCCTGGATAGCAGCGTCGATATACAGGGAGTCCTTCGCAGGAGATGGGAGGTATTACTATCCCAGTCTATCAACTGGCCTCGAATCACGTATACCCAAGCAATCGAAATGCTTCAAGACGCACAAAACAATCATGGAGCATCATTCATCTACCCCCCTTCATGGTCCGAGGGTCTCCAGACCGAGCATGAGAAATATATTGTCGACACTATTTTCAAGGGTGTCCCCGTGTTCGTCACGGATTACCCCCAAGAAGTGAAACCATTCTACATGGCGCCTTCAGTGGGTGCTGACGCTGCGCACCGGGACCAAGTTACAGTGGCTTGTTTCGATTTACTATTCCCTGAGATTTGCGAAGTTGTCGGGGGCTCGCTTCGTGAGCATCGCTTACCAGAACTCATCAGCAAAATGCGCGACTACGGTCTGATCAAACATGACTCTAAGTCACCTGCCCAACTACAAGACGAAAATGATGATGACGAGCACATCCTTGCCCTCTCAAAGAATTATCCATGCCTGCAACCGGGCGAAAGACTCGGCCATTTGCAATGGTACGCTGACCTTCGTCGATGGGGGAGTGCGCCGCACGGTGGATTTGGGCTGGGCTTCGATCGGTTATTGGGCTATCTGGCTGGAGTGGGCAGTTTGAGGGATGTTGTGCCTTTTCCAAGATATTTTGGGCGCGCTGATTGCTAAACACATGTATATGGTTTGTATTATAGTTGTATAAATATATTGAAAATAAAGTGAGGGCAGAAGCGAATCATCTAGCCGTTTCTGGACTTATTCTCAAGGTGCCGTGTGACGATCTGTATGCGAAAAGTGTCGGCTGATGGAAGATCACTAGAGGTCTAAACGAATACGCGCTATTTTTGAATGGTTCAATAGTTGAATCTACCAAGCCTTCCCTCAACAGGCATAAAGCATATCCACCCACTTGCGCAACGAGAACAAAACAATGGGGAAAAGATACGAATACGAGGTCTTTACTATCATATCTATTAGACCTTTTGAGTTACCCTATACCACCAGCTTTGAGCATACCTATATGCCACGGATGAAGTCTTAGCACTGCTCCCAAGAAAAGGAGTATGTTTACTCAACTGGCAGGGCATTGCAGTTGTCTCCAGGATGGGAATTGGGTTGTCCATCTCTGATAGAACGACCTGTCTCGCCTGGCAGAAGGTGAATTCATTTGTACAGCGTGTGAACCCGGGTACAGATAGAGCCGGGCGACCAAATTGGGTAGGAGCTATACGAGACCGCAGAATCATTGGCAAGTGGATGTCCAAACTGACTTTACCTTGCATCGGGTTATCAACTGCCGGTGCTTTACTCTTTTATGTCTAGTTCTGGCCTAAGGTCTGCTGCTGTATGGTATCTTTCTCAGTGCAATGCTCTGAATCTGCAGGCGCGCACTATAGCCCCTCGGTATGATCTCGCCCGGCGTGGTTATACGAACTGATACGAGCAAGCTGATCATTGCATTGAGCCTCCAGCGATAGGACACTACTGCCAACTTGATTCTTGTGATGCTTGACCATAAGTGGTACCCCGCACCCCAGATATTTCCCCAGAACACCTAAAAATACACAATTGGCGATTACTGTAGGTCATCAACCGATCGACAATGCCAATTTCCAGGAGACCTCAGCCGGGCAACTTGTTACTTGCTGCCCCGATTTGCTGCAGTTGGGCGGGCCCAGGTACAAAAACTCGTCGTGGTCCTCTCAATAAGATGGCTGTACTCGTCTTCAAGTTCTGATAGTAGAAGGGTCTTTGTAATCTTACACCACGCTATAGTCAAGGAGCTACTCTACTGCCGAGATGTTTATCTCTGTTCAAATCATATGGCTTCTCATCAGTGCTCTTGCGGGAGCACTTCAAAGCCCTGAAGATGATTCTCAAGATCATATAGGGACATTCCAGAATCCAGGAGCTCTCAGGAGACCACGATACAGATACTGGTATGCTCTCCTTTTCGGCGTGCAGCATATACGGATACGACTAACCACTACTTGCCGCAGGTTACCTGATGCTAGCGTTGATCCGGACCTCCTCATCGATGACATAGTTCAACTAGGCGCACGAGGAGCGGGTGGAATCGAGTTTTTGAACTATTTCAATTATGGCGGGGGAGAGGTGTGTGATTGACCTGCGCATAAACCTTTCTCTTAATTTTGATTTTAATTTAGTATCACATATAGGGCCCGGCTGCCACCAACTGGACTATCTACGGCTATGCCACTCCAGACTATCGACAGGTCCTCAAGGCCGCCCTTCAAGCACATAAGGACCACGGTATGTTCATGGATTACTCCATGGGCCCACAATCTGGACAGGGAGTTCCTGCTGAGCCCGACAATCCAGGCCTCGCCTGGGAGCTTGTGAAGCAACACGTTCCATACATTCCACTGCAATGAGGTTAACATATCAGTACAGGTCTCTTTCAATGCAACCATCGGTGAGAATGAAACCTACATTGGCCAAGTTCCCGGTTGGGGCTACGGAGATCTTGTGTCAGCCGTTACGTTTGCCGTTGTCAACACCACAAATTTGAGCATCCCAGCTATAGTAATACCTGGGGAACCTCTATACTACACTGTCATAGAGAACACCATTTCATCCGATTCTCTAATTGAGGTGACTAAATTGATCTCTCCTAATGGCACTATCCAAGTAACAGCATCCTCTGTAAGCGGGGCAGAATCTTATTACCTTTACGCCTCGTATGCACGAAGATCATATGCAAGGGCATGCATCGCCTCCAGCGATAACCCACAGAATATTCTCCAGAACGGCTCCTTTGCTGTTGATCATTTCTCGACAACCGGTGCTAAGGTTACGACTAGCTTTCTGGAGGATTATGTACTCATCGATGGCATCGACGAATTACTGAAAGAGGTTGGCCACTACATCTGGGAAGACTCGGTCGAGATTCCGACTTATGTTTACTGGACTCCCGATCTGCCGACGGTTTTTGAAGAGAGACATGGAGTAAGTTATGTAACCAGTCTATCTTAACGGTGCTAAAAGGAGACGTGTAGTACTCGATGACCAAGTACCTGCCTCTTCTCTCTGGAAATGAGGGCGAGTTATCCGCTGCAGAGGGACCGATACGTTTCATCAGCGATGCCTCTGACCAGGGTTATGGTTTTGTGTCGGATTTCCGCTCCACCATGACCTATCTTCTGACTACATACCTGGGGTATTTGAATGACTGGTCGCTTCGCAAGCTCGGGCTTCAATTTTCACAGCAGGTGGGCTACAACCTCCCCGTGGACATGCTTGCGGCGATCCCGTCAGTTAGCGCACCAGAGACAGAGACGCTGTCATTCAGAAACATAATTGACGGGTTTCGACAATTTTCTGGACCTGCTGATCTTGCCGGGAAAAGTGTCATCTCAATTGAACTGGGCGCAGACTTTGGGCAGGCCTACTACCAGACGTGGACCCAGCTCCTAATGGAGGCGAAGCATTCCTTTGTTGCAGGCGTCAACCAGGTTGTAATTCACGGAGCCACTTACTCACATGAGTATGCCAATACCACTTGGCCCGGATTTACCTCCTTTGATTACTTATTTGCGGGTCAGCACTCGCGCCATCAACCAGCATGGGACGTTGGCTACAAACAAGCCGGCGACTATCTCGCCCGCTGTCAACATGTTCTTCAAACGGGAACTCCAAAGGTCGATCTCGTCTTCTGGGATAAGCAGACAGCACAGGCGGCGTATCCAACGAGTTTGTACGAAAGCACTGATTTAGAGAATGTAGGATACACTTATCAGTACCTCTCTCCTGAGAACTTTGATTTGCCAGCAGCTTATGTCGAAGGAGGGGTGTTTGCGCCTCAACAACAGGAGTTCAGGGCTTTGATTCTTCGTGGTAACGACACTTTGACACCAGGAGGAGTCGAAGTGCTTACTAAATACGCCAGAGAAGGATTGCCAGTAATACTCTCAGGTGGTATATCGACAATCTGGGCATCGAGCGATGAGGATGCCATCCATCAGGCAGAAAATTCTCTTTCAAGCATTCTGCAACTCGATAATGTCCATCAGGTTTCCTACACAGGTCTTGCCAGCTTTATCAAAGCCATCGGCATCACCCCTAGAGCGGAAATCTCATCTAATGGCACTTGGTACACGCGTTGGAAAGAGGATGCGGAGGGCGAAACTTATGTTTTTATATACAATGATGGTAACTTTAGCACGGGCTACATTTCTTTTGAGACTGTGGGCGTGCCATACTTGCTTGATGCTTGGACGGGTGGAAAGACCCCGATCGTGGAATATGCGGAACAAGACGGACGGACTGTGATTCATTTCGCACTGCAAGAGACTGAAACCCGCATCGTCGTGTTTTCTGCTTCATCCAAGTGCGGTAATGAAGCAGAACACGTAGTCTCCAGCTCGGATTCAGTACTTGGCTACACCAGCACAAGCAGTGGAATCTGGGCAAAAGTTGCAGCCGGGGATGCGACTGCCAGTGTCACTCTATCATCCAATGAGACACAGTTGTTGCACGCAAATCCACAGCCAGCATTCAGCCTCACCAATTGGACCGTTGTCATCCAGCAGTGGCTCCCGCCTGTCAACCTATACGATGTGGAATCGCTCGCAAATAAGGTGAATGCGACATTCTCTGTACCAGGCGCGGTGTTGTCATCTTGGTCAGATTTGGGTCTGCCCAACGCTTCGGGAGTTGGCTATTACACTTCCAGCTTCGCATGGCCAGACGGAAAGGCGAATAACACGGGGGCGTACCTCGTCATACCTCCAGTTGCACAGGGACTTATTGTCACTATCAACGGAAGGGAGTTACCTGCCGTAGATATCACTAACCCGACAACAGATGTGTCGGAATATGTTGTGGGTGGGAAAAACACAGTTCTGATTACAATATCTTCAACGCTATGGAATAGCCTTATTCCTATTTGGGAGGATCTCCTGACAGGCGGCACTGGGCCGGGATTCACCGCTGCAGATTCTGAAGCTTTAGGATATGGGCCACAGAGTTATGGCATCTTGGGTGAAGTTCAGATCATTCCGTACCAGCTAGTTCAGATCAAATAGGTGCTTCCTTTTTGAGTCTAAGAATGTTATCAGATCGGTCAGCTCAATTTACGGAGATTGTTATTTGGTACATGAATATAAGTGATAGAAAACCTAGGTTCTTTCCCATTGAATCGGCTATCCACCTACGTCCGTACAAAAAGGTATGCGAAGGCAAGACTTTCCTTGATTATTGAAGCAAATCCTTCCGGTGTGAAGTATGCCACCAAAAGGTCTCTGCTTTCCAATTTTTTGTTTAGTATAGTGAATTTTGGAATCACCTTAACCAACTGTTTAGTAGTCCCAACTTGGTGATTACTGAGTATGGTCCGCAGTAGCATAGATCCTTGACAATTATGTAGGTACCTACTCGAGGCCGTTGATGTTCGAGATCGACACTCATCATCCTTGATGATCCTTGATAAGATAGATACATGGGTAGGTAGTATTCGGCGGCCCTTGCCAATAATCACTCGAGAACACCGAATGTCAGACATTTTAAAATTCGAAATTATTAAATTACGTTCGTTTGAATGACATCCAATCCCGGTATTCGGCCCCAGAATTGACTTGGGGCACGTACGTAGTAGGCTTACGAATTGAGGCTGAAACACATGTTCCGAAACAGAAGTATCCCCATATAGAAACACCCAAAGTACTCTAGACTACGAGATGAAACTTTCAGAAAAAGCAAAGACAGTACGTAGTGTATTGCTTGACTCGGTAGGTAGAACCCCATATATTCAAGAATCCAAAAAAGCTATCCTATCTACTGGGTATAGTATCCGTAACCCCTGAAATAAGTCAAAAACCACAAAAAAGCAAAGTTCCCAATTCCATGTGTATCATCATCCAGTTAAGGCAACCGGGCCTGACGTCTGGTTTTTCGTTCGTATGTACAAGGTAATACTCCGTATTGGTTTGTACATTGTAAGTTGTCTGTCGTTAATATATGTCCCAGTTCCTTGTTTTTCTATATGCCTGATATTTTCCCAGAAGTCCTCCCAAAAAGATATAAAAAGTTCCCAATAGTCCGTCGTAGAAGTTTAAAAGGTGCGACAAGCTACTTCACTCTGGCTGGAGACAGTGGAAAGTGCGTGGCTTGTCGCGAAGAAAGAAAGAAAAGACAAAAAAGGGAGTTTTCAGTCAATTCAATTGACGTTCAAAGGGCGGGTCTACCTGGACCTGTCTTTAGATTCTCGAGTCTCAATGATCGAACCTCAATAAAGCAGAGAGTTTAAAGGATAGAAGATCCGAGGTCGAGCTTGAGCAGATCACTGCTCTCGCACGAGTGGGTAGCCCAGTTGTCGTCGGGAAGCAAGTAGGCAGCAGCACAGGCAACGTCGCCAGCAGCGCAAGTAGCAGACTCGCAGGTAGAGTCAGTAGAGCTAACGGCGAAGCCCATGGTGGTGAAATCGGAGTTGTCACCCATGTTGATGCAGGAGAGATCCCACCAGATGGTGGGGTTCTCGTAGGTGTACTCGTACTGCAGAACGTTGGTCTGCTCGGGGCTGAAGGAGATCTTGATGGAGATTCCGCCGCCGTTGGGGTTGGTGCGCCAGTTCTCAGAGTAGGTCTCGCCGCTGTTGAGGGTGTACATGTCGCTGGAGACGTCGGACACGGACCAGAGGTAGACGGTCTTTTCCATGTTGTTGACGATCTGGACGCCGTCGCTGGTGATGTTGGTGCTCTCCTGGCGGGCCATCAAATGGCGGTGCATGGAGTGCGCATGGTGGCGCACGTTGTTGAGGTTGTGCACAGCGGGGAGGGCAGTTGCAACGGCGCTGAGAGCAGCGAAAAGTCCGAGGGCCTTGGAGAACATGTTGTTTTTGATATTTGTTTTAGAAACAAGAAGAGTGTTCTGATGTTAGGCTTGAAAGAATGTATTCAATCTTTTCAAAAGACTGTATAATCTCTATCAAAGAGATTGAAGTGTGATTGATGAAAGCTTGGAGGCTTAAGAGAATGGCTACTCTCACGAGAGTTGAAATGAATGATCAATAACTGTTAGGCGAGGGACAGAGTCTGGGAACGGGGATCGTCCATCTTATATACAAGCGCTGAGTTTGTCTGACTGTGTGCCCATGTGGGTGGGATGAGGGGCGGCCTGTTGTTTCAGGTACGCACTCAGGGTCGCTAGCATTTAGCCGTGTTTCTTTCTCCATTTGGCGTTCTTTTCTTTTCTCTTTTCCGGTAGAGTTTTTTCGGAGCGGTGCGGTGTCCACTGTCCTCCACGCAGTCCAATCCGATGCCTTCAGACCACAACTCCAACGGCGCGATTGGGAGGAATCCGACACCCAGTGCCCATCCGTCCCACCGGTCAGGGCTAGGGTCAGGCACACTTGAGATTAGACGGTGCTAGTTGGATGTAGTCTGACACGGAGCAGCCCGTTATCAGACTAGAAAACTAAATCGAGGCGCCCACTTAGGTGGCGCTGGCCGGCGCTGGCCAGACGCAAAGCCAAGAGAAAGCATCGATGAAAATTGAGATTTTGGGCGGCACTAAGTGCACTTCGCAGAGACTAAAGGATCCAGACCGGATCAGCCATGGGATTGGCAGACAAGCCTCCCGCTTGTTTAGTGCATCGGCGCACAATCGATCTGGCGGGTTCTATTGGAGTGTCCCTGAGATTAGCGTGGACACGTTGGCGCCAGCTGCAGCCTCTGACTGTTCTGACATCTGTAGAACGTAGAGTGAACATAGCAGAGTGTAAGACTGTCTGCATGATGACCACAGTGTCTGTCCCTTTCTGTCGTGTCATGTGGTTTATCCATGGGGAGACGTGTCAACCGTGGAAGCAGAAAGAGAGAGCCAGTCGGGAGGCTGTCCACTGTGAGTCGCTGTTTGGTTTGTTTGTTCCTTTTTTTTTCTACTCAGGCACAGTCATGTGATTAGCCAATCAGTGCCTAGAAAGATGACTTGGTGGTAATATGATTGGCTGGTTATGCCCGACTCGTCCCGCTCCGTGCTCCATTTTTTGGTGCGTGGGTTTATTCCTTTGATTACTCCGAGAGCGTGGCATTAACCACCTGTAGGACGGCAAAGTACCATGGATGATGGCCAGAACCATTAGGCATCTGCTCAAACACTCAACAGCAAAGCAACCGGCTATCGGTAATCACTCTACAACGCTATCAGAAAATTATTCCCGTCCTGGACTAACTCAAAAGTCTCATCGGTGAAATCGCTGAAATGACATCTTGCCGCATCATGATAGACGTGAAAAATCAAGGTACGTAAAACACGAGAAAAAGGGCCCAATACTCCATCCAGTGGCGAACATCGTTGGCGGGATGGACCGAACAGAGCCTACAGTGGACACTGAACGTGACGAAAATTTTTACATGTGCCTCAGGCTCTGCTCAGCAAATCAGACGCATGATATTTCCTCTTCGACCCATCTCTTTTTGTTCTGACTTGCAGAGTATCCATCGTATCGGATGAGGCGGATTTCTCCTACTCTGGATTCTGGACAGAGGGATCCAAGTAGCCAGTGGCGAACGCATCCGGATTTTGCAATCCTTGTTGCGGACATCGGCTCAGACGGTTCGACTCAAGACTGTCTTCATGAGGGGCGAGGCCATTCTGGGCAGCCACCACGTGTCCAGCAATAACGCCATGAAAGATCGCCAACTCTATTACAGTAGTATTCCGAGAAGGAACCGATGAGTTAGACAAACACGTAGTGATCCATCATTCGCTCTACTATGTATGTCTAGTTCGAAATGACATGTGTTCTTTGTGAGGAAGAAGAAGAAGAAGAACGAAAACTTTGTTCCTGGTACCTTGCATATACTAACTTTTTACTATGTAGTAGTCCAGCCAATGACAGCCGCCTATCGCTTACCGATTCGCTCCGATTTGATCTGTCAGGAAATGTTTCTGCCTTAGATATTACTACATAATATCGCTTTCGTTCATAGTGCATGTGAATAGTAGATTGGTGGTGTTGTCGGGATATGAACATGTTCCTATTACGTAGATGGCTTCGGAGTCGACAGGTCATGTATTACTTTGACAATGGCAATGCCACCTGAAAGCTCTCTGATAGAAATTGATGGAGATTGAAGTGCTATGTATATGCAGTCAGTATGCAAGAAGAGAAAGGTTGAATTTACACGCAAATCTTAGCTCTGCTCGCTTCATCGGTTTTAAAACTACGTAGTCGGTTAATAATCGTTCAAGAAGAAAATCACTCATTGCCGCCACCTTGGAGTCCACTCTGGATCACCAGTACGGCGCTCGTATTCCTGCAAGACTAGAAAGTGCCCCTTCGCCCGCACTAGTAGCACCGTCTTCCTTCTTCCGGTGTCCTGCCAGCTCCAAATTGATTTGGCGGTGAATATGCACCAGCCAATCAACATAACTCTGCGCCTCGTTGTTGCGGTCTTCCACTAAAGACCGAGCAAACTCGTATTCTGCACCGTCGATGCCCTGTCGCGCTAATTGGATAGTGACTGCTTTGGATCCGCGAACGGTAGAGAGATATTGTAGTAGGTTGCGCACTTGGGCATTCAAATGCGTCTCAAGGACTGGGATGGATGACGTGTTCGGATCTAGGGCTTGCAGAGATGTGATTCCGGGTCCAAAGAGGTCTTCAAGTAAGTTGGGCGATACGAAGGAGTGTATCCAGAGGAGTATGCCTTGTCCGTTGTCGATGAGATATGCTCCTCCTTCTTCGACGCGTGAGAAGGACGCCCGCAATGCAGGAGGAACCTGCAGCTGGCCTTGTTCGTTGGCAAAACCATCCTCGGCACTCATGTTGTGGATGGGAATGATTCGTGGATACAGATACAAGGACAATTCTAGGCATCCAATCGAACGGAGCATTCGCAAGTCGTGTACACGTCGGTCTGCAGTCTCGCTACCTCCTGTATAACACGTCTGTCAGCTCTTATCTTAAACAAGTGATTAGCAAGAATAACCTACCCTTGAAGGCTCTCGACTTGAGTAGACTGAGCATGTACATAGAGAATTCTTTGAGATTCTCTGGCAGAACCAGCTGACCAGGAGGATGCGATCCAGAGAAATTCTTGCGGTATCCGGAAAAGATATCTACTGTCTTTTCCGTGATACTCGCCCGGATATCCTTCAATGTCTTGTCCCCCGCTTTTGAGGCAGCTATTTCACATCAGCATAGTAGCAGAAACCAAAGCATAGATAACTCACCTTCTTTGGCAATAATAGCAACAACAGCATCCTGATCAATACACTTCATCGTCTCAATGCCTCCCTCATTAACACCAGCTACAATATTGATACACCGAACCCGTCGTTGGCCATTGGCTGCGGTGTATAGTAACGCAGCTTGAAAGTGTGCGTCAAGTTTGGGATCAAGTTTTCCATCGTAGCTGAAGATAACTCCGAGCGCCTTATCAGCATCTATCGTTCCAATTTCAAGGTCCGCGCCGAATGTGTGCTGCAAGAAGTTGCCGTGATATGCCGAAACTTGAAGCCCGTTGGAACATCGAACCTTCATTAACGCTTGATATCCAGTCTCACGGGTTACAGTGTGAGATATCTCTTGCGAAAGTTTCAATGAATCCCGAGGGGAATGGAAATTAGGGTAGAAAAAGCATTCGCCACCAGATATGGCCGCAGTATAACCTACGCATGATCAGTCCAACCCAAAAAGTTATCAGTATCAACAGATTCCCTCACCTATCGTCGTCAAGTCCATGAATGATCCACCCGGTGCCGCGACAAAAAAGTCAATGCCAACGCCGGCCTCTGTCAATTTGGTTGCGACCGCCTTGTAGTCTGGATTATCAATGGCAAATAGCTTATTTTCTCCGTCAGGCGCCTGGCTTTTGTCTTTCATGACAAGTTTACCGGGTCCAAAAGTAGGTAGACTAGCTAAACAAGAAATAATCTTGCCGCCGGTCGCTTGTAATGCGGATATAGCTGCTTTGATCGTGGGTAGTAAAGTAGATTCAGGACTTTTGACGCGTGAAAACAAGGTTGGTAGTTGCTCAAGTAAAGACGTGATGACGGCCCTAAGTACATGTCAGTGTACCTTCACCATGGTCATTGCTAGATCACCATACTTTGATTCATAAGGATCCACAAAGAGACCTTCACTAAGAGGGACGAATGGCTCTTCCAAATCAGTCATTACCATCATCTGCGCTTTGTCGAGACGAGACTTTCCTGCCCGTTAGCAAATATGTCCAAAACGTAGAGGAGATTGCTTACGCAAATATTATAAAAGTGTATCTCCCTGTCGAACGTGACAATGCCAATCTTTGACCCCTCAGGGACCTTTCTCGTCTCGGATTCGGTTTCCTCCGCTTGCTCTTCTACGCCGTAAAGCGCGTTGATGATGCCATCACATACCCCCTTTAAAAACCCCCTATTTACAGACTCCTGGCTAACATCAATCAAAAAGAGCTGGTGTAACCCAGCCGGCTCCTTCACCCAGTATTCCTTGGGTACTGTAAACTCAACTGTCCCCAGCATCAACTCAGGCCGTTGCAAACGATCAACGCGCACTCCAGACGGGTCCACAGGAGCAAAATATTCCGGTGGGACATCGTTCGGGAACGTACACATATTGCAAACGAACTTGTTACCCCCAGAGCGGAACGTCATGAACGGGTTGATGTATGTCCTACACCTTCGACATCTTGGTGGCCCAATGTCGCCAAAATCAATCACTGGCACAGGTTGTTCCCCAGCATCCAATTTTGCCAATGGCTGTAGAATCATACCCAGAGGGAGGCCGGTCGATTGCAAAAAGTCTGATGATGATGGTATGTTGTTGAGGGTCAGCCGCGCGACTTTCGGTGACGAGTTGCCCTGGTCATGTGCTATGAAAGGAATAGACGCTGGCGGAGGTACATGGCGTTCCATGGTAGGATAGACATTGTTGAAGTAGTATTGTGCGGGAACGTCTCGCGATCTAGGAACACTGGGGATCTGTTCGGGGTCAATTTTTCCTTGCGTAGGAACTGAGCCAGCTCCTCCTCCCATCTCTGGTGCAACGCCTGGTGCAGCGCTAGGTGGTGTTTGCCCTATTGGAGCTCCGGGGAAAGCTGCGGATGGTGCCGGCTGTTGTTCTGGTTGATTCAAGCCAGTGTTGAGGAATTGCGACTGTAGGTTGGTCTGCGAAGCAAAGGTGTTAAGACCCTGGGCGTTGGGACCTCCTATATCGTGATGCGCATGTCGATGTTTCTTCTTGTGACCGCGAGCACCGGCGTCCGAACTTATGCCCAGCCCTTCCATCTGGGTAGCCAAACCACCCAGAGCAGGTCCTCCCAGAGCTTGTGGTGGTGAAGGTACAGGCCCTGGTCCATAGCCGACACCGGGTTGACCAGGAAACTGCGGAGGCTGTGCTGCTCCATATGGCGGTATTCCGGGATGTTGTATCGCTTGGCCCGGAGGGGCATTGGCATTGTAATATGGTGCGGGCGCAGCTGACTGTTGTCGATTTGGATCCTCCCCTGGAGCGCCGGCATAGCCAGAGCTATGATATGTACCGTATTCGGCCATTGCGACTCATGGACAGCTATCGAGGATGACGGTATTGCGGGGATCCGTAACGTAAACACCTGATTGACGTTGTTTAGAACGGTGCCATCACCCTGTTGTCGTGAGTAAGTAGATAAAGTTTGACCTGAAATGTATTGTCCACAGCAGCACGCAGAATTTATATCACCAATCTGTCCAGATCTGTAGGTACGTGGTGTTTGCGCACCTAGGTTCAAATTGTTAATGGGGGGAAGCTGGGGTTCGACAATTGAATTGACCACCAAAAGGTCTCTGGTTGGTCGATCCATCTCGGATTTACTTGGCGCCGGGCAGTCGCTCCGAGGCACGTGTCGCGGCCTGAGGCAATCCATACATCTTGCCGACACAGTCAAGCAAGATACATTATCGTTGCCGACTCAGATGTCCTCAAATCCAAGGGATGACCCATCTGGACACCATGGAGTGCTGATTGACTTACCTCTACTTTCACACGACAACTTGAAGCTGTAAATACTTAGGTGTAGCTATAGTGAGGCGCGAAGGGAATGTGCGTTACCCACATGAACTATCAGCAATTGAAGATTGCAAGCTGGAATGCATACACCATCCTATTTTGCCCGACTGCAGTGCAGTCTGGAGTATAATACATTTTCTTGCTAGTGAGCATCAAGTGTAACTAAGCATTGCTCTCGTGTGATATCCTGTGTTCTTGTGTATACGTGCTAGACATACGTTAGGAGGGGTACGGAGGAGAAGAGTAAGGGAGCTACGGGTCGGCCCTTCCATCCGTTATTTACTCCTAGTTCTCCACGACTTACTTCTGCTTCTACTTCTGCACCTACTCCTCTTTTCCTTTCTCACGAATCAACGACAATGTCGTGCTTGCTCGTGTCAGTGTCGTAGCGCGTCTAGCTGCAGTCCGTTATCAATCACATCGACCAGCTAGCTCAGAGGTGGGTCGGACATGGATAGATAGCTACACCTCGTTGCTGTGGAATATCACCCGACAGAAGCCAATCCCGATGCTTCTTTCTAGCATGTCCAATTTGTCGAGTGTACGACACCGCTCATTCATTTGCCGGATATATCCCTGGCTTCCCTGAGACGAATTACCCGGCTTTTTTGTTATTGCTTTGCAGCACATTTATCCTTATCAGTCAATCATTTAAGGAATCATTCCTGGTAACGCAGCATACAACAAGGGAGGGATACAGATCATACACAGATAGCCAGTCTCGCCACAACTTGATCGTCGCACTAGTTGCGCGACCGAGCTGTACCGCCCAAAGCCTCAACGTATATAACGGGTATGTGGTTGGCACTCTCCCATCCTCATTTCAACTTTTTATTATGAGATAAGCAACCATGGCGCTAAATTCGACTGTGCAGTACCCGGAAGGCGTCGTAGTCGAAGATAAAAGTAAAGCAACACTTGAAACTAGACCGCCAGATGATAGTAGACCGTCGGGAGACATGGCCACCATACACGATGACGATGAACGGCTTTTAGCCCGTATCGGGTATAGACAGGTAGGTGTTCCACTTGCACGTCAATTGCATTCTTACTGAGTTCGTCAAAATTAGGAACTCAGACGAGAATTCTCGAGATGGTCAACTGTGTCTTATGCCATTTCAATACTTGGAGTGCTAGGTTCAGTTCCAGCTACTTTCTCGTATCCCCTCGCAGCCGGAGGCCCGGCAGCCGCGGTCTGGTGCTGGTTTATAGGCTCTTGTATGGCAATGTGCGTCGGCAGTTCTGTCGCTGAGCTGGTATCGGCCTATCCAACAGCCGGCGGCATGTACTTTGTCACCAAGCATGTTGTGCCAAAAGAACAGGTCGCTATCTTTTCATGGATCCAGGGATGGTGCAATTTGCTTGGTCAAACAGCAGGTGTATCAAGTGTCGCATACACTGTTAGCCAGATGCTTCTTGCCTGCGTCAGTATGAATTCAACTTATGAAGACAGCGGCCGGTACTCGTATTCACCGTGAGTGGCCCATCCCGCAGATATCCAAATTATAATGCGACTGTGGCTAATAATTGGCTAGGACGGCTGCTCAGACAGTACTTGTATCGATAGCAATGCTCTGCGTCATGGGTATCATTTGCTCTCTCACCACAAAAACATTGCACCGGGTTATCCTATGGTTTGCGCCCATCAATAGTAAGATATAATCTGATCGTTTCCCAAACCCTGCACTAACCGTATTACTCGTCTAGTCCTAGCAACAATTGCTATATGTACTGCGTTGCTATACTTGACACCCGAATTACAGTCCGCTAAATGGGTGTTCACTACTGTGACAGATGGGTCAGGATGGGGATCCAAGTCTTTCTCGTTTCTTCTTGGCTTTTTATCTGTGACGTGGACAATGACTGACTATGACGGAACGACTCAGTATGTATCTTTGTCATGGCTGAATTCACATTTACTGATGATATGCCTATAGTATGTCTGAGGAAACTCATAATGCTGCTATTCAAGGGCCAAGAGCTATTCGGACTGCGGTTGTTGTATCCGGAATTTTTGGCTGGTTTCTGAATGTGGCCATGTGTTTCTGTATCAATGACTTGGATGCAGTTTTAACTAGCCCGACTGGAATGCCTGCAGCGCAGCTTTTTCTCAACGCTGGTGGTCGAATCGGAGGAACTGTAATGTGGTTCTTCGTGATTCTAGTTCAGTTCTTTACCGGATGCTCTGCAATGCTGGCTGATACTCGTATGACTTATGCATTTGCTAGAGACGAAGCTCTTCCATTTTCGAAGTAAGTCACGCGGTATTCTTGATTAGTTGTTATAGAGCTTACCTGACCCTGATTTAGATTTCTAGCAAAAATCAACGGGATAACACACACTCCAGTAAATTCTGTCTGGTTTGTGGTCTTCTTCAGTACCATCCTCAACCTCATCGCCATCGGATCGACCGAAACGGCAACAGCAATTTTCAACGTTACCGCCCCAGCGTTGGACATTTCATATATCTCCGTGATCCTTGCTCATCGGATATACAGAAATCGTGTCCAATTCATAGAAGGTCCATTCACTCTTGGACGCTGGGGACAACCCGTGAATTGGATCTCTATAGCATGGGTTATTTTCATCAGCATTATTCTATTTTTTCCTCCCACGAGACCAATCACAGCGTCAAATATGTGAGTGTTACAGTCCTCTTACATAATAGTGTGATAAACTGACCTATGATACTTTCCAGGAACTATGCTATATGTGTGGCCCTCTTCATCGCTCTCTTCTCTCTATCATGGTGGTGGCTATCCGCAAGAAAGTAAGCAACAATATCCAATTTACCAAAGCATTTGTTTCAGTATTTTTCTAAACGGAGGACAGCAAATACATCGGTCCTCGCACCAAAGAGCTTATGCAGTCTGTTCCGGAAGATGATTATGATGATGTCGATCATCGGAACTCAACTGATGTGTGATAGATTTTCGGTATATTGTGTCGATGCTAGATTTTGGGGTTTTAGGTTCAGGTTGCAGACTTTAGAACGTGATAGAAGAATTTCATTACGCTAGTTGGTATAATCCATAATGAAGACTGTATTCCTAATACGTGCGATCGATTGAGAAATAGTCTTGGGGTACTTTTTTACGTGATGTTACATTTCAAAGCACCACAAAATCCTCGTGGCTCTCTTTCCCTACTCGGCTCTTCCATAGCAAGCTCTTCTTGCCTATTAGAAGCTTCCCTCCCCGATAACCTGGGCTCGTTCTCGCTTACTGCGGGTTGACTGGGAGTCTGGCTACCATGTAGTCAATTCCCACCGATAGCAACCTTGGAGACCGTCTCGTAGAATGCCTTGCCCTGACTTGTGGCAATTTCCAATTCAAGCGCGGTAGGAGAGCGAGAGCCATCAGCGCCCTATCGTATGCATTGCATGAATTAGTCGAAGTTCCCCTTCAGTTTCTGTGGGAAAGGGGTATGCATACCGCAAACGTCCCAGCACCCCATGCACTACCACCATGCACCTCATCCAGATTTGCCAACATCGGAAAAACAGTCTTATACCCCAGCGGCACATAAATAATCCCATGATGCGCAAGCGTACTCATCGCAGCAATGCAGGTACTCTCCTGCCCACCACCCAGCGTCCCCGTAGACACAAATAAGCCCGCATATTTACCCCAGTAACCGCCCGCAGCCCAGATTCCACCGGTGCGGTCCCAGAATGCTTTCCATTGAGCGGGGAAGTTGCCGTAGCGGGTTGGGATGCCAAAGAGGACGGCGCTGTAGTCCTTGATGGTGTCGACTGTTGCGACTGGATAGTTGGATTTGGGCGGTGCGTGCATTTTGGCGAGGACGTCCTCTGAGAGGGTTTCGGGGATTCTGCAAGTTTATCAGTCTCGTTGTCGAGACAGTTGAGTGGTGGTAAAGGTGCTTACTGGAAGATATCGGCTTTGCCGCCAGCAGCTTCTATTCCAGCTTTCTCAGCTTCGGCCAATTTGAGAATGTGGCCGTACATGGAATACTACATTTTAAATCAATTATATGCTTAGCTTCACAGGCAATGTCAAGATACATACGAAGAGAATGGCGATTCTTGGAGAAGACATATTGGTTGCTATTAGCTATACCAGGAGCATAAAGAGCACGTTGAGGTTAATTGAAACTGTTCGGCCGTGAGTCAAGATTAGCACCACAGAATATAAAGAGCTTGGTGCTTACATACTGAGTTTTTTGTGTTGCAAAGTCATGGCGCCATGATGACGCTGTCATTATTGAGATATCGACGGATTAGGAGACCCTAGAGTGTTACTTTGTATTTTCCCTCATCGTAATCCGCGTTCACTAGGCAAACATATTGAAAGTCCGAGTTCTTTCACATGGTTTTCAATTGGTAAATAGTGTCCGTTCTGTAAGTGATGATGCAATGATCCCTCATTCCATAACTGCTTTCTGACACGATTAGGGCTTAGGGCACTACCGCTACTAATCTTAAAATTCAACCAGTAGTCGACCTCAGTAATAAAGTCGTCTCATACTTCTATCCAACTCAGAAAATTATGAAATAAGGGTTTCTTAGTCTATGGTTAGGGCAGCCGGTTTTGACGCAGTGTAGAAACATAATGGGTGTCTTTACTCCTTTTATCATCAACAATTCCCTAATCCGGCTACCGTGAGTTCTTGGAAGAAGCCTTCATTTCCCTAACCCTAATATTATCCATCAGACTTGTATAATGTAGAAAGTCATTTTCGTCTTTCTGAGATGGCATTACCATCAATCAATAATAATAATAATAATAATATATTGCAACTGAATACGTATTGATTGGTCTTTGCTAGTATCTATACCAAAATCTTGACACGCAAGTCGACAACGGCCGTACCGAGTCCTGTGCGATCAGCAAAATGCCGGGTCTGTTCCAGCAACGACTGCGCTGCCAGCTCGATCTCAGAGCATCTCTCCAGTTTTCGCAGGTGCTGCGGTGACCATTCTGACTGCGGCTAACGTATAAATTAACAGCAGACTGAGGGTCTGACTGAGAAGGATATAGCGAAAGCTATCGTTATTATCCCTACTGCCGCTACCCATAAACAGATGCCCAACGACCGGGTCTGTATCCAGGACCCCTGGCCGCTTTCCTGCCTGGAGCCTAGCTTGATCGTGTTATCAATTTGGATGTCCATGCTTTAGTGAATGTATATTCTGTCATGGTTCGTTCCAGAAAGTTCAAAGGGTGATGAGCGGTTGAACTGGCACTTCATGCATTGCATAGTTATGTTTTATACTAAGTAAATGATAGCCGTACAATGTCCCATTAAGGAGCTAAACTAGCATGGGGGTTCCAAGACTAGGCTGTTTTTACATATGAATTTGGTTCCTTTTTAATATTCGATTCTTGTCCCAAATTCTAAAAATAGGCCAGAATCAACCGCATGAGCATGATTAAGAGAATTCCGATAGTGACGAGAATTGATGGATGCATTGGAGTCTCATGCCTCATATGCCCTAATGCCTCACGAGACTCACAAAAACCATGCACTCATTAAAAGGTTAACTACGTATCTCGCGAATCAAGCCTCACTCCGCATAGTATACATTTAGTAAGCGGTAATAATAGTAACTTAGTTAACTATAGGAATAGGAACCCCATCTTTCTAATAGGTCTATGGTTGTTTACGCGATGTTACGACGACTAGTGCTCTGCTTTTCACAGGCCGACAAGGATTGGCACCACTTTTGCCCTGGCAAATAAATTAATACCAGCAATTGCTAAGTGGTGAGAAACCCGAACACAGCAAGCAAAGTTCATACCACCTCCTAAACCCTAAAATGCTAACGCCTGGGCTGAACGAGCACATTGATTGTAGTACTAGGTAGCTGATAAAGTTTCCAGAGTTGAACGCTTTCAGCGAAAACGAACTTTGTGCATGTTGGTTTCAACTCCGATTCTATCCTCTACTTTGCAGAATAGATTGACTTACCATTCCATTTGTCAAAATCTCGTGCAGTCGTATGACAGGGGACACGGACTCGTGGACTCGTGGACTATACTAGGGTAATACATCAATACAACCAACCATGACTCGCGGAACTGAACCTTCAGGCCCCCTTCATAAGACACTAGTTATCTGGGCTTGAAGTTAAGAGTGAAGGCAAACTTGTCTTTCACTTTGTGGCGTGTGCGTATGTGGTACGTACAACGTACTTGGTTGACGACGCAACGGCCGAAGGGTCCGAACCACCGAGAAAATGACTTGTCAAGACTCCACATGTCAAGCTGACCTTCTAGAAAAGTAAATTCGTGCGGCCGCCGGTGCCGGTCACCCTGTTAGGGCTTAAGCTTCAATCTAATATAATTCGCCTAAGCACACGGCGGCGAGTAAAATATGCCGACTCACTTACTGAGTCTGGAAAATGGAATAGAACTATGATCCGTCAGCCGGGCCATTGGGATTCACTATTTACTAGTACGCACGCAGCTGCACGAGGCTGAGTGAGACAGATTGAGGATGATTTAATATACTCATCAACAAATGAAGCATGTTCCCTGCATCTGTTTCCCATCTAGGAATGACGTATAACAGAGAGGCCAATTGGATACGGCCTAGCAATGTATGAACCGAGAATTATCATATCTAGTATAGATACCTGCCTGAATAAGGTTAAATAGCTCGCCATTCCTTCCTACATGGAATTACGAAGCCAAAAGCCCAACACATTACTGAGTAGTGGCACTCGATAGTTGACCGAATGGTATCCATAAGTGCACCAAGAAGTTGACAAGAACGCTGAAAAGATGCATAGAGACGAAATCGTGTACATAGTACAGTTTACACAGTCTAAGCCCACTTTATGTTTCGGGATTTATTAACAATTGCGGACAATTTGAGTGGAAATGTCTTATCATCGGAAACGAGCACAAGCGAAAACCTGCCAGAAACTAACACAAGTCTATCGTTGTTGGTGCCCATACCTCGGGGTTGGCTCGCTTATGCTAGGTATTATTATTGGACAACAATTCCGTGGCTTTATGCTATCATGCACTTGTTTCAACTCTAAACTTGGACCGTGCTAACTCAAATCATTGTGAGATTGGTTGGCCCGAATTTCCTCTCCGGAGTTTCTATGAGCAGGTTGTACGTCGGTGCAGACGAATTCCCTTCTCATTCTGTTTCCGAGTTGTCAGTAACACTACTTTTGCGCATTCTGCTCAGTCTAGCCCTAACTTCAGTTGTAGAAGAAATGGAGGACTTGCTTGCTTTGAGTTTTGGATCCTGTTTTAACTTCCCATAAGCAAAGAGTCATTGGCTAGAGCGGCGAGTCTGTATGTTTTTGGACTAACGGCATCCGGTCTTCTAACACGATGGATATGTACCTCTTCGTACGCTGGATAGTGCCACAGTGGGCGAAATACAGTTCTGAACAAGTCAACGAAGATTTGAGTCAACAAGCACTAAGATTACGTGCCTGAACAACTATGCAAGAACTTAACAGCACAAAAGGATTCGGATTATTCCATATTGAGATCCTGTAAGCAAGGCTGAACTAAACTGAAAGAGTCCAACGGGAAATTTGTCAGTCAGTTGGTTTTGGCCCTGTTGACCTGTTGGCCTGTTGTTCCTCTCTTATATTTCCCAAAGCATGAATTACGGCCGTACGACGTCGTAGTTCGCCACGCTTTTCTTAATCGAACAAAACCAAGAGAAATAATGCATTGCGATGTGAATAAACAATTGAACATGGTCGTAAATGCGGCCCCCTCGCCCTTCAAAAGCCAATCTTTCCACATGGCAAAATCTTAATTAAAACCATCCGGAGTGTCCCTATTGGCACGCTTAATTGCTGTGGAGCTCGCAACTTTGCCTGATTTGGGGGCTTACCCCGTGAGCTTACTTTGCGGTTCGCACACGAGCCTCTTTTTATTTCCATGTACGTAAGTATATACGAAGTACCCACGGACTACCTGGGTAGCGTTTGGAAATTGAACAAGAAACTGGAGAGCTGGAAATCGAGACATGAAGTACATACCCTGCCTCCTGATTGTCGAATTGATCAGCCAAACGATTCATTCGCGGATGATTGCGAATTATCGCGCCGATAAGCGACATAAACCAACATTGAACATATGCTTAGTCCTTCGTATGGAAAGTTCCAACCTGATTCGGGAACAATACACATTACCATACATAGTACATACCACGGTATGACTCCGTATCGTACGGGCAACAGCTTTCCCGCTTAGGGAAAAGCCCCGGGAAGCCTTAGCAGGGTGTACCTATAATAAACCGGAGTACGTACTACTAATCGCAGGCCTCGTCAGCACTAAGATCCTAGTCATCCTACCCTAACAAGCTTAAATAGTAAATAAGCGTAACTAAACTAGTTTTCAGCCCAACAAGCTCATGGTTCCGATAAATGGTTAGACTATCGAGCACCAGTTGACCACCCAACAGCGATAATCAGTTATCCACCGAGAATCCGAGACATGTAATGCTGAAACTCGTGTCCGGAGACACAACCTTGTACCGAACAGAAAGACTCGTTTCATTGTCCAGTCTATGTATTTATTTTAACCTCCCCTATGGTAGGATGTTGCATACTTTTACTAACATAACACCGCGTATTCGTATTTGTAGCACATAAATCTTTCAGGGTTATGACCTTAACAAAGCTATAGGAGCAATTGATCTCCGACTGTTCTCGCAGTGACTCGGCGCTTTTCAGCTCTGACATACATTATTATATTACCATAATAATCATCCAACTCGACCTAACCGATGACCCGTCCTTAAAAGGCCCGGTATAGGGTAATGACCACTTCTTATTTCCAACATCGGAAAAACAAGTTTCAGCTAAGGCCTACCATAGCCCTTGTAAGCTGTCAGAGGTTGGTAGTAGTGCATGCTTACTTGGGACATCCATGTCTGTTGCATTACGTAGTTTCCCGTCCGAGCGATTGTTGGCGGCAAGCAAGGGGGGTGTGAGTGGCACATGTAGCTAAGATTCATAATGGTGGTCTGCGCCGTATGGGATATGGTGCCAAGTTGATTGCCATGTAACTCTACATTCAATAAATGGATGATCGAAAATAATAGCACTGTGCCGACT